CACCCTCTGCGCCCTCCCACACTTCCGGCCGGCTACCTGCTTGACAAGCCAAGTACGTTTGTCTACAGCCTCGGGGGGCGCATATCGCCATCACACGAGGCCGCGGACTACACCGGAGAGCAAGGCGGGCAGCTCGGGCAGAACCACCCTGAGGGTAACCTGACCGAGGCACCTGTAAATGTCTCCAGACGCCTTCGTGACTGAAACGCCAAGTGTTCTGGTGATACTGTATTCGCAGCCTCGCATAGACACTGCATACGGCTGTCCGGGCATACAGGCCCGGCACGCCACGCAGGACATCACTCTATCAAAACTCTTACGAAAGAAGTACATGTGCATCTCGTAATCAGCGGGAGCACAGACTAGCAATCAAAAACACCTCTGCGCGGGTTAGGTAGCCGTTGTCGCTCTCGTGGGCAGGATCTTTTGGTCATTCGATAAGATAAAGCAAAGCGCGCAGCAGAGTCTGATCGGATCACCGGTTCGTGGGGAGGCGAGTGTTTTGTGTCACCACCGAGATTCTCTCCGCCAGGCAAAGTCGAGTATGGTTTGAGATGAGGCGTGGCGTATCCGCGGCCGGCACGGTGGCACTATGATGGACAGAGCTGTGTTATAAAGCAGTTCAAGCCCGCCACATGATCGCCAGGGCCTACGGCGATTAAACAAAGTGCTTAGGTACCTGCATATAGCTGTTGCGGCAAAGGAAAGCTCGAGCTACAGCTTGAGCTCAAGCTCGGAGTTACAGACGACGATGTAGGCCAATGCCGGCCCCGACATGTTTGGGGTGCACCGACCCTCCGATCACGGGACAGCTACAGCAATTCAGACGCGTCTACCATGCAAATTGGAAGATGAGTTCAGTGTTTGTAGCTGATAGTTTCCAACGAGGTTTGCAGGTACGCAGACTCCATTGACTTGCGTTGTCCGATCCTTGCAACACTGATCTACCCCGCGCTTGAGGGAATTTGCGAGCATTCTGCTCCAAGTTACGTGCTCATTCAGGTACCCAAATAGGGGAGTGATGCGAATGTGTATAAGTTATATAAGTCAATCCAAGTCTTTTGATGCGCCTGAGTCAACACGTCCGAAGCGTCTTGTCTTATTTGTTGCGATATCATAATACTTGCTTCGGCCCAAAGGGTGATGCTGGCAACCGAACAGCTCACACAGAAAGCAAGCACACCCATCCAGCAGAGGCCCTTAGCCGGCCGCGTCTGAGCCAAGACGAATATGGAGATGCTGTTGAAATGCTCGAGTGTCAAGAAGACCTCCTTGCAACCGTACTTCGGTATCTACACATGTCCGAATCCTGTGTATCACCTCGGTAGAGTACAAAAGCCGCCCAGTGAAGGGCATGCTTCAAAAACAGTCATTGTAGTCCTATTCTCGCCATCAGACAGCGTTGGCCTCATGGTAACCCTTGCATTGAATCCGAATGAGGCTCTCACATCCCACGATAGAAGGCTATCGCGGCCAATGAGGAGCTAGGCGTTAGGTCGACTGGGGCGCTCGGGCCACAGAAGATTGATCGTTCCACCACCTTGGCGTTCCTCCCGCAACCACATTTTGCAAGACAGCTCTCCTGGCCCACCATCGACTCCATCACCACCACGATCCATTGGCAGCTGTAGGTCCCTCGACGGGAAGCTTCTCCCTTTCTTTTTCAATTTTCGACACTCTCCACTCCGCCCGCCGCCATGCTGCGCTCATCTATCATCCGGGCCTCGAGCTCGGCTGCCGCCATGTCATCGACCGCGACCCGCACCGCTCTCCCCAGAGCTGCCCCGGTAGCCTGCCAGCTTCAGCAATCCCGCCAGGCCCACGCCATCTCCAACCCAACCCTTGCCAACATCGAGAAGCGATGGGAAGACATGCCTCCCCAGGAGCAGGCCGACCTGTGGATGACACTTAGGGACCGCATGAAGACCGACTGGAAGGAGTTGACCATGCAGGAGAAGAAGGCCGGTGCGTACAATCCCATGAGGCGCATCTGGATGTCGCGAGAGCTGTTATGACGTATCTTGTGTTATGAACGAGGTACCCGAGCTAGCCCGCGGCATCTGGTGCGCGCTACGCGAGGTCATCGCGACGTACCGGAAAATTATCGATATGAACATTGCACTGACAACATGCTCTGCATACAGCCTATTTCATCGCCTTTGGCCCCCACGGTCCTCGCCGACCCCCGCCTCCGGATGAGGGCCGCAACGTCTTCCTCCTCTCCTCTGCCGTCATCGCCGGTGCCTTTGCCGTCTTCGCTTTCACGCGCATGTTCGCCAGCCCCATCCGACCCCGTACCATGACAAAGGAATGGCAAGAAGCCACCGAGGAGTACATGAAGGTGCGTAGCTCCAACGCTTTTATCAAGCGCCCCTTGTGTATGTATCAGTACTAACACGTCACAGTCGCAAGGAACCGAGCCCATCACCGGCTACAAGGGAATGATGGTACAGAGCAAGTCGGAGAAGGATCTCCCAGCGGGCCAGAAGCTCAACGACGAGTAAAGAGTCCGAATAGAAGAGTCACAACAATCACCATACCAATACCGATACCACATTTTCCTTGGGTCAATTTCCGTTTGGTACTGTCTGTGTCACATACAACAAGATCGAAAGCGTTACGAACGGCTGTCGATCGGCCATTGTCATAATAGTCCTCATTGTACAGAAATCTAGAGGCTTTTCGCGTTTGCCTGACGGTTCTCAACTTCGATCACGTGTAGGAAGCACGCTGTACGATTTGCCCAACTCTCAAATCAAGGCTCTCCACCCTCGTCACGTCAGGTTGTACCACGATAGTCAAGTGACAACTAACTAAATGCACAGTCTAACATGCTCAACATTATATAGTTTGTCCTGAATGCCTCGAATACAGTTGAACGCGTATCACAGCCTACAGACGAGATTGGACATTTTGTATCGCCTATATTGGACGACGAACGGCTCTTGTGCTATCTCCACTACACCATCTGGAAAATAAACACGTCTTTCTGTCTCCCAACTAAAGACCCCAATACTATCGATGATAATGAATTCTTGATGCACGGCCGCCTGCAAAACCGTCCTCGCAAACGACATCAGCACGATAGCATACATGACAGAGCACCGACCATAAAGCATATACATCGGGTAATGCATGTGGCAATCCGGAGAGGTGCAACAAGGAAGCAGTAGATCAAAAGCAATAACAACACGCCACATTAATGCCATGCTACATCGAGTGGTGATTGCATAAGCATAGAATCGTACTCGGACTTGCATGGGTATATGCGTAGAGCCGATGGTACAGAGGCGATCAGTTACACAACTGACAATAGTGGTATTGAGCGTACATGACCACATCCGCGGCCGAAGGTAATCTTTGCAGCACACACCGGATGAAGATAAGTCAGCTTCGTGATAGCATACTTTTAGCCGTGGACAGAGGGTGAGACCGCGGCCGCGGTTACGTTAGAGTGCGAAGCTTACTTGCAGTCCAGCTGAGTCCTGAGCTGAAGAGCTGAGCCCGTGTAGTGCTCATGTATATCTGCAACTTCCATGTAAATGGCTACCGCTGAACACCAAATACTTTTCTGGTTTCAGTAGAATATAGACTATGGCCACCAAAGGTCTTCTGACGATCGGAGCTTTGCCAGTCAATATCTATTGCGAATCAGAACAACCAGTCATGTAAATATCGCCAACATGTGTATCACTCTTTGTTCAACATATCTGAGGCAATACCATCCCGACCGCTCACGAGAGAGTTTGTTCAGATGTGTGGCTAGTGCTTGCAGTTTTGACTACGTTAGGCCACACTCGAAACTGCTCGCACGCTTAGGAAGCCTGTTGTATTGATTCTAATACGATGATCTGCTTTACGCATCCACTGTTTGAAAGACAATCCATGCCGTTGACTTGGTTGAAGGAAGGATGAGTGTAAGGGTCGTCTCTGGAAAGATGGTAATGATGTACACAAACACTTGACCATATGCGAGGTACTTCAGGAGAATGTTGGATATTGGATTCAAGGAGCAGGTTTAAATGCGGTGCTACTACTACGATTATGTGTCATGTCGTACGCATCAGATGAGTCCACGTACTTTTAGGCCCATGGTGAGATTTGAATATTTATCACAATTCCTCATATTGGGTCGTGCATGTCCTAGTACCTTGGTAAGTTGCAATGTTGACTCTTGTTATCAACAGTATGGTAACTTGAACCAATTCTCATTGGTCGCTTGATCCCAGCGTGTTGCCGGCATCTAGCAATTCTTGTATTGGAAGGGGCGAAAGCGGGTGATCTCCCAAGCTTAAGACTGATCGGGTTACAGCATACATGCGTTGGCTACTACACACCTATAACCACTATGGACAAATTCCTCGACTTAGACCCTTTGTATCGATCGCAAGCTGTATGTATATTGCCCAAGCTCTTTTCCAACGTCGGCAGCCCGCCGCTTTTAGTTCAGTGTTTGCTCTTAGGCTTGAGAATCGGTTTCTAGGCGTGGGGAGAAGAACTATACGTATGGCCACCTGTTGTTCAATAGAGTAACATCACCACGTGTGTTCAAAATACGCTATTACGTCGAATTGATATCATCGAGCGGTGAAGAATAATGTCCTGGAACATGTCTCTGGACGAGCATCAACATATATCCCTGAACCAAGTCGCAGCCATTCCCTAGACCAAGAACCACCGTATACAATAGAAAACTCAATCGGGTACAGAGATAACAAGCTCTAGTTTACCGCCTACGTTAACTTCTAAGAAGAAATTCTAGAAAGATTAATAGCATTGTAGACTTCTAGATTCTCTACCTATGTCTAGGAAAGTCTTAACACGCTTTATTGTAGTAGGCATAAGTATTTTGCTCAAAGAGATGTTCAATTTCTCTCTTTAAGCTAGTGAACGATGTCGTTGGGAAGATCACGAACACAGATGCTAAACTGTATTCCCGTGGTCAGAACAGCATTTATCACGAGCAGGGAAAAACTGAGGTGTGTTGAACAAGAAAAAGCGGTCTCTTCATGCACGATAAGTTACAGGAAGCCACGCATCAAAGCACCCGCTTAAAAGTCCCACAGTTTCAGAGGTATATCTTTTGTACAAAGTGAGACTACCAGCGAATTGCACTAGACACTCTGGCCGACTCTTCACCCACCATCAAAGTCCGTCTATGACTTCTCGAGCTCAGCAAGAATCTTCTCTCCCTTGGCGCGTGCTGACTCGAAGTCACCAACCATGTAGAAAGCACCTGAAAATGTCAGTTATACGCTATGAATGCGGAGATAGTCGAGACTCACCCTCGGGAAGGTCGTCACCCTCACCAGTCAAGATAGCCTTGAATGATCGGATGGTGTCCTTGAGGTCGACAAGCTTGCCCTCAATACCAGTGAAGACCTGGGCGACAGCGAAAGGCTGGCTCAAGAAACGCTGGATCTTACGGGCACGCTCGACGGTAAGCTTGTCAGCTTCCGACAACTCGTCCATACCGAGAATGGCAATGATATCCTGGAGCGACTTGTACTCCTGGAGAATCTGCTGAACGCGGGTGGCGGTGTCGTAGTGGTCCTGACCAATGACACGGGGGTCCAACATACGGGACTTGGAGTCAAGAGGGTCGACGGCGGGGTAGATACCCAACTCGGAGATACCACGGGACAAGACAGTGGTGGCGTCCAAATGGGCGAAGGTGGTGGCGGGGGCAGGGTCAGTCAAATCGTCAGCGGGCACGTAGACGGCCTGGACGGAGGTGATGGAACCCTTGGTGGTGGTGGTAATACGCTCCTGCATGACACCCATGTCAATGGCGAGGGTGGGCTGGTAACCGACGGCAGAGGGGATACGACCAAGAAGAGCGGACACCTCGGAACCGGCCTGGGTGAAACGGAAAATGTCTATTGCCGAAGTCAGTGTATGTCTCACAGGCAGTTCGTACAAGCACTTACTGTCGATGAAGAGAAGCACATCCTGTCCCTCTTCGTCACGGAAGTATCTTTTTTCCCATTAGCCACGACGTTGTCAACACAGTGAATTCAAGACTTACTCAGCAACAGTAAGACCAGTAAGAGCGACACGGGCACGGGCACCCGGGGGCTCGTTCATCTGACCGAAGACGAGGGCGACCTTGGAGTCACCGTCAAGCTGAATGACGGAAGTCTCCTGCATCTCGTGGTACAGATCGTTACCCTCACGGGTACGCTCACCGACACCAGTGAAGACGGAGAAACCACCGTGGGCCTTGGCGATGTTGTTCTGCCTGCCGTTAGCTAATGCTCAGCCAGTAGACAGTGTGTCTCCTTACAATCAGCTCCTGAATGAAGACAGTCTTTCCGACACCAGCACCTCCGAAGAGACCAATCTTTCCACCACGAGCGTAAGGAGCCAACAGGTCGACAACCTTGATACCGGTAACGAGGACCTCAGCGGAGGTGGATTGCTCGGTGAACTCCGGGGGGTCGGCGTGGATGGGAGCGTACTTGGTGGCCTTGATGGGACCACGCTCGTCAATGGGGTCACCAGTGACGTTCATGATACGACCAAGGGTACCGTGACCAACGGGAATCTTGATGGGGGCACCGGTGTCGGTGGCCTTGGAACCGCGGACGAGACCCTCGGTACCATCCATGGCAATACATCTGACGACGTTCTCACCCAAATGTTGCTGTCCTGAATCAGTGATGCTGTTCCCACTTCTTCAATTCTTGGCGTCCTTACAGCAACTTCGAGAATCAGCTTCTGGTCGCCGTTCTGGGTGGTGACGGCGTTGAGAATAGCAGGGAGCTGCTCGGTGTCGAACTTGACCTGTAGTTAATGGTCAGCGGCCGTTGTCTTGATGCAACGAAAAGTTTTCCTTGAACTGCTCACATCTACGATGGCGCTGTCCTTTGTCAGTAAAGAATACTTGTGAGTTATGCTAGAGGACTTACCCAATGACCTGATGAATCTTGCCATCCTTTGTTGCGTCGGTGCTGGCGAATCGGGTGGAGAGCGCGGGGGCGAAGCTCTTCTTCATGGGCGAAAATGCGCTGCGGCGGATGGCCGGCCTGCGCATGGAAGCGCGGAGCGCCTGCTGGATCCCACTGTCGAAATAGGCGTCAGTCCATCTCAATTCATCATCAATTGGACTCAATGGGCGGTTGGCTTACCTCTTCAGCATTGTGAGATATGTGGTAGACGGATTGGTGAGTGGAGAGAGGGTGGGTTGGTGAGGAAAGAGCTTCTCACAGCTCGAAAGGAAAGCGGACGGCGTTCCAAGAGATCCGTGCGCGACTAGTGCCCACGAGGTTAGTTGATGGCGAGGAGACAACCCCAGGATCGCATCGTAAACTCTCCCACGATACCCCAAACACGTTTTTATCCTGCCGATGTTCTTCGGGAGTGCTCGACCTCTCATGAACGCACCTCAATCTTACACAACCATGCTCTCCGTTGATGTTACGACGCCTCCCCGCCTTCCGATTCGCCCCGATTGAATATCCGCCTCGGGACAATAAAACCACAAAAAGAGAGAGTTGATGTGGTATCCCTATGCTATGAGCAACGCTAAGCCTTTCGTTTGGTCACCAAAGCAGAACAGATAGCGGACTCTTAGTGACATCACGTCTGCAAAGGGAAGGCATATTCCCATCAACAACAGGCATCTGGTTGTGCACCAACAAAAGGCGCCTCGCCAAGTGCAGGAAAGAATAAATTGCCATCATTATTAGCATTTCGTTCCATCTTTCTGGCTTGACCCAGAGATTTATGTTTCAAACACACGACGAAACTATTATCCAGTCGACTGCAGATACGAGGGTCGTATTACTCGTGACTGGCTTCCATTGTGCGATAGCATAACCTAAAGGTATTCGCAGATAAAAATGGTGCACCGGGGTTTGATCTTTACTCTGGTTTGGAGACTACAAGCAGACTGTTGCTGTGTGTAATGCCACATTCTCCAACCCTGTATGAATCAAACACTTCGAGCGGTGTGAGTAAATTGAACTCTTTCTCCCAGCAATTCTGCCTAGGTACGTACCTGGATATGATGATACTGTCAAGACTCAAGCTATGAATGTGCGTTATCTACCCGATTTATGCTTTAGGCCACAATATACCCTGAGGGTCTTCACTGAGCATTTCATCGCCGTGCTACACAACGATATGATGATATATTCTCCACGTGTCAGGTACAACTGTGCTGTGTGCAGCCTGTGTTTTACGCCAAAACGTAGCCTAAAGGTATTCACCTGGGGTTTCGTTGACAGCCTCCTCCACAACAGGAAGATGTAAGCTCCAAACTTCAAGCAAGAAATATGTTTGTGATTGACATATTCCTTACATTCAACATATTCATGGCCAACAATAACAATGTCATTGTTATCTACGTGGTATCTTGTCCTGCGATTGCCAGCTAGCAGGGTATGTGACAGCAAACTACTTACACAACAAGTTGGGACAACAACTAAGGCAACGAAGGGTCTTAAGCTGTTGATATGTGTTCTTAGGGCACGACTAGAAAGATAAAGATATATATTAAGCATTCTTTACTGACAAACGGCAGCGCTGTCGTAGACGTAAGAGATGGGAAAACTTTTCGTTACATCAAGACAACGGCCGCTGACCATTAACTACAGGTTAAGTTCGACACTAAGCAGCTCTCTGCTATAGCACGGTAACTTGAAGATAGTTAAAACTGGGCGTGCTCCAAAACGTACCCTGAAGGTTTTCGCTACGAAAACTATTGCTGTGCTGTGCTAAGGCAGGTGATGTATACTCCAAGGTTGGAATATGTCGCATATATTGTACATGTTGCTATGAGTAAAGTCATCGTATGTATACAGGTCTTCATCCACTCTTTTCCATCTTGGGTTTCTTTGGCCCAACGAAATTGCATAGCGCGCCGCTGTTCACAGCAATAACTTTCCATCCCTCGGGTACTGCCCCAAACTCCTCGTTCTCTTTCTCGGTCGCACTCAACTTCCAGATCTTTCCTGTTTCTCTATCAAACCACTCCCTTCCCTCGTCTGTCTGAAGTAGTTCGCGCAGAACGAACTTCGTTACAGCATTACTGTCTGTAGGGCTGATCGAATCGGGAAGCTTCTGGATATCCACGTCGAATTTGCGTTTACCATCTATCTGAACAACACACTTGCGCGTCGTAGTGAGGAGTGGTATAATAGCTAGATCAGCGGTTGGAAAACTTCTTGCGAAGACGGTTTGTACGCTGCCTTCGTGCGTTTGAGATGTGGTACAGGTGTTCAGTTGGTGCCAAGCTTCTTCGGCAACACCAGGAGCGATAGGGGCGAGCATACGGACGAGGTGTGCCATAGAGTACCACTTGAGATATGGTGTAATGTGAGACGCATGTGGGGCGTCCCAGATGGCATTCGTTAGCGTCATTAGATCGCTGATGATGGTATTCAGTGAGTATGTCTGCGAGTACGACTCGGTAACACTGGCGATGGTTTCTTGCGTCTTGATCCAAAGTTTCGCTTCATCTTGCTTGAGTATAGACACTAAGCTTTCGCGTGTGGCGTTCAAAGAATCTTCGCTTGTTGAAGTATCCTGCAGGATGTTGAGGAGTTTCTTGTCAACATGTTCCGGTACTGTAAACTTCTCCATTTCATCATCAGGTATCCAGGGCGCTGTGGAAAGTTTGATGATTCGATGTAGCCACCGTTGCACGCCGGTAATCTTTTTCTCATCCCACTCAAGCACATCACTGACAGGGGCTTGGAAGAGCATATGCGCGCGCGTTGCGTCTGCGCCGTACTTGGCGATTGTAGCTCCTGGATCCACGCCGTTGTACTTGCTCTTCGACATCTTCTCAAAGCTGACATTTGGAGTCACACCACTAGCCTTGATGATGGGCTTGGAAGGATTCGTTAAGTCAACTTCATCTGGACGCAAGAAGCGACCGTTCTCGGGGTCAGTGAAGGTTTCTCCGTGAACCATACCTTGGGTGATGAGGCGCGTGAAAGGTTCACCATTCGTCAAATGGCCCTTGGGCCACGATGAAGTGGTTGCCAGGAACTTGGATATGAAGCGCGCATACAGTAGATGGAGGATCGCGTGCTCTACACCGCCAACGTAGAGGTCTACAGGCATGCCGCTATTTGTCTTTGTAGGGTCGACCAAGGCATGCTCGTTTTTGGGATCCAGAAATCTGAAGAAATACCAAGACGAGTCCATGAAAGTGTCCATCGTATCTGTCTCACGCTCAGCAGCTGAGCCGCACTTCGGACATGCGGTTTTTTTCCAGTTCTCATCTTCTGCTAGCGGGTTGCCTTTGCGTCCCTCGAAAAAGCTGTCAGGCAAGTTTGGTAATTCCACCGGGAGATCCTTCTCAGGTACAGGAACAGCTCCACAAGAGTCACAATGAACGATAGGGATTGGCGCACCCCAGTAACGTTGCCGACTGATCAACCAGTCTCGGAGTCGCCAGTTTGCTGTCTTTTGAGCTGGCTTCCCAGTGTCGGTTATTGCTCGCACAACCTCGTTCGCGGCTTGCTTCGAGGTCATGCCACCGAAATGCTCTATGTCAGCAGCGATAAAACCTTTCTCAGTCACTGGCATGTCTTTGCCACTACAAGGTACAAGCGACAGTGGTAGAGCGCCTTTCTTAGCAGATATAACAACCTTGACTGGCTCATCACCGACATTCGTTCGCCAAAAGGCATGATCTCGCGCATCGTGGCCTGGAACACCCATTACAGCGCCCGAGCCGTAGTCATCCAAAACATATGGAGCCACATAGATAGGTATAGAAGGTCCCGTAGTGCCTCTAACATGCGCAAGCGGGTTGCGTGCTACAATGTCTCGTAGCCTGAACCCCTCCTTGGTGTCCAGGGGTAGCTCTTTTGCTCGCTCCACAAAGGCGCGAAGCTCTGAATTCTCGATAGCTAGCTGCTGGACGATTGGATGACGCATCGAGAGAGCAATGTATTGCACTCCGAACAATGTGTCAGCTCTGGTAGTGAAGACATCGACGGGCTCAAAGCGCGTCTCGCTGTTAGTCGAGATGACATCGAACCAAAGCTGCGCGCCTTCAGATTTGCCAATCCAGTTTCTTTGCATTGCAAGGACTTTCTCGGGCCACTTTCCATCTCGTGCAAGAGCGTCCAGGTCCTTTAGCAGAGGCTCTTGGAACTCCTTGATCTTCAGAAACCATTGCTTCAGCATCACTTTCTCGACCTTTGCGCCGGAGCGCCAGGAACAGCCATTGGCGTCTACTTGTTCGTTCGCGAGGACGGTCTTGTCGACAGGATCGTAGTTCACGAGAGATTCGGCTTGGTAGGCTAGTCCGCGTTCATGGAGCATGAGAAAAATCCGTTGAGTGTGCTTGTAGAAATGGGGATCGCATGTTCGTATCTCCTACATACATTCATCAGCCCATGCTCGACTAGATTTGCTGTTTTCCATACAGAGTCCCAGTCCCAGCGCCCACCCATTTCCTTCATTTGGCCCTTCATAGTATCGATATTTTGCAGCGTCCATTTCTCCGGATGTACCCCTCGCTCGATCGCTGCATTCTCAGCCGGCAAGCCAAATGCATCCCATCCGATGGGGTGCAGGACCTTGTAGCCCTGCATATGCTTGTATCTGGAGAGAACATCGGATATCGTGTATACGCGCAGGTGGCCGAGGTGGAGCGTGCCGGAGGGGTATGGGAACATGGGCAGCACGTATGCATTTCCTCTGTCGGACTCCCGCAAGTCGTGCCATTGGGATGACAGTCGATCCCAGTGTGGCTGCCATTTGGCAGTGAGCGATTCGACCTTGATTCCTTCAGCTCTTGACTTCCTCTCCAACGTGCTCGCCCATCGTAAACCTATACGCGGGCGGAGGAAAAGGAGACGTGGGGCGCGTCGCCGGCCCACGGATTGCAGACTGAGACCACGCATCACCTTGTCGTATGCGCATGTCGTACACTTGTCGTATTCATAGTCGGAAGGATGCGCGACCTGATCTACGCCAAGCCTCCACTTGTGAACGACTCCCACAATTTTTGGGCCTATCGATAAGACGAGGATCATGCAAACACTTTGGATCTCTGACAACTACGAAGCTGAAAATTGTATACCCACGCTGTAACTATAACATGCCATGGAGGTATACGCAATTCCTCATACACGTAGAAATTCATGCAGAATCTAGTGGTTACCTCAACGGTAAGTATTCAGATGCAAACTTGAGCTTTCCCAGTTCGATGTAGCTTCCAGGGCTAGCGTCGAAACGGGAGCTAGTCCAATGACGGCATAGGAGCCCGTCGGTTTCAACAGCGCATGCAAGCTTCACCACTCATACACGGCAGCTGTGAATGCTTGACAAAGGGGTGCTGGATACTACCCCTATCTGCTACTCCGCTCATCATATCATATCTTCTCTCCATGGCTAGCAGGTAGAGTTGCGCGCAGCCTTTCCATCCGCATCATGGCCGGTCGCTATTCCAACCTCCCACCGCCGACTCGCGATTCACTCGAACTTGCCTCACTGGCCTCCTCTTCGCACCCCTCGCGCCGGACCTCTGAAGAATCTTCTACCTCGGGTGCGCCTTCTTCGCGCAGACTGTCATTTGACGATGAGGACCCCTTGTCAGAACTGAACCCTGCTGGTCACGATCCGAACAGACCACGGCACACTCGCTCGTACAGCGTATCCTCAGCCTTCGACTTTGCACCCAATCTATTTCCTCTCTCTAGCACTGCGCAGGGATACACAGCACTGGGCGCACCTTCAAACCCGGCCCTAGACCCGTCCAACGCGCTTAACGGCGGCTCACTAGAGAAGAACAAGAGTTTGACATACCTTAATGGATTGTCGTTAGTAGTTGGGCTTATAATAGGAAGCGGCATCTTCTCTTCGCCATCACAAGTCAACAAGAATGCTGGATCGCCAGGCGCGTCCCTTATTGTCTGGGTCGTGGCCGGAATACTGGCATGGACGGGTGCCGCGAGTTATGCGGAGCTCGGAGGTGCTATACCACTCAATGGTGGTGCACAAGTCTATTTATCCAAGATTTTCGGAGAATGGGCAGGATTCTTGTTTACGTGGTGTGCAGTCGTGGTGCTGAAACCAGGCTCAGCAGCCATCATTGCAATAATCTTTGGAGAATATTTAGTGCGCGCTATAATTGGTGCCGAAGCTGTGGACGCGAGCACATGGTTGAACAAGGGCGTGGCTTTGGTGGGACTTGTGGCCGTCACGCTACTGAACTGTGTGTCCACCAAGCTGGGCACCAGAAGCGCCGATGTCTTCATGTTTCTGAAGTTCTTTGCGCTTACAGGAGTCACCGTAATCGGTATCGTAGTTGCAGCGACAGGGCTGTCATACAAGGGTGACGCGAATGAAGACTGGAAGAACCGAGGCTGGTTCGAGGATACTAGCGAAAACGTTAGCAATTGGGCTGTAGCGCTCTATGCCGGACTCTGGGCTTTCGATGGTTGGGACAACGTAAGTCAAGACTCCCGCAATTCCTCTAGCCTCTGCTAATGGCGTCAGGTCAACTACGTGACTGCCGAATTCAAGAATCCGACCCGCGATCTCCCCCGCGTTATCCACACCTCTCTCCCGCTCGTCATACTCTGCTACATCCTAGCCAACATATCCTATTTCCTCGTACTCCCCACCTCCGTCATCGAGTCGTCCAACACCGTCGCCGTAGCCTTTGGATCACAAGTGTTTGGTCCCATCGGCTCACTCATACTCGCATTGTTTGTCTCGGGATCATGTTTCGGTGCACTGAACGCGACAACATTCACATCTGGCCGCCTTGTTTACGCTGCTGGCAAAGAAGGTTATCTCCCATCTCTATTCGGGAACATTGGACTGGGAAAGAATCATAGGGCGATCCGCTTGCACAGCATGAATTCAACACAAGGGAAGAGCAAGATACCAAAGAAGCTAGTGAGCTGGTTTGCAGACGCTGACGCAGGCTTCTTCTTTACGCCTATTTCCGCCATGGTACTCAATGCTGTCCTAACAGCCATTTACATCGTCGTCGGCAGCTTCGACACTCTCGTCACCTTCTATGGTGTAGCAGGGTACGCGTTCTATTTTCAAACAGTACTTGGCCTCATCATCCTTCGCGTCCGAGAACCTGATCTGGAACGTCCATATAAAACCTGGATCACCACGCCCATTATCTTTTGCTGCGTTAGTCTCTTCCTGTTAAGCAGAGCCGTGTTTGCCGAGCCATTACAGACACTACTCGTTGTAGCGTTCATGGTAGTGGGCTTAGTGATATGGTTTGCATGGGTGGGAAGGCGCAGAGGGAAGGAGCAGAACAAGTTTCGGATGCCTGAAGAAGGCAATGAAAAGGTAGGATGGAAGTTCTGGCAACGTTGGAGACGATGAAATAGATAATGCTGTCCTGTAGTATAAGCGCCATGGTTGTACAAGCTACGTAGAAATGAATAAATGATAATAATGCGTAAGGGTTCTGTTGCATCGTCTCTGTCATCGACGTCATCGCACAACAACGCATCTCGTTCCAAGTCATGACGGATGGAAAATCCATTAATTAGCCCCGCTGGGCAGATCAAGACCCTGGCATCGTTCACGGAACTACTGACGAAGGAGCCCTACGTAGACACATACTGGACAGCAATGCCCAGCCACGTGGTGATCACACCATTATGCGTTCGACTCGTCTGCCCGAAACAAAAGGCGAATAGAAAATCATAGATCCACGCCCGAATGCTGCCCGGGTTCCGGCCCAACACAAGATTTGGAATTCTGTACCAGCCCTTGGATGAAAAGGAGAAAAGTGGGAACGGGTATACGGATCGAGAAGATCAATGGTTGCAACTCCTGGTTAACTAATCGTGAGGTCTGTTGACGTTGATACAGCTACCAATAGGACGTACGTGTAGTACGAACACCAAACCCTACCTCAATGGTATACACCGTTGTTTCTCTTTCAGAATTACAGTTTACATCACTATGTATACCTTTGGGTTAAGTTTCCAGTGATTGATACGACCAAAGAAATGAGCTTCTTCGCATAGGCTATCAATGGTCCGTGGGCATCGTGACATATAATGGACGCGTGATGATATGGAGAATGGTTTTACTTTGTTTAGAGTTCTACAACTTTCGAATGGGACTAGCGAGATTGACTATGCTACGACGTATCAAGGCCTACCACCTTCTTGGATAATTAACAGGCTCAATGAAGAGACAATGGGAAGATAAATGAGACGTGAAGAAAGGTAACTGGGGGAAATGGGAGGTAGGAGGGGGAGGGAAGGGTGTGGGTATAAAGAGCGGATGTACTGTGCCCAATTCCGTGGCAGGGTGCGCAGCACCGGTGTTCGTGAATGAATGTTCGTATCGTAAGCAACGTGACGGAGAAGGCCGCCTGGTAGGGCCTGGAAGCCTACAGTAAGCCCGTAGTCTTCATGCGACAAAGCCAAGATGGCCTGTGCGAGACGCTGTCGCAGGAGTTGTGCAAACATGAAACCGAAACCGTAACGCCTGTGTGGGTATGTTGCCCAGACGCGAACCACCCAAGTCGCCGAAGCAAAGAAACAAGAAATCCAGGAACCTGCATCTCCCCAGTTTATCGTACAGCGGCTCGTCGCCGATCCCGGTCTAGCGGTAGAAAGGAAAAGAAAGACCCTGAAAAGCACTCTCATGCCTCAGATCCAGCCATTGGGTCGCGGAGTGCGAGACATTGTGCCTGCCCCAAGTGGGATGCGGGCTGTGGGTGACGGGGATGCACGGCCACTGTTTGATCGTGCAAGGTTGGCAACCGACACGGGCGTTGCTGGTTGTGATGCTGTAGTGGGTGAACCAACTGATGCAACGGGTGTCACAGGGTTCATCCGCAGTCCGCTTATGCATGCAGGTGCGGGGACGACAGGTTGTGTCGGGGTTGCGAAGCGTGGAGGTGGGTTTGGTGATTTCGGTGGTGGGGAGGGTAGCAACTTCTCGCGCTGAGCCTGGAGATAGGCGCTGGACTGAGCTGACGGCGTGAGAGGAAAGGCTGGGGTCCGTCCCGGGCTGTTAGCCCTGGGCCGAGTTGGCGAGTCACCACGCGGGGGTGGTTGGGGAAACGTGCTCGGGCTAGGCATCTCTTCAGATGGTGATATGCCTGTCGTAGAGGGCTTCTGGATCGGGAGGCCTAATGAATCTTCGCTTGAATCAGTGACCCCTCGTTTTAGCGGTGGTGTATCTCGTTCGGCTCGCGTACATTTGGCTGCTGCAAGCGTTGCAGGCGCTACTGAGAAGCGGAGACCAATCTGAACTGTTGCGCTACTATCTGTACTTTGCATGCGTTGGTGCCGTTCCGCAAATGGTAGTTTTGGCTTGCTGAGAAAGTCGAAAGCATCGCTGACGTTGGTAACCGAGCCTCGTCGTGTGAAGCGCCGTAGGGCGAGTTTAGAAACCGAGGAACCGTCTGATGTAGCTTTAGGATCGTAGACAGTTGGAGGAAGGCGAGGTACCTCTTCCGCGCGTGTGGGGAAAAGAGAGTAACTTTGCTTGCGTTCATGTGTTGTAGCATCATTGTCAAGAGCAGGTGGTAGAGGCCACTTTGTGAGATCGATCGGGCTTCCAGGTTTGGTCGATGCCGGCGTCAAAGCCCGCTCGGGTCGTTCAAAGTACTCGGCATCAAAGTCCCCACGGTTCTTCTCCGGCCCAACATCGATCAGACCCTGTTGGCTGTGTAGACGATGAGTTGTTTGTAGTGCCATCGGGCCGCTGATCTGCATTTCCAGATCGCTAGGACCGAAGAATCGAATTTTTGGTCGTTGTTGTTTCGCAGGAGCCTTGAGCTCTTCGATGGGACGGATGACCATTCGTGTAGCATTCGTACGAAGGAAGAGATGGAAGAAGGTGATGACCATTCCTGAGGAGAAGAGCGAGATTTCTGCGATTCGAGAAGCGGCCAGTGCTTCCATAAATTCTCGTCGAAGAGACTGTACTTCAACTGGGATGACGAGAGTCTACGATTGTCAGCTAATGGAAAAAAGAGAGCGGTAGGATACTCACGTAAATAAGTGCAGCCACAATCAGAAAGTAGGTCATGCGTGAAGCTGAAATACGCTCATTGTGATCGATCTCGGGTGTTCTCATCAGCTGGATACTGATCAAAGCGGCTACCAAGAGCAAGAGGAAGACAAGAACAGAAAGAAAAATCAACATGAGAAGATCGTATCGCATAGGAAACCAGATAAGGCCACCAAAGCAAGTGTTTGGCGATGGCCAGGCCACAGTTGGCATCCAGGTGAGCAGAAGCATAAACGATACGACGGCGACACATATTATTGTGTTCCACTTGCCGCGTGGAGCGAATCGGTCTTGTTTGTAGGCTCTGACCACGACTTCGATGCCGAAAACCAAGGTGATGTACCCGATCAGAAAAATAGCTACCGCCCGTCAGTCTCTTTGTCCGCAGATCGCAAAGTGTGCTAAGCGTACCAGGGAATGTGACCATTGCCAGTCCGCGACAACTCTTAGAAAACACACTATGGAGTGTAGTGCCCTGCACTGATACGAAGATAATTTGTTGTAGAACGGCACCGCAGGCCAACGCGAGTGGAAAAGTTTCAGCAGGGTGAACATTGTGCAAAGCATTGAATCTCCTATAATCTGTTAGTAATAATGCAACTATCCAACAATTCGTACCTACTTCTTCCTGGGAAGGACCTGAAGAGCTGCTGCGCGTCGTGCGTCTGAGACAATTCGATGGACCGTCAATAATGTCAAAGCAAGGCTAAACGCTCCCAGGGTAAGATGTGTCGTTCGGAGCGTTTGTACTTGTTGCAGCTGTAGACTTGCGATAAGGGTTCTTGTCGTGTTTGTTTGTGTCCAGGGAACTTGACGAACGGCCGAAGTGTTGAGAGTCAAGTTGAAGTGCGATCGGGCCTCGAGCTGAGGGAAATGGTCCGCCCATGATTCCATCTTGCCGGCTTCAGTTACAACAGGTGTAGAAGGAATAATATTGTCTCGCTGGTAACCAGCAGCGGCTGAAGAAAGGAAATCGACTAGGTATTCATGGAGACCGTATGACTGACGTAAACGAACGAGTAACCAGCTCAGTGTCAAAGAAGGAAATGGCTAAGCCTGCCAGCAGAGCAACGAAAGAAGGGGAAAGAGCGTGAGCATTAGACGTAAGAGACAAGAGACGGGTATGAGACTCCAAACGGTATATGACAAAACCACTGGGCGGTAGCAGCAACGCACGGTTTCGGAACAGCGGTCCTCAGGCGTCTATCCGGCCATTGGCTGAAGGGACCCGCATTAGCAAAGATCCATTCGGTTCATATTACAGGTCGCATCTTCCCGCAATGGGTGGGAGTGGGGTTTCAACCTCATGCGAGCCACATACTACTAGGTAACCTGGGCAGCGGAAGCAGCGAAACCCGTGTTAGTACCGCTGCCCCGAAGACTAGCCAGCCGCCTTGGAAAACCTCTCGCTCTGGCCTTGCTCGAATATTGACCAGGTTGAACAGGTCTTGGGTTCAGTAAGACGTCATTGCTTTGACGTTGCCCTAGTGGACGTATCCGCCAGGGTCCAGTGAACACCCCTTTGGCCCTCGTCATAGCGCGACGATACTCTTCACGTTGACTTTGCGGCGCGCAATTTCTTCTGACGCTGGACACTATACTTGGATTCCTGGGTAGCTATTTCAAGCGCGGAAGCGCTGATGTAGAGAATGGCGCAAAGTCGGTGGTGGTGAGGTGGATGTGGTCGGACTAGAGTTCTGATGCGAGCTGGGTTTAGACTGTGCCGCAGATCCTCGCTTCAACCCTGTCCGAGACACTGAGAACTCCAGAACCCCTGTCGGCTCAACGGTCGCCGGGAGGACCTCGCAAGCTGATGACACGGTTCGCAGTGGATTTGGCTAGCGGCAAGTTATAAGCAATATCTTATAGAAAACGGAGGGTGATGGGTAAAGCCACGAGGCAATGCTATATTGAGTGTTGTAGATGGGGCAGTTTTGCATAGTTGACCAGTAGGAACGATTCGAAGACATAAGTGTAAGATTGAAGGATGCGAGAGCGTCCATCGGATGCAACACGGAAAGAGCCGATTGAGATGCTCAGATGGGGTATGCTTGGTTCTCCACCGAACAGACTTTGTGACTACTGAACCTGTCAAGCCGCATGGGCAATCGTGGCGCAGAAAAGCATCGCGTTCGAGCCGACGGTACCTCGTCAAGTACGCACCACCTCACGGCGATCAGTATGTGCGTTGTCACAGGCTGCTACGTAGCCGCTGTAGTCAAGACTCCAGCGGCTACATAGTGGTACAGTCACACTCGCATCGTGCTACCTACCCTGACGGTCTGGCCGCTGCCATTCTGCTGTAGAATCTTATGTGACAAGCCACCGAAGCCAAGACTGAGTAGAGAAGGACTTGCAAATCTTACTATAACAGGTAGTGCACGAAGTTCGTCAAGGCATAATGATGCTCGTATGGAAAGAGGAGAACTTTCGAGAAGACCAAGCCACTGGTCTTTACACTGCCCCAGCCACACAGCACGAGATACAGGGGTATGCCTCAGAGAAATCCCCGACAATGCAAATCAAGAATTGGGCGGACGCGAGCATGCTGATCCGTTGTCGTGGGTGGGATCAACACTAGGAAGACCAGAATGTGCAGACTAAAAGTTGGCTACGTTGATTACGAGTGTTCTGTTGAATGACACCGACATAACAAGAGGGTATTTTTTTTAGTCACACGTCGCCTCATACGGCGAGTTCGCAGACACGTTCATGCTATCGTGCAAAGTCTTGCTCAGGCAGACTTCGCATATTCTTCAAGGTACGCAACAAGCAGCTTAGTACCATCTAGCGAGACAGCATTGTCTACAGCACCAAAGAAGTTAGCCTAGGTTGTTGGAGAGCTTTGCTTTGGGTCGGATCCTGGGTTGAGCACGTTAGACCACGTTGGCTTGCAAGCCGCGTAGCCCAATGTACCCTGTAAAGTCACGACTCGAAGCATGACTGGGAGCACCATCAATAATGCGGGAAGTATAGAGGCACTTACAATTACTGGCACGAATGCCACCCACGCTGCGGTGTCCTTTCAAGCCTAGCAGGCCCTTCTTCTCTGCACCCGCAAGGAAAGCCTTCTCCTTGTCCGCATCTCCACCAGAGACACGGAAGCAAATATTCATCCTGCTACGTACAGTCTTGTCGGGCACGACCTGATAGACATTAGAGTACTTTTCAAGTGTCTCGTATATGAGCCGGGCCTTTTCGTTGGAGACTTCCTCCTGACCACCGATACGCTTAGTGCCGTAGGAGTTGACTAGCCCAGACATGACCTGGCCAGCCACCCAGACGTCGAAGATGGGCAGTGTGTTGTAGAGTGAGTTGTTCTTCGCGATGGTGGGATAGTCTAGCACAATGGGGCCAACAGACAAGTTGAGCTCTCTCATGAGGTCGGGCGAAGCTGGAGTGGAGTGTGGCGGAAGAAGCGACTTCCGCATGATGACAATCGCGATGCCGGTGTTGCCAATGTTCTTTTGGGCGCCACCGAAGATGATGGCATACTTGCGCACGTCGACCTTCCGGGAGATGAAGTTTGACGACATGTCGGCACAGACCAATGGCGCGTCGTCGCCCTCGAGGCTCTGAGGAAAAGACGGGAACTCGACTCCGTCTACTGTCTCGTTGTCGCAGAAGTATACAAAGGCAGGCCCACCCTTGGAACGTGGTGTGAGGCTCCACTGGTCTTCAGAGGCGATTTTTCCAAATTTGCCGTCATTGACCTTGCGCGAGTCGGTGGCTACGTTGACGTGCTTCGCTCCTACAAGACGCGCTGCCTCTTGCGATGCCTTGAGCGACCAAGAGCCGGTGACGAGGTAGTCGAGCTTCAGCTCCTCATCGACGACCTTGCGCAGCCTCTTCATCAGCTCATCCTTGTTGTCGCCCACCTCTTCCGCAATCTTTGCGCGCTTCTTCTCTACCCATATCGAGACAAGGTTGTATACGGTCGCACTGAACTCGCCGCTACCGCCGCTCTGGAGGAAGAGGATCTCGTAGTCGTCAGGGATTTCGAGCAGGTCAGCAAGTGCCTTCTTGGTGTCTGCAAGAATCTCGTTGGCTTCTGGCGAACGATGAGAAATCTCGCAAAGACCGATGCCCTTGTCTTTGTAGTTCAGGAGCACCTGCGAGGCCTTCTCGAGGACCTCGGTGGGCAAGGGTGCAGGGCCAGCGCCAAAGTAGTTGACGTCAGAGCGGTTGACCATGGCGACGACGGATTTGGAGGTTAGTAGTGTTGTGTGCAGAGGAGAATCGAAGTGACATGAGAGAAATTGAGCAAAGAGGGGCGGTTTGTACAGAAAGTCTTCTCACGTCGCGTCATACGGAGAATGACTCTACTGCCCGCCTCTTACCAACAGCTGCTTCCGACTTCGGGCTAGCATGCAATATGGACATGGCGGGCCACGTATGCAGAGCACTCAAGTATGGTCCGCTACAGATGCTACATGCTCCCCGCGTGGGCGTTGAATGCATTATGCGAAGCAATTGAGCGCGTCTGGCTGTGTCCAATGGCAGCGCGAGGGAATGGATGACTGGCGCCGAAGTTCGGTGGGGAATTTTTGTCCGGGGAAGCGCGCATTCACCATTGCATACACCACATTGCTGCCATCCTCCAAGTACCAGCAATGGCAATGTCGCTACGGGCAGCGCGGCTCTTGGGTCGCAGGCAACTAGCAGTATGTTGTAAAACATGGTCTCATGCTCCGTCCCGTCTAACGTTGCAAATGTAGCCTCGAGCAGGTTTGGCTCTTCGTGCCGCCTCGTTCTCGCCTCGACCATGTCTCGCGCCACGGACGTTTGCTACGACCGCTAGCCGTCGCGAGGCCCAGGATGTCTTTCCCTCGATGAAAGAGAACCCCGCGGCAAGCTTCCTCTCTTCGCTCAACGAGACGCCCAAGACACCGCAGACGCTCACAGAGAAGATTGTGCAACGACATGCCGTCGGTGTTGCGCAGGGCAAAGTCCTCAGGTCCGGCGACTATGTCACTTTGCAGCCACACAAATGCATGACACACGACAACTCATGGCCCGTCGCTCTCAAGTTCATGGGCATTGGAGCCACCAAGATCAACGACCCAAAGCAAATCGTCATGACTCTCGACCACGATGTGCAAAACAAGACGGAGAAGAACTTGAAGAAGTACAGCCAAATCGAGGAGTTTGCACAGAAGCAGGATGTCGTCTTCTATCCTGCCGGACGAGGCATCGGCCATCAGATCATGGTAGAGGAGGGCTACGCATGGCCAGGAACGCTCGCTGTGGCTTCCGACAGTCATTCCAACATGTACGGCGGTATTGGATGTCTGGGTACACCTGTCGTGCGAACAGACGCTGCGAGTATTTGGGCAACGGGCAAGACTTGGTGGCAAATCCCACCTGTCGCAAAGGTCACTCTGAATGGCAAGATGCCTCAAGGCGTGACTGGCAAGGACGTCATTGTTGCTCTGGCAGGTCTCTTTAACAAGGACGAAGTGCTCAACCACGCCATTGAGTTCACCGGAACCGATGAGACCCTTGGTAGCATACCCATCGATGATCGCCTTACCATTGCGAACATGACAACTGAATGGGGTGCTCTCACTGGACTCTTCCCTATCGACTCCACCCTCCACGGCTGGCTTCGCGCAAGGGCGACTCTAGCCGCCATGGGAGAGGGACAAGCCAAGGATCACCACCAGCAGCAGTTTATTCATGAACGTATTGATCAGCTGTTCACTGCTACTGGCATTGTTGGAGAGAAGATGGGTCACATTTTCAAGCCTGCGTTGGCTGCGGACAAGGGAGCCGTCTATGCCAAAGAGCTCTTCCTTGACCTGTCCACTCTGTCACCATATGTCTCCGGCCCAAACTCGGTCAAGGTTGCCACTCCCCTGCTTGAACTCCAAAGCCAGAACATCCCGATCAACAAAGCATACCTCGTATCTTGCACCAACTCCCGCGCTTCTGATCTCGCTGCCGCCGCCAACGTCTTCAAAGATGCTGCTGTTCTGAACGGCGGCAAGATCCCCAAAATCCCTGACAATGTCAACTTCTACATCGCTGCCGCGTCAATTCCTGAACAAAAAGCCGCGGAAGAGGCCGGTGACTGGCAGGCGCTCCTGGAAGCTGGTGCGCAGCCATTGCCTTCTGGCTGTGGTCCTTGCATTGGACTCGGTACGGGTCTCCTTGAGCCTGGTGAGGTTGGTATTAGCGCAAGTAACCGTAACTTCAAGGGTCGTATGGGATCGCCTGACGCCAAGGCCTACCTTGCTAGCCCTGAAGTAGTTGCAGCAAGTGCTTTGTCGGGCAAAATTTCAGGTCCTGGATGGTACGAGGCTCCTGAAGGCTATGCAGGCGTTCGGCGGGGAGAGGGCGATGGTGTTCCTGAGGAAGAGCGTATGATGACTATCGAAGACATGCTCGAGAAGGCCATCAAGGATGCTGAGGCTGCTATCGATACCTTTGGCAACGCCGAGCCCGAAACACAATCCGTGGATCCGCCCGCGACACCAGGCTCGGAAGCTGAGCCTTTGACTGAGATCCTCCCTGGTTTCCCCGAGAAGATCAGCGGCGAGATTGTCTTCTGCGACGCAGACAACATCAACACCGATGGTATCTACCCTGGTAAATATACATACCAAGACGATGTAACCCGCGAGAAGATGGCGGAAGTGTGCATGGAGAACTACGACCCCAACTTTGGCCAGATTGCAAAAGCTGGTGACGTTCTTGTCTCAGGTTTCAACTTCGGCTGCGGTAGCAGTCGCGAACAGGCTGCAACTGCTATCCTGGCAAAGGGTATTCCGCTCGTCGTCTCTGGTAGCTTCGGTAACATCTTCAGCCGCAACAGCATCAACAATGCTTTGATGGGTGTCGAGGTCCCCAAGTTGGCCAACCGCCTCCGCGAAGTCTTCTCTTCCCAAGACGCTTCGTCATCACAGCAAGCTATCAAGGAGCCTTCAAACAACCGTGAGTCGCTTGATTCACCACCCCCGGCTGCTGCTGCTCAGCCTAGCCAAGCCAAGCAATTGACCCGCCGCACCGGCTGGACTCTTGAGTGGGACGTTCGCAGGAGTACTGTCTCCGTACAAGAAGGACCCAATGGCGCCAAGTGGAACGTCAAGGTCGGCGAGCTGCCTCCCAATGTGCAGGAGATCATTGCTCTTGGTGGGTTGGAGAACTGGGTAAAGAAGGAGATTGGCAGCCCTCCCTCTTGAGCGTCATGGAGCTTGAAAATTAGCTTGTAACATTCGTGTATACCCTCTTGATGATATGCATAAGCGGCGTTGTGGTATTTAGACTATTTCAAGCAAGCAACACATTGTTCAGGAAACACGTAGTTCTACATTGAAAACTCGTAAACTGACCTAAGAGATCTCCAGCGCAATACCCCTTGTGTCTCGCTCCCCTCCACGTCAGCGAAGATAGACGGGCATACCCTTCTCCCACCCCTTCGCTCTGCAGCAATGCCAAGTATCCGTTTCGCTCACACCCTGCCCTCCGCTACTCTTCTGATCGATACTAGCATACACACTCCATCCCTCCTCCTCCAACATCTCTACCAGTGCTATCAACAATTCTCTGACCCTCATTGTTTCTTCGCCACTAGCTTGCCATGGGTAGCCTTTAAGTTTAAATTCCCAGATCCCAGGCGAATGCTGTTCGGATGCTGAAATCCAGTTGGCTCCTACACGAGATGGGAGGGAGCTATACAACGAAGCAGGTGCGTCCATAAAGCGCAGCCGATCTTGCCGACTGAACGACACAACACACCATTCGTGCGGCGATGGAGGTGGACTCTGGTATCGGAAGAGCAAGGTATCTTTGTCCACAGCACTCTTGCTTATATCGGTGTTAAGTGTTAAGAGCCACCCTGAGGCGTGTAGTGTTGCTAACAGACCGTTCATCAGACGTCGTGCGTGCACCCCCTCTTTTCCATGTCCGCGCCAGGGGTAACCATTGAGTTTTATCTCTTGACTGTTTGCGTATCGGCGCTCTTCGTCGATACCTTGAGGCCAGGTTCTTAGAACGGTTGCGCGGCAGCTGGAGATGATGGGTTCGGGAAAGCGCAGGAAACGAAGACGGTCTTCCTTGTGGAGAGACAAAGAGGCGAAACGTGTTTGCACGGGTGCTGATGATGCAGATCCGGAGGAGGAAGCTGCTGTGTAGGCAGGTGGAGGGGGTGCAGATAAATCATTGGGGGTGTCGTCAATTGATTCCCCTTTGGAATGACTGGAGGGCGACTTGCCTCGGAGTTTATCAAACATTTTGGCGGGGCTCTGGGAGGTTTCCTGGAACTTGAATGTTCTGTCGTTAGGTTGCGTGCGAGGAAGACTCCCAAGACCCGCTGACTGCGCGCCTTATGTCTTTAAGTCTTGTCGTTGTTGCACAGCCTCATGGCAACTTCCAAGATACCAATGGTCGGACCGTTTTAGTCCTGTGGGTGTAACCAACCACTCAAGCAGGTGAACAATGACGACCGAGTACACATGATACCGGTTTTAACCTGCCCTCAAGATATTTGTGGGGTCTTACATTTTTTGGCTAGCAAGATGAAAGATAGTGTATGTGTCTACCTAAAGCATGCAACATGACTTGGAGGAGTATAAGGTTCAGGATGGGCGTTCAATACGACACGACTACTTTCAGCTCTGGTAATGCCGGTGTTCTGTCCAATGTCAAGATGGAGGGCTCCCCAGGATATGCATGGTAGCGCGGCTTGGCGGGGCGACACCGGACATTGAACTCGCTTCCCCGACGACTTTTTTTTGGAGCGGGTATCGTTGGGCATCTTATCTCTAGCTCCCGTTCTTCATTGCTCGGTACCGCAATCGCCTTGCGCTGTTGCTCCCTCTAACGTCTGTCAATTCTCAATTTCCTCGTTGCTCGAAGTTTTCGATCATGACGCCATCACCTTCCGAAGCCGTAGCAAAGGTTGCGCAAGCCGCTGCCGGCACCAACTCGTCCGCAAAGGTGTACAAGAGGGAGTCCAACACAGCTAGGGTATTGGGTGCAGGTACATATGGCATTCTTGAGGCAATTTCACTCATCTGACTTGGATAGGATGTGCGGGTATCGCAGAGCTTATGGTCTTCCACCCTGTCGACACCACAGCGAAGAGGTTGATGAGCAACATTGGAAAGGTGCGACATATCCACGAAATTACCCCACGATCATGTCTGACTCGAGCAACTGCAGATTGAAAACGCAGCGCATCTTAACAAGGTCGTCTTCAGGGACGCGGCCAACGCCTCGGTCGGTGGTCGTTTCCTTTCTCTCTTCCCCGGTCTCGGCTACGCTGCCGCATACAAGGTGCTCCAGCGAGTATACAAGTTTGGCGGACAGCCCTTTGTACGGGACTACCTCGCGCACAACCACGGTGACAGCTTCGACCGCGCATTCGGCGAGGGCAACGGCAAGGCCATCATGCACGCAACTGCAGGTTCCATTATCGGTATTGGTGAGATCGTTCTCCTGCCATTGGACGTACTCAAGATCAAGCGACAAACAAACCCCGAGGCTTTCCGAGGCCGTGGTCTGGTCAAGATTGTCTCAGACGAAGGATTTGGACTGTACCGTGGTTGGGGATGGACCGCAGCACGTAACGCGCCAGGCTCGTTTGCGGTATGTTCCAGCACTCTACGAAAAAAGAAAGCATATACTAATGTAAACACAGCTCTTCGGTGGTTCCGCCGTCGCCAAGGAGTACCTCTACAAGCTCTCCGACTACAACTCGGCATCATGGTCGCAAAACTTTGTTGCCTCCATCGCCGGAGCTAGCGCGTCGCTCGTCGTCTCTGCTCCTCTCGATGTCATCAAGACCCGTATTCAGAACAGGAACTTTGAGAACCCCGAGAGTGGATTCAGGATCGTGTCCAACATGATGAAGCACGAGGGCTTCACTTCCTTCTTCAAGGGACTGACACCTAAGCTGCTCATGACCGGACCTAAGCTCGTGTTTTCCTTCTGGTTGGCCCAAACGCTGATCCCTGCCTTTGGCAAGATAATGTAATGTGTTGCGGTGAACTTATCCTGATGTCTGTAATATATGGGAGGTTTGGGTTTACCGGTGCTATAGAACTAGCAGGTTGGGCTACGTCAAAGGCAACGACGTACGAAGAAGCGCATACTCCTGCGAACGAACGACACATTCTCCATTCTATGAAAAAGCGAACTCAGGCCGAATAATGGCACCTTTGCGGACTGAAAGTGATGATGATGATGCGTGCCATGGCTGGCTGACACCCGTGGACCCTGGTGACTGTCACGTGCGTGCACCGATGGCATCTGCTGGATTATGATGTATGATCTGCCACTGTCTCAGAGCCCTGGAATGAAACGGGGCAGACTAGGTGTCATACGTCAGAAAGCGCAGCAGGCATCTCACTGGAGAAAGTTAGGCGGCCGACCAGCAGGCGTGAATGTGATGTTCCCATGGCGCGACGAGCTACGGCAACTTGTGACCACGGATTTGGGCTGAATGCCAAGCTAATTCACATCTGGTATCCGCGCATTGCACCTCGTCCACCTCTACTTAACACCGTCCGCCTCGACGACCCGCGATACCCCCACGACTACTGCCTTTGATAACCCCCCAACTTACATCCATAGTCTCTACCTTCTTCTCAACCCCGCAACACCGCCATCATGAACCCTGAGTGGTACGTAACCTCCGCGCGACGCCCACCGCCACAGGCTGGGGAACGGCGACGCCAAATCTGGGGTTAGGACCATGCTAACTTGGATACCTGCAGAGTACTTTTTATCCCGGCTGCAGTCCTGTTGCTGCCGTCCCCGCCATGGATGGCTCCCGCTGACGGCTCGCCTTACAACAGATACGACTACCTCTTCAAGCTTCTCCTCATCGGTGACTCTGGTGTCGGAAAGTCCTGCCTGCTGCTCCGTTTCGCAGACGACACATACACCGAGAGCTACATCTCGACCATCGGCGTCGACTTTGTGCGTTCACCCGCGCACCTGCAGCCTAGACCGGCGATGAACTAACAAGGACCAGAAAATCCGAACGATCGAGCTCGATGGCAAGACCGTGAAGCTACAGATTGTGCGTATACTCGGGGTTGCAGTGTCTGGGAGCAGGTACTAACAGCCATGACAGTGGGATACTGCCGGCCAAGAGCGTTTCCGAACCATCACATCCTCGTACTACCGCGGCGCCCACGGCATCTGCGTCGTCTACGATGTCACAGACATGGACTCATTCAACAACGTGAAGCAGTGGCTGCAGGAGATTGACCGATACGCAACCGAAGGCGTCAACAAGCTGTTAGTGGGCAACAAGTCCGATATGGCAGACAAGAAGGTTGTCGAGTACACTGTAGCAAAGGTACGCTCATGCCGTGACTCGCCACGCACCCTCAGTATCTAACAACATCACCAGGAGTTCGCAGACAGTCTCGGCATCCCATTCCTCGAGACCTCCGCAAAGAGCGCTACCAACGTCGAGCAAGCTTTCCTAACCATGGCCCGCCAGATTAAGGAGCGCATGGGTACCACAACTGCCAACACCAAGCCCACAGTCCCCATTGGCCAGGGCCAAGGTGTGCAAAACGGATCTGGCGGAGGTTGCTGCTAGAGAAGAGGAAGAGTCGTTATGTGTCGGAGAAACGTACCAGTGTTTACGGACGAGCGGCATACAACGTGGGTGGAACAAGCTCCCGTTCTTATGCGATGCGAGGATTGGTGCGGTACTACCATAATGCTCACTGACTACATGACCGCCATGTCTCTCCCATTCGTCACCGTTTCCACGTTTCCACTCCGAACCTGTGTGCTAGCATGGCGACACCCGATCGGATAGAATGGGGGCTCTCGTTTGGATTTCTGGGATGTGCTGGTGTCTGCATTACAATTTGTGGTGGCCACTAGGTCTCTTTCCTTGGTGTGTTTAGGTGTTCTTTAATATGGGCAATCAGATTCTACCTCATAGCTCTCGGTGCTCGCTCGACAAACTGAAATTTGCGCTCTAGTGATGTGAAGACACCAGTATTGTCACAAATATGATCAACCGCGGATCGAACAGACAGCAGCTCGTTACAACCAACATACCTAATTACCGACTGTCCAACTCGAGGATCAAGCGACCATTTTGACATCCAAAATCAGCCCTTGAAGCGCCCTTCTCGGCGTGTACGACATGCCGCGTACCCTTCGCTCCTTCCCGTATCCGGAAGAATGCAGGCGCTGACGTATGCTGGCGCCTCGACTAGGCATCCCCTCCGGACAACACTAAATACTCGGGTCCTGGATCGGCCTGCAAAAGCAAGTTCGACCAAGGCTTTTTCTTTACTCTTTTGTTCTAGAGTTTTCCTAACTTTTCTAATGCTTTAAGGCCCTGGTGTATCGACCTGAGTACCTCAAACAGACGCCATCCCTTCGCTTTGCCCAACGCATTCACGTGAATGGCGCATTCGAGACGAACACACCCAACCCTTGACTCTGGATTATGTCTATACAAAATGCGCCTGTCAGAGCAGCACAATGGCTCGGTCGCGAACTGGGGCTTGCGACTATGAAACAAGCCGGAAAAGATGTGTACATCATCATCCTGGCGCGTTACATCCGTCTTTTCGCATATGGCAGTGTGGCGCTCATCCTGGCACTCTTCTTTCAAGAGCAAGGCTTCTCAGACGAACAGATCGGACTATTCATGTCATTGACGTTGTTGGGAGACGTAGTCGTCAGCCTTCTTCTTACCCTCGTCGCCGATACACTTGGACGACGTCGCACTTTACTCCTCGGAGCGGTGTCTATGGCCATATCTGGCGCTGTGTTCGCCACAACGAGTAACTATGTTGCTTTGCTTCTCGCAGCTATCATCGGTGTTATCAGTCCGAGCGGAAACGAGATCGGGCCGTTCAGAGCCGTCGAAGAGTCGACGTTGGCGCATCTGGTGGCTGAGGACAAGAGATCAGATGTGTACACTTGGTACGTCGTCCTGGCTGTACTGGGCACGTCAACGGGTTTGGCCGTTGGTGGAGTGGCTGTCGACAACTTGCAAGCTATCGAGGGTTGGACGGATCTGGATGCGTATCGTGCGATATTCTGGATCTACACCGGTGTTGGTTGTATCAAGGCTTTGATGACACTCTTTTTGAGCCAGAGATGCGAACATAGCGACTGGAACGATGAACGCAACAAACCCGCTGCATCGCCCGAGACCGAACCATTACTGAACGGTCACGAAACCGAGGATTCAAGCACTGCGGCACGGGAACCATCCCCTAAAAAGTCCAAGAGATTCTGGCATTCTCTTAGCAAGATTTCCAAGTCAAGTCGCATCACTCTCATCAAGCTATGCAGCTTGTTTTTTCTAGATTCCTTAGGCTCTGGGATGGTTCCGTTCAGTTTGATCAACTACTACATGGAACGCAAATTTGATCTGCCAAAGGGCAAGTTAGGCGGCATCATGTCTGCAACGTGGTAAGTCATGTTTGCAAGCAAATTCCAACTTCAGAACCATGCACTAATCAACTAACAGGTTTGTATCGACACTTGGTAACGTCTTCGCTTCAAGTCTAGCGAAACGTCTCGGCTTGATTCAAGCCATGGTCTTTACTCACTTACCTTCCTCTATCTTCCTTGCGCTACTCCCGGTTCCTTCAGGCCTTGCTCTAACTATATGTCTTCTTGTTGGCCGCTCAGTGCTCAACTCTATGGACCAAGCGCCACGATCAGCCTTCCTCTCGATCGTCGTCTTACCCGGAGAGCGCACAGCTGTTATGGGAGTCGTGAACATACTCAAGACGCTGTCTCAGAGCAGTGGACCAAGTGTCACTGGTGTACTTGCTGGGAACAATCATTTCTGGGTCGCATTCGTTGCAGCGGGTAGCTTGAAAGCGACTTACGATTTGCTGCTACTCGCGTTCTTTGGCGGAAGGGTACAACCGCGGAAGGAGGAACCTGTACCCGAAGTAGTCAGGGGCGTCGAAGAGCATGACAATGTTGAACAGCCAGTGGACGTACAGAGGACGGCTTGATGTACTTTAACGGAAGTTGACCGAGCAGGCCCAGAAACGTTAAGTAGACCGACGTTAGCATAAGCCAAATTTTGGTACGATTCATAGCATCTACTGCGTTCAATGTGGCCATTGTTGAAGCTACACCGCTAGGTACGGATGGAAGCTGACATGGCCCTACCTCGGCAAGCTTCTTCCTAGGCTTACCTAGGTAAAGAGATGCTTCCCGTACGCCTACAAGGTCAAGTCAACACGACAACATCACAGTTGTTAGCATTCACCTTACATACCGTTTCCTGTTGCCGATCTTAGGCATGAGGGTTCTAGTCTTCACCTAGACATGCACGTTGTCTGCACGATGCGACCAGCTCAATGGTCAGCTAGTCGGCCAACTCTCCGATCGTCGACACTGGCGATCTAGCCGAGGACAGGCCTCTGGGCATGCACAGTGGGTGCACGAGATCAAGTGAGCGATGAATTACCCGAGCCCTTCAGCGTTGATTTCGAGCTGGCTAACTACACCAAGAAGGTCGCATATTTCGATACCCAATCATACTCGAGCACGGCCGCAGGAGATGAAAACTCCACTTGTCTGCACGCGACCCAGACCCTGGCGTGCATGGTTCGCCGCTACAACTACGCTTACCCTAACGATACTCGGACCCCGCAAAATTTTATGCTTAAAGACCGCCTCATGTCCTACCACCCAATGTCACGGTAGCAGTTCCCCGGATTCTTTACTTTTGTTTTGGTCAAGAGTGAGTGGAGCGGCGTCGCAGACCCCACTATCGTCCTAGAACAGTTCAGGCGATCGCCATCGGCCCGATCGTTTGGTTTGGAGAAAGTTGACGACAGTAACCATGGCGGAAGAGAAGGATATCCAGCCTACCATGGCTCCTCCCCTGGATCATGATTTCGATCATGAGGCTGATCACAAGCGCGCTGCCAACAAACTTGTTGACGACGCACGACTCGCTACCGACAATGAACGGAAGATGACCCTGATGCAGGGCATCAAACTCTATCCCAAGGCGATTGGATGGTCTGTCCTCATCAGCACGTGTATCGTCATGGAAGGGTACGATGTTTGTCTACTGAACAACTTCTTCGGTTTCCCGCAATTCAAGCAAAAGTATGGCGAGCAGCTTCCGGACGGCTCATGGGAGATTCCAGCAGCATGGCAAGCCGGACTCTCGAACGGAGTTATTGTGGGCGAGATCATTGGACTGTTCCTCAACGGATGGATCAGTGAGGCTATTGGATACCGATACACTGTCATGGGATGCTTGCTTCTAATCATTGGCTTCACTACGATCTTTTTCACAGCTCAAACAGTGGTGCACTTGCTGGTTGCGGAGATTCTTTGTGGTATCCCATGGGGTGTCTTCCAGACGCTTACAATCACGTACGCTTGCGAAGTTTGCCCTGTTGCTCTACGCGGATACTGTACGTTTATCCAAACTCTACCACGCAACACACAAGCTTACATCAATTAGTGACGACCTACGTCAACTTCTGCTGGGGCCTAGGCCAAGTTATCGGCATTGGTGTCATTCGCTCCATGGTCGACCGACCTGATGAGTGGTCGTACCGTATTCCTTACGCGCTCCAATGGATGTGGCCAGTTCCTCTTATCATTGGTGTGTTCCTGGCACCCGAGTCGCCATGGTGGTTAGTCCGTAAGGGGAGAATCGACGATGCGAAGAAGGCTCTGCTTCGACTTACCAGCCTCGACCGCGAAACCGATTTCGATGCCGATGAAACGGTAGCAATGATGGTACACACTACTGCTCTCGAGGAGAAGATCACTCAAGGAGCTAGCTACTGGGACTGCTTCAAAGGTACTGACTTGCGTCGTACTGAGATCGTGTGCATGGCCTGGGCGATTCAGAACCTGAGTGGAAATGCTTTCTCTGGATACTCATCTTACTTCCTTCAACAAGCTGGCCTACCCGCATCAACTTCCTACGACTTCGCAATGGGCCAGTATGGTATCAACATGGCCGGTGTCTTTGGCGCATGGTACCTTATGAAAGTTGGGTTTGGACGACGAACGCTCTATCTAGGAGGTCTCTGTGGACTATGTGCTATGCTCTTCGTCATGGGCTTCCTTGGCTTGGTGCCAGACTCTCAGCGCGAAACGGGTGCTATGGCTACTGGAGCTATGATGATAGTGTGGGCCATGTTCTACCAGCTGACTGTCGGTACCGTGTGCTACTCCCTCGTTGCTGAGCTCTCCACACGTCGCCTCGCTATCAAGACTGTTGTTCTCGGTCGCAACCTTTACAACGTTATCGGCATCATCACATCCGTTCTCACGCCCTACATGCTCAACCCAGGAGCCTGGAACTGGTAAGTGCTTCTTGTTCCCTACTCATCAACATACTAAATGAACTACAGGGGCAACTACGCCGGATTCTTCTGGGCCGGGTCCTGCTTCCTAAGTATCGTCTACACGTATTTCCGTCTTCCTGAGCCCAAGGGCCGCTCCTTCGCCGAGCTAGATCTGCTCTTCGAGAAGCGAATTAGCGCGCGCAAGTTTGCGAGCACATCTGTCGATGTGTTTGAGGATAGTCATATCCAGGGAACTGCTGCTTTTGACCGCTACGAAGAAAAAGTTGATGCTGCTGTGAGAACCGAATCTGTTGCTGCTGGTGTTACGAAGGTTTAATGACAAGAAGATTTAGGGTGCGATGTGATAAAGAGAAGAATGTGCATGAGCGTATGATGCATGTTCCATATAACGGGACCCATGGGCTTTGGTACTACTTTAATCAATTTCTCCGTTACGCTTCATCTGGCTTTAAATTCTGCCCTATGTGATAAAGCTCGACATATGCGATGCAGTATCGCCAAGTTCTCGTCCGAGATGATTGGACTTGGCATCCTAGGCTGCTGCGAGAGCGGGGCATTGTGCTGCGGACAAGGTTGCTTCCTTTCTTTCCCATCTACAATAATCTGATTGGCGTTGATACAACCATCGAGGAACGAAATTCTCTTGTCGATTGCATCGATCCACCTCGTGATTTGATCACATCTGCATACATGGAGGAGATAGTCAGGAGAAATGAGTGAGGTTCAGGTCTTTTGTTTACGTTGCCGTTGTTGCTAACGATCAGCTATTTACAGATATATCGGCTCTAATCAAGAGCGAAAAATAGTAATTGAGGCAGCAATTGCAGGAAGGAGAAGATGCCGCAAGCTGGCCAACGAACTCCACGCCGTGTTGCCTAGAGAGCTCCGAAACATGATCTACACTTACATCGTGGGACCGTCAGCCCAGCTTGAGTACGCTTTTGACATCCATGGCATCATTCAAATTGGCTTCTTCGAGCCTGGGCAATCCGAAGATCTCGAAAGTTTATCCATGTTTGGCGAAAGTTGTCAAATTCAACCCAGATCCTGGGCTATGGACCCAGCATACTTTGGAACCGATGTAGTAAAAGAGCTAGCGGAAGCTTACTATGCTTTGAATCGTTTTGCACTTACCTCGGAGGAGTTCTTATATCCATTTCTGACCTTCGACCCGTTGGCCCTAGGTATAAAGCCCTACGAGCATATCCGGCGCCTTGACCTTACGCTCGATTTCGAGGATCCCCGTGACGTAAACTTTGCCAGTGTCGCAACTCACCTACAAGCTCTACAACTCATCCCTGAAAAGCGGCGCAAGATGGACATACACGTCAATCTCACCACGTCTTTTACACCATATCACAACACCAAATTCTGGTATTCAGTTGGAGCCGAGCGCATCATGCTCAATATCCTCGAGTTACTCAGATGGCCCGTATACGAGTTACTGCACAAGGGACATGCGATCCAGGTTCTCCATGAAAACTTGGATGGACGGGACAGGACAAGTTTGCAAATCCCACAGAGGAATCTAACAAGTTATTGCTCTTCAAATTCAAAGATGTCTCACAAGGCTGATTTCTTCTACATGACCAAGGAGGAGTGGCTCAAGGTAAATTGTGTTACTTTCTCGTTCTCTCCTCACTAACAACATGGAAAAGGAAAAGGGAGGAGATACCGTCGCGGATCCCGCATCCCACTATATCCTTGCACTGCCTACAGCCGCAAACGAAGCAAATAACGCGGATGAAGTAGTAGAAGACCACTTACTCGAAAAACGAGTTCGCAAAGCTCTGAAAAGGCGTTGGGATAAGGATAGTGCCCTCAACGGATTCAGTTACGGGTATGAGAATTAGGCGTGACTGCCTGCTATCATGTCAACAATACATGTGCTATGCGAACAAACATTCTGGTTCACCCACAAAGTAGAGACAATCAAGACGCAGTAACGCAAAAGTCAAGTTGATCATCACAAGCAAACAATTAGATTAGTTACGAACATTATGCGCAAAGCATCGCTCAGACCAAATCCACACTACTACTAGCCAGCACGAAGACTGACCAAAGCCGCCGTCTCAAGGTGTAAGCTTAGTACAAGAAAAGTAACGGAACAAAGGAAAGGGCGTGCGTCGCAGCGGTGGTGGAAAATGAGAGAGTAAACGCTCAAGGGTATGAAGTTTGTGTGACAAGCCATGCTAAACATATTTACTCATACAAAAGAGCGATCCGTGGTACGTGAACGGTTGATCTGGATGACAGCGACAAAGATATTTAGTTTCCGCCAGAGGCCAGGTGGTCAGCGGCCTGTCAAATATGTTAGTTTAGCTTCTTTATCTGAGAGAATAGTTACACCGCTTACCTTGTTGATGTCGTAGTCGTACTTCTCGAGCGCAGACAAGGCATCGTTGCGATCATAGCCCATGCCGGTCAGCTTCTTGAGAATGGGGTCGTCATGCTCGGTTCCAGTGCTGATTGCACGGCCAAGCGATGGCATCTGAGGAGACAGTTGATGCGATTTGGATGAAGAAGCGGCCGCCTCTTCATTGTCGAGGGTGTCAAAGACAGACTTGCCAAAGTCAGTGGATGCTTGCTGTGAGTGCGAGCCCTTGTCGGTCTGTGACGACTCGAGGTTGGAGAAGATGGCGTCCCAGTCCTGAGAAGAGGCAGCGGGCTGAGGCTGCTGAGGTTGTCCTCCAAAAGTCTGCGACAAGTGCTCGAAGTCGCTGAAGCTGTCATCGCCGCGCGGCTTGCCGGTCGGGGTCTGCTGCGAAGCCATGGTGTTGGACTTGGAGGCAGCTGGTGAGTCGAACACGGGGTTGAATTCGTCAAGACCTTCACGGTGCTGCGAAGAGAACATGAAGTCCTCATCAGCCCTGTCGTCTTCCTTGGCATCCGCTAGGTCATCGAATCCGGCGTCGAAGTCATCATTGAAGGCAGACTTGCCAAGTTGGGGCGCGTTAGTAGACGGCGAGGGACCCTTGTTGTTGTTGTTGTTGTTGTTGTCATTGGCACCGTACGACAGAGCAGAATGGTATTGATCGGATGGTACGGTCGACGATGGAGTGTCTAGAGGAGGGGGCGATGTTGTCGCAGATTTGGACGGGCCACCAAAGAGAGCAGCTCCGTGACCACCGGGGGGATTGTACGACTTCTCGGGGCCCTGCGCTGTATCAGGCGAGCTTGGCGATGTAGGGTCTTCGCGAGAGGGCAGCAGGCCGCCGAACTCGGGAGGGAATTGGTTCGATCCACTTCTGGTTTGGTTCACACTGGACTCGTAGGTAGGTGGTGATTTTTGCGCGCTAGGGGAGGGCAAGCCACCAATGTTGGAGTCCAGGCGAGTAGTCGGTGGTGGGGCTCTGTAGAGCTCATCGCTCGACGCAGTACCCGGTCGCTGCTGTTGCTGAGGACGCTGCTCTTGTCCGGTGCTAGTACGCTTCTGATTGGGCGACGCGGATGTAAAGTTGTCGTCAAAGCCCCGCTCATCGTTGCTGTCGCTATCATCATCGTGAGCAAGATCCTCAATCGGCGGGAACTCCTTGTTGAACTTGTTGGAGTTGTCCGCAGTTGCGCTCGTAGTAGATGCGGTGGCAGTGTTCTGACGGTTAGGACCGAAGCCAGCGAAAGCCGCGTCGAAATCATCCTTACCTCCACGGGGCTGTTCATTGGAGGTGCTGCCAAAGGGGTCGGCACGGTTGTTGTTCCTGTTTGGACCACTCAAACTGCTCTCTCCAGTCTGGTTCTGCTGGAGAGGCGTAGCGCCGTCTCGAGGGAAGGCTCCAGGGATGTCTTGCCCAACACCAGCAGAGGGTGCTCCGAAGTTCGTGAAGGTGTCCTTGCGATCCTCAGCTCTGGTTGAGCGCTGAGTGTCACTGGTGACGCTGGCCACAGGGGAGGCTGAGAAGTTTCTGTTGAACAAGGAAGGGTTGAAGTTGTCGGTTTCGGTCCTGTTTGTCTCAGAGCGCTCTACGGCGGGCTTCTCAGCTATAGGAGTACTAGCAGGTGAGGCCTGTGAGATCGTAGGTGTCTCATTGCCAGTGGCACCATATCTGCTAGCAGGAGCAGTCCCGCGTACAGAGGAGCTGAAAGAGTCGGATCGTTGGCCACCCTCTCTTAGAGGCAAGAATGAAGAGCCGAACTGGCGCGACTCCGGAGGAGCTGGTGGGTCTGCACCACGCGGAGACTCCTGGTAAGACGACAGAGGAGGCGATGTAGAAGGTGTGGGAACACCAGGTCCTTCCGAAGATTGTACCGACTGGCCGGATGGGACAGAGAAGCTAGGACCTTGGCTCTGGTTCTCGGGACGGAAGGACACAGGAGGTGCACTGCTTTGGGGTGTGCCGAAGCTACCGAACACGCTGTCAAAGTCTTTGTGGGGTCCTTCACGGGCAAAGCCAGACGGCGACATGGTGTTCTCAGCAGGCTGTGGGGACTTGCGGAAGAACGGGTTCGTGCTTTGACTGGTCGTGGAAGCCGCAGGGCTGACAACGGCGGGTGTCTGGGCTTGGGGACTACGAGTGCCCTCCTCCTGAGACTTGGTCAAGTCGCTCATCTCATTCTTAATCTTGTCGCGTTCTCCCTCGTTGGTAGCAAGCTGCTTCTTGTTGATTGCCACCATACCCTTCTGCTGGCGAGCATCGTTCCTCATCTTGTCAAGCTGAGGTCGGAGCTGTCCGATCTCAGCGTTGAGCTGACGGATACGCTCCTTCAAGTTGTTGTTCTCGCGTTGGTCAGCCTCAAGTTGACCTCCCACTTGTCGGTGCTGGTTCTGGAGATCCTGGTAGGATCCCTCGATCATAGCAAGGTCTTGTTGCAACTTCCGGGTCTCGTTACGGGAGCTAGCCAGTCGGTCCTCCAATGCCTTGACAGCCTTGACCTCCTGGTCATACTGGGTCTTGAACTGCGATAGGCGGAGCTCGAGGTCGCGCTTCTGGGTATTGACACTGTTCAGATCGCCCTCGGTTGCGGTCTTCTTGTTCTGAACCTCCTGCATCTGGTTTCGCAGAGTGGTCATCTGGTTCGACATATTGGCTAAGTCGGTTGAGTCTTGCGTTAGTTTCTTGTTAATTTCAGCAACATCCTCTCCGCCCAACAAATCGTCCATTGCGGATGGCGTAGAGTGTTGTGGCAGGCCAGAAGCACCCGATTGTCCCGTAGAATGCGCGGTAAGAGTTTGACCAAACGACGAGCTAGGCATGAAGGGCTTGAACGTAGAGGCAGGGTTCCTCGGTTGAGGCTGGAATGGGTGAGGTGAAGTAGGCGAAGTCGGCTTGCTTCCAAATGGGTCGGCCTCGAAGGGTTTGCTGAACGTAGCAGAGCCACCTGTCGACTGCGGTTGCTGAGGAGCAGGAGCCGGTGCTGTGAAGGCGTCAAGGCCAAAGAGATCTTCTGCAGCTGATTTGGCAGCACGAGGAACGGGTGGTGCAGGTTGGGGCGCAGCGACTGGTACTGCTTGGTTGGCGGCGGTCCGTAGGCTTGGAGGAATCAAACTAGGTGGTAGTGTCGCTGGCAGCTGGTCTCCTTTCCGTTGTTGACGGATCAGATACATTGCGACCGCGAACTCGTCCTTGGATAGTTGACCCTCTGAATTAATGTCTGCAAGGTCCCATATTCCCGCAAGGACATCTTCGGGTAGCCCGGAGTCACTGAAGAAGCGCACTGCCTGGTCTCCAGTAATGAAGCCACGGCCCATGGTGTCGACGGTCTTGAAGAGGTTGTCGTATGAAGCCTTCTCTTGTGGGCTGATCAGCCAATCGCTGCCAGTCGGTTGAGGTGGTGGAGCTGGTGCTCCAAAAGGCGTCCTTCCAAGGGGACTCGATTGCCGTGGCACGTTTTGCTGGCCGCTGAACTGGCGTGGAATGGACATTGATTGGTCTGGACGTCCTGGGGGAGGTGCGAGTTGCCCTCGTCGCGAGGCGGCTTCGTACAAGCCTGGGGGTAGCGCAGTCGGAAGTGCCTTCATGTTGCCTGTTCGGTACGAGGCCAGCATGTGCATGGCGATGATGAACTCGGTCACATTGAGAGCGCCGCGCTGCTCGGTGTCGGAAAGATTCCAGATGCGGCCGAGGACTTCATTGGGTAACCGCGCTTTTTCGAAAATCTCCTTTGCATTTTCACCTGGTATATGTTAGAGAGGTGTGCTAACAAGTCGTCGGAAGACATACCAGAGAGCACGCCATTGACGGCACCAGACTTCTCGAACAGGCCTGCGTATTCAGCAGCCTTGGCAGGTACTAGCGGAGGTACTCGGATGGGGCCGTTGCCGCTCATCTGAGGTTGTATGGAACCAGTGGGTTGTGGGGAGAAGCTAGGAGGTGCAGGAACAGAAGGGGCTGCCGATGGGATGTTCAAGCCCTCGAACTTGGGCAGGGGCGCGGCTAGATGAGCGTCAGCGCAAAGTCATGGCGGAAAGCGTCGAGAACATACGTCTGAAAGCCAGCTCTGGGGAGGGATCGCGGCCAGCCTGGTAGTGTCCGATGAGACGCAGGACCTGGCAGAAGCCGGCCATGGTCAAGAGACCGCGGTTCTCTGTGTCTGCAATCTGCCATATCTCACCCAGGACGGCTGGTGCCAACTTGGTGCGCTCGAAGAACTTGACGGCAATCTCGCCTGTTATGACGCCCAGCTTCTCCGTGTCGGCTTGCTGGAAGAGATACTGGAAGACGCGCTTCTCCTCGGGCGTCAGGTTGAGAACGGGCTGGTCTGCGCCGCATTAGCTGGGGTTCGAGGCGGGTGTCTGTCAAGACAAGTGACCACATACTCAATTCGCCGCTTTGCGAGAGGTCCGCCATGGCTGTGTGGGCGCAACGGGCGGCACTCGTGGGTATAGGGCTTCTGCCTGGGTGTATGAGGCTGAAGCTCCCGGCGCTGTCGTGTAATGGAGCGGGGAAGCTTTGGGCGGCCGGGCACGGGAAAGTCGCACAACTAGCGGTGGGCGGCTAGACGCGAAAAAACCTCTTCGAGGAGGGAAGATGGCCCGGTGAGGAAGGAGGGAGAGGCGATGGGGGTATTGATGTTGTTGGAGTGTGGGAGATGCGCCGGAAGCTTGATCCTCGTCGTCGCTACTAGGCGGAAGCTACCTGGCCTAGTGCTGGGTCGATGCTCATGGCTGTTTATTGGGCGGAGCACGGCAGCTGTCAATCTTGTGCGCATCAGCCACGCTGTCTCATGCATGTCCCAACACCCAGTCAGTGGCCTGCACATGGCCGGCCTCCGCATCTGCAGAATGCCACCAGCCAATGGCCCCCTCTGAATATCTTCCGATGCGCTTTTTGACCCACGTCGTCATCAGTATGGCGGATACGCATCTGAAGTCGATGCTGTTGTGTCATCGTGTTTGTTGTCGTTGTTATTGTATTCATTTTGTACATTATCCAAATGGCATTACTTCGTGATTACATGTCTTGTACAAGAGTGGTGAAAGTCCAAGGGTGGAACAACAAGATCTTCATCGCCGCTCACCACGACCCCGGCTGTTCTTCTCCCTCCAACATCTAGCAAATGCCAGACTAGGGCTGACTTCCTCACGTCTGCCCCACGCCCGCCCCAGCAGCCAGTCAGTGACACTGATGACCTTCGCTGTCCTGTCCCAATGCTGGCCCTCTTCTGTATGCTCGATGATGTGATTCAAGATGCGCCCCTCTTCGTCGAATTCAAACTTGAAGAGCCCAGTAAACTCCTGGTGGGGTCGTTTCGATCCTGCGACGATGCTCGTAATCTTTTCAACAACGTCGCTGACTTGGCCGTTGTCCTTCTTCTCCGATTTGCATGTCTGCCATCGGACTATAAGCTTCTCGTTGCGTACGTTGCTCGCTGACGAGGCGCCGTTCTTGACCATGCGCTCAGATAATATCTCGAGCTTCACATTGCCGAGTACTGGTACCTGGCCCCATGCGACTGGTGCTGTCCACAGTGCAGCTGCGTATGCGAACCTTCCGCTCACGGTGGGTAGATGAGGATGCGTCGAGGGAAATAGGTGGAGGCTGATGTGCGGGGAGAGGATGTCTTGCGGCAAGGGCGATATGAGGAGCGTGGGCAGGCGGTCGTGGAGCACCCGTATGGCTGTGGTCGTGTCAGTGGCCTGATGCGCTGCTCGACAGAGGACCAACTTACTGTTTCCGAGTTTCAAGTTGCGCTCGTTCAGTCGCTCCTTCCCGCGCTCATCGGGCTCGGGGTGTTTGCATGGCGACGAGCTAGTAAACCAGTGCCTGGACACGGATGCTTGCTTCGCGCCTACGGCTGTGATGTTCCTCTTGTACTGCTTGAGCCCCAGCAGCCGGGGCACAGTGAGCGATCGTGCTGGGCAAGTCAGAAGTTGCGTGCGGGCAGATGTCGAAAAGCGCCGCATCAGACCGCTGGTCATCTGTGTGGATAGGGATATGCGACCATAGGTAAGGATATGCTAGGTGGTGAGATGCCAATTGCGGAGGATTCGGTGTTTTCGTGCGCTAGTCGTACCACGGGAAAAGAAATGGATGGTGCATGGGTGGGTCCCTCCCGATTCCCATATGCCGGGGTATCGATCGTGACGTAGGTTTAGCGACTATCTCAATCTGTACTTCCCGCTGTATGCTACCGTCCTCGCCACGCCCATGTTCGCATTGAGATGTTCCGGTGGGACTATCGACCCTGACTTGCATAATGACGCCTATAAAGATCGAGTTTCCTCTGCTGAGGCCCAGCGTGTATGAACATCCAATCCCCTTTCCCCAGATTCTATAGAGCGCCTACCAGATAATCAATTGGTTTACAGCCGGTAAGAGCGACCCCGCAATTACCCCATGCCGATGCTAATACTAACAACTCCATCGTTAGTCTACGAAGATATAAGAACGTTCCTCAACTTTCCAGCTTCTCCACAATGGCCCCCTCTGGAAAGCGCATCGTCTTCACCGGTGGCTCAGGAAAAGCCGGACGCCATGTCATCCCGGAACTCATCAAGAAGGGGCATTCCGTCCTCAACTGTGATCTAACCGATTTTCCTGACCCGGACGCTGGTGTTTTTACTCTCAAGACTGACCTTACGGACAGGTAAGTTGTGACTGTACAAAATGTTTATGTGACATACACTGACTTTTTGTCTTCACCTCTGCAGCGGCCAAATCTTCAATGCGCTCACAACCCACTTCAACTTTGCCGGCTATGAAGGCCCTCATGTACCTGGTCCACCCGACGCAGTCATTCACTTTGCCGCCTATGCACGAAACATGCTTGTACCTGACAATGAGTGCTACGCTGGCAACGTCAGGTCAACATACAACGTCATCGAAGCAGCATGCAAACTCGGTGTTAAGAAGATTATCATCGCCAGCAGTGAGACAACATACGAAGTTTGCTTTGGCCAAGGAGATCTCGACTATGCCGCTTTCCCTCTAACCGAAGATATGGACGTAAATCCCATGGACACATATGCCATCTCAAAACTCTGTGGTGAGCGCGTAGCTCGCGGGTTTGCACGCCGCTTCGACGCCGACATCTATGTAAGTCATCTCCATGTACAAACTGCGTATGAGACATCTATTAATTCCGTACACCCATATACAGGCGCTCCGCATTGGTAACGTCATTGAGCCTCACGAGTATGAGCGTGACTTTCCAAAGTACATCAAGTCCCCGGAGGTTCGCAAGAGGAATGCCTGGGCGTACATTGATGCTCGTGATTTGGGCCAGATATGCGACTTGTGTGTATCGAAAGACGGATTAGGCTTCCAGGTCTTCAACGCGACAAATGACACTATTACCGCTACGTTCCCGACGAAACAGTTCCTGGAGCAGTACGCCCCGAATACACCCATTACACGGGAGATGGACGAGTGGGAGGCGCCACTGAGTAACCGCAAGATCAGAGATGTTCTCGGATTCAAGGAGGAACATAACTGGCGGAAGTACTACAACCCTGATAAATAGAAGAAGATGTGATCGGCCTAGTAATACCATCACGAGGCCACAAGTCACACAAGTAAAAAGCCTTCAAACAAGTCTAAATATTGAGACAATCAAGCTGTTCATATTATTGGAACCTTAGACCCCACCCCCTCTCACTTCTACATCACTCTGCCCATGCTTTTCACTTACTGCAGCAACGACATGTCCATCGTCCCCACTCAAACCCCTCTCTGCACCACCAACTTTCACCCGTCCAGTATCCCCTTTGTGACCCTGGGTACCAATTCTCAAGAAAGGCACCAGAAGCAAACCGGGTACAGAAACAGCAGCCGCAAACCAAAACACTGCTGCAAATGGCTCGACAGTATTGTTGCCATAATAACCAGAGGTAGCAGGATTTCTTTGCACAGCGTCAAATATGGCAGTCGCGATACCATATGCGATGGCTGTACACAGACGAGTCAAAGTCTGGAAGAGCGAACCTGCGATAGACTGCTTGTTGGTAGGCATCGAGGAGAGGACGTACATCTACGCGTAATCAGTACGAACAATAAAAAAGGTGGCGGAAGCCGAGTCGGAATGGGCCATTAAACATACATTAGCGACGATGAACTGGAAGTCCACCCCGATCACACACAAACATAGCGCAGGGAAAGAGAAAGCCCAATATGAGTCCCCGTACCTCTGTACAGCAGCCAGAGTAAAGGATATGGTTAGTGCGGCGGCACCGATGCCTACGAGCAGTTTGTTGGAAACTTTGTGTTGGATTAGGGCAGCGACGGCATTAGCGGTGAGGCCTACAACGACCATGGGTAGCATGTGTACGCCGGTCATAAGTGCGTTGTAGTTCAACTCTGTTTGGAAGTAGAGTGCGATCCAGAAGGATAGAACCGGGAACCCAAGAAACCCGCATGAGAGGATTGCGAGGAGCTGATTTAGTATATATGTTAGTAACTTGCCGGGACATGGGAGTCAGGAGAGAAGGACAGTACTTACGAGAGAAAAATCCCTGTCGTACCAGATCTTCATATCGATCATAGCATATGGGTACTTGATCTCCCACACTATGAAAGCCGCAATTAGCATGATGCCTAGAATCAGTAGGACAAGAACATAAGGCGTCTTCCACCCGTTCGGCGCATCGCCTCCCAAACTGGCCAACGTCAGCGAAGTAACTCCTCAACTAGTTCGAAAACATACCTCAAAGCCGCACAAAACATGCCGATCCCAAAGATAGTCAACGCAGTACCCGGCAAATCAAGCTTCTTCAACGTCTCCTTGTCCAGCGTCTGCTTCGGCTGCGTATCCCTTGGTACAGTAAAAGCCGCAACGATACTTGTCACAAAGTATACTATAGCTAACAGGAAGAAACCAGCCCTCCAGCTAAAGACCTGGGTGAATAGTCCAGACAGAATAGTTCCAAACACAAAGCCCATGGGGTTTCCTGCACTAAAACACCCAAATGCTCTGTTCTTCCTCCGACTAGGTCTCTCATAGATGGCGCCAAGCATGCCTTGAGCCGGGGGCACAGAGGAAGCGGAAAAGATACCTAGGACGCCACAAAGTATGTCGAGAGTCATGCCAGACTGTGAGAAGCCGGCGCCGAGGCAGAAGACGGAGAAGAAGAATAGCGAGCCGATGAACATGGACTTGCGACCGAAAAGATCCGCTATGCTGCCGAAGAAGAGGAGGAGAGAACCTGCTGTAAGAGACGTCGCAGCATTCATCCATGTGATTTCCGCGTTCGTCATGCCTAAATCTCGACCTGCGAAGGAACTCATGACGGTGATGGAGCCGGTTAAAAAGCTCGTCATGGCCACAGCCATCGTCACCGAGACGATAAACATGCATTCTTGGAACGTGGATGTGAAGCAGTCTGGTCGCGAGTTGGGATCCTTGTTGCTGATTGGTTGTGAGAGGGTAGTGGCGAGTTCGGCATCTGTATCGGCGTCCATCTTGCTAGCAGATGATGTATGAAAACAAGAACACAAGGCAAACGAAGCGAACAGATGCAGAGATAATCTAAAAACGCTGGGAGCGATGAAGCAAGATCTGATAAGGATCAAAAGAAAGTGTAAACCATGAAATTATTCAGCGCGCGGAATTGCTCCATGGGGCGTTGCATGTTGTCTAGCCGCTATTTAGGCAAGTATGGCTGCGCTATCCCTGGGCTGGACGTGGAAGAACGTTTACGAGCGATTACCGACTCAAAGAACGAACAGGTCAAGGATCACGCTATAGATCCGCGGAGTACACCAACAGTATACTAAGATTAACCAACGAAGACGTGAAGCCTGAAGAATAGCAGAGATGGGTATCGCTGATCAACATGCATTGTCTTACAATTTGATCACCTTCCACTCACCTAAGTGCATGCGCCCTAGTTGGCCTCCCAGTGGGCCCTGCACCTCTCTGCCGTTGGCCCAGAGCTTCTTGCCTGCCCAATGTTCGATGAAGCCATCTGGCCCTGACACTATGATCAATCTAGAGCCTTTCTCCTCCGGTTGCCTTTGTATTCTCTTCTCGATCTCACTCGGGCTTGGGAACGAGTTCTCTTCATCAACATAGTAGTTGACAGTCAAGCCTTTTGTGGCGACTCCGCTCTGCTCCTTGAGCGCATCCAGTTCCTTTACTATGACGCCCTTGGGTGCAGCGGGTGAGTCGTCTGCAAGCGGTGGTTGCGCAACAGGCTCGCCGGAACCGAAGAAGCTCTTCCACCAGCCTACTCTGCCCCGCGCGGACGTTGTGCTTCTATCGTCGCTGATGCCACCTTCGCATTCTTCACGGCGTCTGTTCGCCCATAGTATGTGCATCCGACTTCCAGTCCTTCTTGCCAGCGCCTGCGCAACCTGCATTGCGGGTGCTATGCCAGTTCCGCCTGCCAGAAAGACAACCTCTATGATGTCGCGGGGAAGCTTGAGTTCGGTATTCGGTCCTCGCAATTCGACCGTGGACTGTTCGGGTAGGCGGTGCAGGTAGGTCGAAACCTCGCCGCCCTGTTCCTGCCGTATGAGCAACCTCATGTCTTCCGGCTCGTTCTCGCCATGCTTTTGATCGGGAGGCGTAGGGGGCAGCGGTGTGTATGCACGTGCAATCTGTAATTGTGGTTGCTTAATCTGAACGCTCCAGACGCTTCGCTTCCACACCTCCTTTACGCTCTCTGTGTCCGATACGCCATTGCTGTTGCGCAATGTGAAGATTGCGCTGGTGGAAGAGACGGGTTGCTTGTCTACGAGCGTGTACGGCGTGAAATCATACGGGTTCAGCGATGCGTCGGATCGGTCTGCGGATCTGGTGAAGCGGTACACGGCGCCCCCAACGGCTGAGGTTCCGAGAACTATCAATGGACCTGCTCGCCGCTTGAGCCAGGACATGGCGTGCGTAGAGCTTGCGCTTCTCTAATGACAATGATGTTCTTGCTTGTTGCAGATGCAAAGATAGCTAGAATTTCGACATGACGACATGGGCCCATGCGCGTTGCCCGCTCTAGTATGCCGAGGTGTGACCATATCCAAACGCCTTATTGCCAGAGGGATACGCTTCACCTGTGTCGTGTTCGAGACATGAATTGAAACTGTTTAAGCTTATACCAAGTTGCATTTCAGTATCAACCTGCAGACACACTTTCAAGAAAATGTACGATGTTGCGAGGGTTCGGCTTCGCAGCTGTGTCGCGTGTCGCATACTAGTGTAACGCGTCTCCGACTTCTGGAATATAAGGCGGGGGGTTTTAAGGAGGTGGCAAGAGTCCGATCTGCCAGGTGAAACAGCATTAGCGAAGGGTTGTCATTCCTTTTTGAGGACATGCACACCTCGAAAGCGTCGAGAAGCTAAGCGGCCGCTTCCGTTGGACCCTGCATTCGGAGCCACTTGAACCTAACCAAGTGGCGTCCTGGCATAAGATCGCTATTTTGCACTGCGTGACACGATCATCTTCATTCATCTCTCACACCGCCCCTCTACCATTTGCCTACTCAGATTTGATCCGGACAGAAGCCCTCTTCCGCGGCTCCGCAACGCGCGCCGGCGAACCGCCGGACTTATCACGGGATAAGATTTCAGCCCTATCGACATTTCCTTAGACTTTTCATCGACCACGATAAAACACCAAACAGTCGCTCAGACGCTGTTTCCAGGCTTCTACAAGGCTGTAAATCGAACTACATTCTGGCATCGCCCAAAAGTGACCAACTGTTCCGGCCTCCGTATAAACAATCGAGCGATGGCGCCCGCAATTCTGACTCAGCGCCCAAGGATACTCTGTCTGGACGCATATGACTCGTTTTCCAACAATATAGTCGCGCTGGTCGAACAGAATGTAGACGCAGAAGTCGTCAAGATCTTTATCGACGACCCTGTTCTCGCAAAACCATCAGCTTCCGGGGACTATTCAGCATTTACCGACTATCTGAAGGGCTTCGATGGCATCATTGCTGGGCCAGGACCTGGTTGGGCTAAATGCGACGAGGATGTTGGTTTGATGAAAGAACTTTGGAGACTGCGAGACGAACAGATTGTCCCTGTGCTTGGCATATGTCTCGGCTTTCAATCGCTTTGCCTTGCATTTGGGGCTGATATCGAAAGACTCAACGAGCCAAAGCATGGTATCATCACGGCTATCCTACACAAGAGCCAATCCATCTTCCGAGGTGTGGAGAGCCTTCTGGCAACCCAGTATCATTCTTTGCAAGTCAAACTCGATCATCCCATCCAAAACAAGCGCGCTGTACGGTATCCTGCACAACTCTGGGAGCCTACGGAAATCTGTCCCCAACTGGAGCCGCTGGCATGGGACTTTGACAGTGATCTTAATGGCGCCGTGCTCATGGGCGTCAAACATATACAGAAGCCATTCTGGGGTGTCCAGTTCCACCCAGAGTCAATCTGCACAAATGACGAGGGCAAGCGCATCATTCGGAATTGGTGGGAAGACGCCCAATCCTGGAACCGGAAACGTATGTTCCGGAACGTTCCCAAGCATGGTTTGATGCCAAACTTGCCATCTTCGCCAATGACTGCTGATGATTTCCGACGAGAGCTGGGCGTTTACGACGCCAGGAAACAGAGCAAGCGTTCTTACACAGACTTCGTCGCAAAACTCGATAGCGACACAATAACGCCATTTGAGCTTGCTTCGCTCATCGCACACGGAGACGGACAGTCATTACCAGACTTGCCACCGAGCACCGTACATTGCGCAACTACTGGAAGCGGAAGACTTACAGTAGCGGACGCTTGTGAGTTGTTCGAATTGACAAGAGGCGAAGCTATAGTGTTGGAGTCAGGGTTACAGTCGAATCTGGTGCCTATGGCTGTGGGGACGGGTCGGTACAGCATCATAGGTGTCGTTATTCCCGAGGAAACTCTACGTCTACATTATTACGCAGGCACCCGAAGGATGGAACTCCGAGACGGCAAAGGTCAGGTACATACCGATTGGACTGTGTCTGACCCATGGCCCTATGTGAGGGAGGTCATGAAGAGCCTTCAGCCTTCAACACCGCCAAAAGGCTCAACATGGGCTCCTTTCTGGGGAGGTCTTATGGGCTATGCGTCTTACGAGGCCGGCTTAGAGACAATCGATGTTCATGGTCACGAAGAAGCTTCGTATCCGGACATTTGCTTCGCTTATATAACGCGAAGTATCGTGTTTGACCATCAGTTCAAGAAGATCTATGTCCAGAGTATCCGCGGACCATTCGACCAAGACTGGGTTATTGACACAACGGAGAGACTGTATGAACACGCAGGTTTCAAGTCGCGTGAAACTACTCCAAACTCTGCAGCAATGAGACAGGCGGACCCTTTTGAGGCTCACGGCACAATGCACCAATACATCGACTCATGTGTTCAGCTCACTGTTGGCGAAACCGAGTACTGCAAGAAGGTCAGTGCTTGCCAGGATGCAATAGCAGACGGTCAGAGTTACGAGTTGTGCCTCACGCATCGCAACGAAATCCGTGCTCGCAAGCCAACAGCCTGCAAAATCTCTCACGCAGAGGACAATGAACACTCCTGGAATCTCTACAAGCGCTTGACCGGCCAAAACCCTGCGCCTTTCAGCGCCTACATGAGGATGCACAACGTACACATACTCTGCTCCTCACCAGAACGATACATAAGCTGGGACCGGTCGCAAACTGCACAGTGTCGACCAATAAAGGGAACAGTTCAAAAGAAACCTGGCGTGACTGCTGAGATGGCCCATGCTATCCTCTCATCCTCAAAGGAACGCGCAGAAAATCTCATGATTGTAGATCTTACTCGCCACCAGCTTCATGGCGTATATGGCTCCGAAAACGTCAGAGTAAGCCAGCTCATGGAAGTTGAAGAATACGAAACGCTCTGGCAACTGGTCTCAGTCGTCGATGCAGTGCCTAGCGGGATCTACAAACCCACCACTCCAGAAGATTGGGAAGATCCTGTAGAATACGCTTCCAAGAAGCCCGCCAAGCAATCCGTTCCTTACCTAGGATTCGATGCGTTCGTCGAAAGTCTGCCCCCAGGTAGCATGACTGGCGCACCCAAGAAGCGGTCTTGCGAGATTCTTCAGGATGTAGAAGACGGCGCAAGACGAGGCATATACTCAGGTGTGCTTGGTTATCTCGACGTCGGAGGCGGCGGTGACTTCAACGTCGTCATACGCACTGCTATCAAGATTGACGACGAACAAAGTGAAGAGAAAGGAGACGTCTGGCGTATCGGCGCTGGAGGAGCAGTCACCAGCCAAAGCACTCCACAAGGCGAATTTGAAGAAATGATTGCTAAATTTGGCAGCACTAAGAGAGCCTTCATGCCTTTGCCGCCACCGAAGCCGAAGACAAAGAACAGAAGGGTCGAAATCATTGAGCCTGATGACCCAGAGTTTGCGGAGCTGCTGGCGAGTATGAGGGGTGGGGAGGAATTGACGCTTGACGATGCGCAGATCATGTTGAGGGCAGTGGAACGCGAGCTAAGGAGAAGAAACGCTGCTGGCGAGAGCGATGATATTACGGAAGTGGAATGATTCATTTGATAGGAGTTTGGAAGGTCGGAGTTGTTGAGCTTAACCTGTGATACCATGTTTTGAGATAGAGATAGACATTTCTGGTTTCAACACCACTAACAACGATTGCTGTACACACGCATTCACTTTGAACCCCTTTTTCTGAGACTACATGATACTGCCAAAGAGCGCATGCCTGCTCAAGATGACAAGTCAACGATAGGCAGGTGCGATGACTAAGCGTGCGATTGGTGGGGAAACGTAGCATCGTCGTGTACCTCTACGTGTAGCAACACGACGCCAATACGCGATTCCTCGAGCATAACCGCGATGGCGACCGACGCGCCAGACCCACGAACCTTCGAGTCATGGGAAGACGCGTTCCAATATCCCATACCCGTAGTCCACAAGCTCGAACAGCAGCTCCGCAACAATGCCGACGAGAATCGGGAGAAGCTGCGGTCCCTCGTTGGGTAGGAGGCACCAGACAAATACGGGAGGAGCACCAAGAGGCTGACGGGAATACAGGGCGAGTTATCGCAGTCTCCTCGACACGGCCGAAACGATCATCGACATGGAAGTGCGCATGGAGCAGGTCGAAAGTAGGCTTTCAAGAGTAGGGCAGAGTTGCAACTCGCGAAGGCTGGACAAGATAACGAACAATGCGGGCAAGATGGATACCCATACACGAAGTCGCGGTCAGTCTACACAAATGCATTGGGAAGAGATTGTGGGTTGACGGGCAATAGATGCGGAGCGCTATACTTTCGCATCCCAGCTCTCAGTCATGCGCAATGCGCCGGTGGTCATGACGCGCCTCATGAAAACAGGAGGATCATATCTGCTCATTGCAAAAGTCCTGGTCATCTCGAGACTACTCCACAAGTCGCTGCTCAGTCAGCCCAGCCACAAGGCGCCCATTGTTGGTCAGCTGTGGGAGAGACTGCTGTCGGTACGGAGAAAGCTTCTTAGAAGGATTGACAAGCGCCTGTCGAGCACACAAGGCGAGACGGCGAGCCTGGTGGAAAGCATGTGTGCGTATGCGCTTGCGACGAGCTCTACGCCGACCGATGTATTACACCACTTTCATAAGATGCGGCTGGAGAAGATGAACAGCGAGCTTAGGGCTGGGGGCGATGAACTTGCGAAGCATGGCATTAGTGCGCTCAAGCTTTGTATACAGACATGTCTCGATACACAAACCATCTTTCCGCGACGCTTAGCAGAAGCTTTGAGCAAGCTGAAGGCGCACCCGCTGATACAAGACCCCGACATTCGCGGTCTATACGAGCTGAATCTGGACGTACACGATCGATGGCTAGGCGATGAGGCTCGGAACTACACGCCATGGCCGCGACACGACGAGCTGCAGCGGCCGGAAGCAGAGCGCATTTTGCACCGCTGGTCCAAGGACGTCATCGCTGCTTTCCTCAAAGGTATACAGAAAGCATTAGAGCAAGAAGAACGGCTCAAAGAGGTTGCGGACTTGAGACAAGAGTTGATTGAGACTTGGATACTGTCTGGTTCGCGAATGGCGGGTGTTAAGTCAGCCAACGTTCTCGATGATTTACGAGACACGATGAATGACAAGTTGGAGACTATAGTGCGATCCCGTACGAATGGGCTACAGGATGTCGTTGCCGAGCTTTCGAATCAGCTGGACGCAGTGTCCTCGTCAGACAAAGCCGTGGCGCTTTCACTCTGGGACACGACCACCAAAGCATCAGATTTGAGCAATGGTGCGCAAATCTTCAAATCTACCATACTCAACACCTATCAAGGGCGTGACGAGTCTGTTACTGGTGTGACGTCCGCTTTTGACAAGTGGATGGAGTCTGTCCTGGAAGTCAAGGGCATTGTCAAGAGCATGAAAGAAGCACGATGGGACGATACCTTCGCAGATGACGTCGACGATGAATCCGACGATGAGCTTGGAGATTCGAAACAAGCGCTACTTAGTGACGACGATCCGAAGTTACTTGAAGAAGCTACACAGGAAGCTTTGAGCGAAGCTATGCAGAACCTGAGTCAGAGCTTCAACGCTATCGTCAAGAAATCCGATGGCGAACAATCAACCCAAAAGGCGGCATTTATGCTTCGCGTGGTTAGAGAAATCGGCGATCGGATACCACGTTTAAGACTCCAGGATAAGGCAACACCGCTCGCATCGCCGTTCACTTCTGAAAGTCTTCAGCCTCTGCATACTACGCTGGCTTTGTGTGTAACCCAGCCCACTGTAGAGGCTTACAAGGCGTCGCTTTTAGGTTCTCTCAAAGTCAGAACGAACAGCCATATCCTGTGGGAAGGACATCCACCACTACCAAGCCAGCCGTCACCTAGCGCGTTTAGATTTTTGCGCACGCTGAACAAGAATATGGGGGCCCTTGGCAGCGATCTTTGGGCACCTGGTAGTGTTCAGGTATTGAGAAGTGGGGTGGCCGACAAAGTAGTCGAAACAGTTCAAGAGCATCTTGACGCCATTGACGTATATGCGAAAGAGCAGAGTTCTCCTGATGAGGATACGAGCGAGGAAAAGAAGGAAGACGAAAATTCTACAACGACAGATGAGACTGAGAAACCGAAACTCACCGTATCAACGTCGAACCACATTGAGGCAAAGGAGCAGAGAGTCAAGCAGCTACTGTTCGATCTTCTGTATATCCAGCGCTTCGTCAGTAACGCGGGCGAGGACGATGACAGGTTCGCATCGCTTGCTAAGAAGACAAACCTAGCGGATCTGGATGAAGCCGCAGTGAACAGGCTGAGGAAGACTGCAGCGGATTATGCGAAGAAGACGTACCTCCTCTTCGCGTTGCTAGCTTAGCACATGTCTAGATGTGATACTGATAACACAGACTTTTACATTCCCTTCTCGTTCGCTCATCGTACCATGATGTAAGAGCGAACAAGTGGCGTTTCCATCAAATCGTCCGCGGAGGCTTGGGATCGTCGGATAGACTTGCAAGGTGAACGAGTTTCAACGGTCGCAAGCTCCAGGTACAACTCCACTTAGTCTAACGCCACAACGGGTACATTGCAACAACGTCGGATGTAGTAGATGATTTCACAGCAAACTCTGCCATGTGTTCAGCAAGTGTTTTGTACCTATGCTAGTCAAGCTGTATGCCGGAGACTAATGCCGAAAATGTGAACGCCGTATATGATGGATATCTCAAGATGAAATGCTCAAGCCCAGCTCCCCGTCCCTAAAAGCGTCTTCTGTGACGACAAATACACACGCTCCATCTCCAAGTATGACTACGACACATCCATCTTGTCTTCTGTCCTCAGATCCTCGATCTCCTTCCTCAACATCTCAATCTCTTTTTCCTGTGCCTTCATCTTCTCGAGCGCCATTTCAATCAACCTCGCTTTGTTGACCGTCTTCTTCTCTCCCGGCACAGAATCCCCAGGCGGCACACCTTTCCCACTTTTCCCATTACTGGCATCGTCTGCCGAGGTTTTTTCGCTGCCGTCCGCACCATCTTTCCCTCGCATGACAACAAAACACGTAGTGCCACTGCCAAAAGTAACTTCACCATCGAGGAGAAATTCCGCAAGGTCCACCATGGCGTTCTTCATCCTGTCACGGCGCGCTTGTTCTGCAGCGCGGTGGGTGGCGCGCTTCATCATTACGCCTGTGGCCATGGCGGTGCTAAAGTGCAGACCCATCTCTAGGTGTTGGCCAGAAGAGATAAGCTCGTAGTTTGATTTCGAGGCTAGAAGGTCTGCCTGGGGGGTTGTTACACCTCCGGCTCCTGTCATGAGTTAGTGTGCTATCTATGTCCGTTTATTCAAAGCTTCATTAGGACGGATTGGTCACGAGACATGACGACAGAGATGAAAAAGAAGCATACCATTGCTGTCGGCCGGAATGATGCTGCTGCTTCTTCTCGCGATGGCGACCTTGTTTGGTGGCGGTGCTGATGATGCATGTGATATTGAGGAAATCGTACTCGCATTGTCTGTCGCTATTGATGGAGACCTTATCGAAGATACTGTTGGTGATGTGATTGATTGTGTTGCTACTGATGGTGATTTCAAGGGGCGGATAGGATGTATCGGCAACTGTACTGGCTGCTGTTGTGGTTGCATTTGCGGTGGTTGTGTCTGCATCTGTTGTAGGTGTTGCACCTGTTGCTGTTGTTGCTGCTGCTGCTGCTGGGCGCTCTCTCTAACCGGACTATATCTCCTCCTCTTCTTGAACAGCTGTGGCCATGTTCTACTCAGCGGCCCCCGGCCCTCATTCCTGTCGTTATTGGATGGTCCATTGGGCTGTGGATATGGCTGCATCGTTCATCGAACCTCAACACCAGACTCTTTGCGATGTATGTGCTACCCAGTAGTTCTCAAAAGGCAGTCGTAGGAACAGTGATAGTAGCAGCGGTAGTGCACCAGGGGAGGTATGCCCAACGCGGGCTGAATATGTCAGACTGGGCTACCACGCACAAGACGCGACAAGAACAACGACCAAGTAGTGAGCACGACGCCAACAAAAACCAGGGCGAAAGTAAGGAACTGACGGATCCAAGACTCTGGGGACCTTGAGCTTGATTAGCTGAGTTGTGCACGCGCAGCCGTGTCGCAGGCGGATAGAGAGCTTGTGCGTAAGCCGTCGAGTTCGGCCTCATCCATGGGTCGAGAGCAGCAGTCGCAGGAAGGCGTAGTAGACGCGCGATCTGGAACAGATTCCGCTCATGCTTGCACGGCGCCGTTAAAAGCAAATGGCGTCCGCAGCGCGAGTGATTGTGAGCGAAGCTTTTGCTTGGCGCAATCCAGAGACGTGGTGTTGTTGCTGACTTGGAGGTGCGTGAAGGCGTAGTCGAGCCAACCAAACCTCGCCCCGTGAGCACATGGGCTTGGCGTGTTGACGCATGCTGGTGCGCCCCTGTCTCAAACCTGGAGCGCCGAGTGCTTAGTTGCCACTCTTACTGCTCAAGAGGGTTATCAAGTGACATGCCTTCTATGGCAGGCTCGAGCTTCCGCTGCGGAAGCTACTCCATAGTGCCGCGACGGAGCATCGTGGAGGTCACCTTCTACATCCGGAGTCGTCCATGAAACAGCCGCCATCTTACATATGAAGCCGGGGGATCAATGAGGGCTGAAGAGGAAGACACGTGTCGGAGGTTCACCATGGCAAATGCTGTCTCGGCTTTTGCCGGCCTCCGATGCACTCGTTTACCGACAGATCATGATGATCGAGGTTGTGCGGCGAAGTAACCTTAATTCTTATCAGTCCAGGACGCTACCCCGCGGGGGATGCTAATCTTATCTGATTGGACATCAAGGTACCTGCCTGTGTGAATATCGGTATCAACTTTTCGCATCGCGGTATGCGGTTGAATGGACGTTTGATTCTCGTGTATAGAAATTTACATCTGCTAGAAAATGCATCTACATCATCGCAACTTAGCGCTACTCCACGCTGTTCGCTCTACTGACCATCTCGTGGCTTTCATAGCTTTGTTTGCCTTTGGCATGAACTCCAGGCACATACTCCAAATCTTCATCCTCTAGATCAGTATCCAAGTCTTCCTCGTTCAGCATTTCTGGGTTGAGTGAAAAGGCGCCCTTTGGAACAAATGTGCTTGTCATGACCAGCACACAGATTATGGTAAACTGTACGGCGCCTACATTCAGTATAGCCCCGTGAATCTGGTCATTGTGGCGATCCGAAACGCGGTCGATGTATGTACCGAGGGAAACGGATGCGATTGCGTAAGTGACAATGTATGTGCTATATAGGAACGCCATGACGGCTCCGAGTGCGGATACGTTTTGTGTCTTCGATTCGATGCGTGCTAGCGATGCCTGGATGTATGCGGCCAGCGATACGTCTCCGGCAGCCCACCCAAAACTGATGGGGAGGAATGTGGCTCCTACGATCCAAGCTTGGGCGACATCATCCTTTGGGGGGTTCCAGTACGGCAGGTACCAAACTATCAGCAGAGCCAGTGCGTCTAGCCGCAGCCATGGTATCGGGGTGTGTACCAAGTTGGTGAACATGAACACGAACAAGGCTCCCAGAAGTTCGCCAAAGTTTGAACCTCCCACTATAATCTGTGACCAGGCCGAGTTACCAAAGTAACGTCGTGCTACTGCAGGAGCGATCGCGTTCTCGAGATATCGGTGAGCGTAGAGTGCAACGGCATATCCAGGCAACAGCCAGATAAACTTGCGGTGTGTGAAGATGATCTTAGCACCAGTTCCGATCGACTCGAAGAAAAGGTAGAAGCCGTTTATCACGGCTTTGACGTAAGCCGGTTGGCTCTCTGAGATCAAAGACGTATTCTCCTTCGGGATGCTAGCTTCTTGGATGAAGTACCAGAGTATTGATGCGGCGGCGAAAAAGATGGGGGTGATGATGAAGCTGAAGTTGTTGCCGAAGCGAGGAATGAGTGCGAGTGCTGTGCAAAATGCACCAGCAGTACCGCTAATCTCGTAGAAGATGTGGACTAGAGAGTCCATTCGTCGGAGTTTCTGAATGTGGCCGCCGACCAAATCTCGAGGGATAACTCGTCGGATCAATTCAACCATGCCATAAACTATACCGCAGACGCAATCTGGTGACTGTCAGCAACCATGGAAGAACATATAAAGCACCAGCTGCCATGTTTGTCTAGATGCCCTCTTGGGCGGCAGGCTCAGGCGGCAGACAGCAGGGACGGAAGAACCTGAAAATGGAATCCTTGGACAAACTGAAAGCACAGACTTACAAATAGGTATCATGGCGTCCGTGTTGTAGTCACCGTAGTAACTAAAGTCATCCTCCGGCCATCCGCGCGGCGCGAATCTGCCACCAGTTGCAGCATCCAGAATCAGTAGAAGACTGCTCATGAGGGCAAATATGAGCACTGCGCAAGCCAAAACGTTCTTGGTTGGATATCTTTTGATGAGTGGAGCGATTAGGATTGAACCGACACACTGAAAGGCCTGATTAAGTCCCGTCAACACACCCACACGTTGGAATGTGATGGAAGTATGCGTCCTCTCGCCAAGATCATCGTATCGATTGGTCGCAAGCGCAATAACAGATCCGTTGAAAGCCTCGAGTCCGAACTTGTACATCATTATGCCAGCGATGTACATGGCGATGTTCCTGCGCTCGACAGGCGTGTAGATATTCCATGTTTCCCGAATGACAGCAATAGGCCGGACCATGGTGACAGTCGGAGTACGTAAGGTGCAGTGGTGGTGCTACGGGGAGCAACAGCTAGCCCGCAAATGCGGAGAGACCTGGTTTATACGTCCACGATACCGGAACACTGGTGTTGAAGAATGGACCAATTGAGGGTGAAGGCTATCGCATGCGGTACGCTACCGCTTCCCGTGGAGGTTCAGAGTATGCGACGCCCACATCTGTGACGAGGAGGCATTCCAAAAGCCTTGTCGTTCGCGTTAATTGAAAAGACGGCGTGCGACGTTTGAGAGCCAAGTTGCACGGCATGACCCCAGTCGTGGTGAGGGCTTGGCGTCTCCGTCAAAAACTGGCCATTCAGGTGGCCCACGTGGGCTAATACCTGGACCGCCCGGGGTAAGCATCTAAGCCGATAAGAAATGCCAACCTGACCAGTGCGTTGCAGATGGCAAAGCCCCTCACTCAGCTGTAGTAACTGGCGATATGCATGCATTGTATGAGATGTCGGTATACCATCATAAAGCGAGCGAGGTATGATGAAGACGAAACCATAATGAGGCGCCTTGCGCATGGTGCATCACGCTTTCTTTCTCTTGACGGTCCGCCAGGTACCGGCAACTGCATCGAAGTGGAGATCTGTAGCCCGCCATTGCAGAACTAGCTCTTAGGCCGCTCATCATCCTGGGTGCGCATCAGTGGAGTGAGATGGTCACGAAGATAGTCAAGTCAAGTCAGTTGGCATGGTGTAAAGGGTTCCTGCATTAGAACCAAAAGTCAGGAGGCTCGTTTAAAGAATGGTCTGTCGAAGTCAGTCTAGGGACAGACTAAGCGCTAGAAGACAAAGCTGACCTGCCTGTGCCTGAAGCTCCCGCATCAGTGATGGGCACTTTTTGTCTTTGGTACTCGAGCCTTGTCGTAGATACGCAAAAGACGAGTGTATGAGTGTTGGCCGCTACGGCCATCATCTTACGTTTCTAGAGGCGACGCACAGTGGCAGTTGTGGGTATCAGAATGTTCATCACGCCAAATAGCCAACCCGCAGGACCTCAGTCGGAGTCGCCCTCGTCGTAGCGCCTAGCTTCCTTGGCTTTGGCAGTCCTCTCCTCGTCCTCGGCCTCCCTCTTGGCTAGACTATCGCGCATCCTCTCCTCTTGCTTCCTCCAGTGACTTCCTTCTTCATAGTCTGCACTAATGCCCAGTGCCTTCCGCAGCCTCTCGCTCTCCTCCGCTTTCGCTTTGGCAAGGTCGTGAACTTGGTGCGACTTCAAGCGCCTCGCGTTTGGACCAAGATCTTTGCCGTCTTTGCGCTCTTGATCTAGCTTGCGACGCAAGCCTTCACATTGGTCATCGATTTCGTCTTCGTCGACGCCCTCATCCTCAAGCTTGTCGCGCAGCTCGAGGACCTTGACTTCAATGTCGCGCTTTGCTTCATGTTCGAGGATCTCGGCGTCTGGTTGTCGGGGGCGGTGTTTGGCCGATTCCCAGTCCTTGGGGTACGGCTGAACTTTGTCGCGTGGTCGAAGGAGGGATCGGTTCTTCTGGACGTAACCCGAGGTACCGCTACCTCTGGGTGTAGTGAGACCTACGTTGTCGGCCATGATGCGCGATAAGTGTAGGGTGAAGGTGAGTGTTGGGTTGGGGCGAGTGTTGCTGGCGCGAGAGTGATGATGGATCAGGGCTGGTTTGCGGAGAGTTCGGAGGTGAGGTCCAAGCGCAACCATTGAATCGCTTGCCCCACCAAAACTTTCCCTTGGTACCGCGAAGACTCACCCAGAGATGGAGTCATTATTTCTGGATATATATCCTCGGGGCGCAAGATTTCATCTTTTCTCCTCACACAAGCCCCAACCACCATGAGCACACAAGACACGACAAGCGACGACACCACCTCTGCACCAGTAGAGGTGGGGTATCGAGAGCTGCCCTTCCCACCAGTCACTAAGGAGCACATCTTGAACTGCTCCTACCACAAATGGCATCCGAAGTTGGTATCCCTCTCTCAAGAGTTTTCACGTTTCTGACATCAACAGATACCGTGCCATAACACCAAAAGCGCGTTTGATTCCTCTCCCGTCTGCCTTCCTCGACTACCTTCGCTCAGACGGCATCATCCTACCCCCCGAGGAGACCGACGATCCTTCATGGTCGGACAACGACAGCGGCATCTTCTCAGGCGCTGACAACAACGATGCTGATGAAGACGAGAGTCCAGACCCAAGCGCGCACTGGCGCGATACACACGAGGCCATCGAGCGTACTATTGAGGAGTTGGGCGGCAAAGTTGCGCCAAAGTTGAACTGGAGTGCGCCCAAAGATGCGACCTGGATAGCCGCAACAAACAGCATGGAATGCCGTACACCGAACGATATCTATCTACTGCTGAAGAGCAGCGACTTCGTCACCCACGATTTGGCGCACGCCTTTGACGACACAGCCGACCAGTCTACAACGCCAGACCCAGAGATTCCTTACCACCTCGTCTTAAGGAAGTGGATCACACTCAATCCCAGTGTCGAGTTTCGATGTTTTGTGCGGAACCGACGGCTGATCGCCCTTTGCCAGCGGGATCTGAACCACTTTGACTTCTTGTTCAACATGCAGGACAAGCTACGCGATACCATTCAAGACTTCTTCGATGCGAAACTGCGAGACACCTTCCCCGACCCTAACTTCACCTTTGACGTTTACGTGCCGCCACCGCACGACAAGGTCTGGGTGGTCGACTTCAATCCGTGGGCTGTGCGGACTGACCCTCTCATCTTCTCGTGGATGGAACTCCTTACTATGGAGGTACCCGATGCACCTTCGTTCGAAGAGAAGACTGTGCGGCTGAAGATAGCCCAACCAGGAGATAAGAGCGTGCCGGTCAAGGCAAGTGATGACAACGCAGATGAAGACGAAGATACCGACGATGATGATGGCGACATTGAGGAACTATGGCAGCCAGAGTTCCGGCTCATAAGGAAAGACGATCCGGAGGCTTACGGCTTCTCGACTCCACAGTACAGTGCGCACAAGCTCCCCAAGGACGTCGTGGATGCAAGTAGTGGCGGAGAAGGTCAACTGCGAGAGTTTGCGATGCAGTGGGAACAAGCGCAGAAGTTGGCTGAGCAACAAAGAGCCGAGGACAGTGAGGACGATTGACCTAAAGGGACTACCGTAGCGTAATCGAAGAGTCATAACTGCATACATCTTGGCGTAAACAAACAGCCGTTTGCAAAAACGTGATTGGGCATTCGTGACATATGGCCCTGAGCAGTGGCCAGCCTCGTCGCGTGAGGCTCTCGGCCCGCCACCGTGACTCGCTCATGCAGGGCATCTGTGTGTTTCACCGCTCTACACCCCACATCCATGATTCGTCCATATCCCATCTTCGATCTTTCCCACCCAACCTTACAACAACACGTAGCTCGAAGTATTTTGTTTATGCTCTTGGTATGCTTCTGATGCAATAAATTCTGCTGAAAGACTATACTATTGAACAACATTGAAGATCGCAAATTTCCTACAACCACAACATGAGTGTTTCAGACAGCAGTTATAGCGGTTTCTTATCGTTACCTACCGAGATACGATGCCAGATCTACGAGTACCTCCTCACCGAAGAACACGCAATCACAGTCAGTGCTGGTTACACTACGTGCTTTGGCAATAGAATCCAGGATCGCGCACGCAAAATCGAAATCCCCGGTCTACCACTCGATCTCGCGCCGCTGGCACGACGCTATTACGATCCGTCTCTCCTCTCGGTCGCGAAACCACCAACGATTCCTGTTGACAATGGGCATATGGAAGATATTGAGGGCGAGAGACTGGGGTTCTCCGCTCCGGTGGCGCTGTTGTTGACTTCTCGATTGATCAATGACGAATTGACCGATTGCACGCGAAGACGATGCCATATCGCGCAGGCGCGTTCTACAGTTGATGCCGATGGTGTGGTACAAGACGACGGAGAAAATCAAGAAGGACTATCACTCTACGTGTCTTATCCATACGGTGTCTTGGTGTTGAAGAACCAGTACCCATACCTCTTGAAACAAGCGCGAAGAGTCTACATCTCTGGTTATTACACCCCTCGCCCGGAAAACGGGCTTGATCCTCGAGATCCAGACATGAGCGATGATGAACGCTTGACACCTTCTAGTAGTTTCGCCGTATCATCCTTCAACGCCCCAGCGTCAGGACCATCCACAAGCTTCACCCGGTCTGCTAGTAACCCTTCGACACGATCAGCTCGCCACGGCGTCTCAATCAATCCCACACGTCCGCGCCTCCGCCTTGACCCTCCACTCGCCCGCGAATCCCGACACGCAAATAACGTGCCTCGGATATTCCCGTCCTTCTCCGCGTCCACGTCGAACGAAGCTCTCGCGGCCCTCGCCCACCTCATCGCCACACTCTTCCCCAAACATACGACGCCCCTTGCAAAACTCACAACACACATTCTGTTTCCCGGGGAAAACTCCTACGGCTCCGTCTGGGGTGATGACAACAGCCCTGTCTCGCACATCCTACGCAGTATACGCGGCGGCAAGATTGCTATGAAGGTCATGCGGGGCAGTTTGGGGACAGGACTCAAGTTGACGGCTAGGCCAAAGCCCGAGACCAGAATTGTGAGCACGAGTTGGGTGAATTGGAAGAAGGGCGATATTGCTGGGAGAGGCGGAGCGATGAACATGAGGAGGGCAGGTGGTAGGCTGAGTGTAAGTGATTTGGATGCGTTCCTGATGGGCGAGGAGGAGTCGTAGGGTCATAGTTTGGTTGAGACTGAAAGGGAAGGGAAGATTCTGCTGGGCTGACACGGTTACTGCATGCTGTGTCCAGATGTGCTGGCCATTGCTTCTACGATTCTATGTACAGTATATTACGCTCAAATTTGCATGTTCGTCCAATCGAGCGCTTCGCCAGACTATGTAGATAGTCTGTTGGGACTTGGCGTGCTTCATCATTTCTGGGAACATTTCTTCTGCCCTCTCGTGGCTACAAACAACTTTTCCGATTGTTGGCTCTTCAGCAGTGTATAGTTCATTGAAGTTGTCCCTGAAATTCTCTACTTTACATGTAACAGTAGAGCGATATCTCAGTCAGTACTCAGAGGGGCTTCAACAACGGGAGAACGTGCCGTTTGTGCGTCGCCAGCTGAGGTACCTGCTGTGGTTTCTAAGGCGAGACAGGCGTGTTCGTCGAGGTGCTGTGTTTACAGTGAAAATAAGCCCGGTTATCTCGATTATAGTGACGAGATGAGTTGATATGGATTCGCAGGAAGAAGGTCTTGGTTGACGCCCCAAATAGCCGTTCAACTACCAGCTAATCCACCGGACAGATCCCGGAATACCGATGGCAAGGTCTCGCGCATCCGAAAACTCGACTTTGACAGTACGATCACTATCTTCCGGATGAGTTAGGTAGAATGCAATGATGCGTAGATGCTCCGGCACTTCTAGATCTTGATTCAGGTCGTGCTCCGGTAAACCTAGCTCTGATCGCGTTCGTTCTTGCTCTAGCCGCAAAGCCTCTTCTGCGATTTGGCCTGCAAGCATACCATCCCAAAAACCCTCTCTTCTTGGATGGCTTAGCATGAGCCGTACAGCACGTTTCCGCAACACCTGACAAGACGAAGGTGCGCGGACTGCTATGAGCCAGAGCGCAGACGTTGGTCCCACTGGGGCCTGGAATATCGGTGTTAGAGCACCTGATAGTGGCAAAAGCTTGGCAGCGAGTTCGAAGATGCGTACAAACTGTGCGGCGACATCGAACGGCTGTTTAAACGGCCCATGAGCTTGCTTAAAGTTACCCAAACAGGGAAATTTGACTACCAGGTCAGACCTAGGATCACGCAAGAGGTACTCCATCTGAGCCTGCGTGAGCTCCAGAGCGGTGAGAGGTTGGAGAAATTCGTCGCCGAAAGCAGGGGTTTGTTTCCAGAGATGTTCCATGACGGCTGCGCCTCGATGGAAACGCATGATGAGTTCGGTCTGTTCGTTATATGCTTCGTCGACTTCATCCTCTGGGCGCAGCTTAGTCCTCTGGTTAAATGCATGGATGCTGTTCATCAAGCTCTGCGTGTGTCCTAGCATCGCATGAAGTGTAGACATGTTCAAAGTATGAGTTGGTGACGCGCTCAGGGTTTTTGTCTTGGGCTTTGCGACCCATGTGCGCGAAAGGTGCGTGGGCATTATCGCCCTGATTTGCGTGTCGAATCCCACAAAGATAGTGCGCAAGGACTCCAGTTCTATCGGGTGACCAAATTTCTCGTTTTCCTCTTCATCTGCCTCGTTCAACATCCGTATGCCACTACGTACGTGCTCAATTGCGTCTCTTTGGTAGCCTTGGAGGCAGCACATGCTAGTGAACAGGATAGCACACGTCATAAGGGTGACCTTGTCCGTTCGAGCTACCTTCTCGCTCGATTTCTGTTTTCTCAACAGATCCTGGATCGCTTGATTTGATTGCCGCAGAGCAAATTGCAAGTACCTGTCCAGCATGGCAGATTCCTTGAGGTGCGAGTCGCTACCTTCGGAGAAGCGTCGATACATGGCACCCAGAGCAATGATGCAGTGCTGAATTGCAGGTTCATGGTGAGCGGCCTGAAGCAATTCTCGCTGCCAAAAAGGCGAGTCAAGAAATCCGCGCAGGTTCGAGACAGCGTAGGAGGTGAAGAACTCGAAGCTCTCCCGTTCCTCTTTGCTGTTAAGCCGCATGGCTGGCGCAATGAATACTGGCGATCCAGCTCGTGTAAGGCTCCAGCTTGACCCAGAGTGAGGCGAGCCTCGTGATGAGTCCGGTGGAGAGGGTGTTGATGATTGCGCAGGCCTGAAATTTGGGTCGTAGCCATCGCACGTACGGCCTGTTGAAGTGCATCGCCTGCAGTGCGGCTTCTCCTCATCACACTTGACTTTGCGTATTCTGTACAGATCAGCAAACGGCCATCGAATATGCAGCATTACAAAAGGAACAAATGATATCGCTCCACGTGCAGAGTTCGATGACACCTACTGGTGGCACCATTCATACTTCCATGATAAGTTGTCGCGTCGATGGTCAACTTTCGATCTGGTCGTTGCGGGATCTTGGGCTGGACAACCGCGAGAAACGGACCCAACTCCTGATGTAGAGCCAGTCGTACCGTGTTTATGAGAACTTGCGCGCCCATTGACGCAATCACTTACTTGCACGTCTTGCAACCTGAGCGGGCTTTAGGTTTCCAAGCCCTTTGGCGTGGTTTACCGGACACGGTTGCCGCAGTAGTCATAGCGATTGGGGCAAGTGCGATCTGACCAATGAAAGAAGACCCAACGAAGCCGAGTGTACGAGCGAGCAAGTAGCAAGTGTCGGGTCGAAGGATTTTACGATCGCGCAAATGATATCGATGGTTTACAAGCTGTTTTTGAGGCTGCATGAAATTATGCAGCATTGCGGCGCGGTCGTCTAAATGGTTAGGCCACAGTGACATTGGCTGCGGGCCTTAAGCCAACGGCTATTATTATCGAACATAGCCAATCAGCATACAGTCCGACAAGGGTTATGATCCTTCAGGGCGTAACAGGACGAGAAAAGTCGACGGAAAAGCATCCATCTGGACGTTAGTGAACCGTTATTATTAGATCGAAACGTTGTCTACAGTGATCGATGTGGGATTTGTCCCTCGTTCGGGTATGCTGTACAGGCCGAAGAAGTGGGAGCGACCGAATCCCAGAGTCTCGGGGTTTTGTATCGCCCGTCAAAAAAAGGTCTTTAACACGCATTGACCTTGGTTGTCACTATCTATATGTTGAACGAAGCCTTCTCACTGGCATGATATTGTCATCAATCAGTATGTCGTCGCACGGACGACTGAGCATTTTGATAACGCTACTTAGAAATTCCGCCAAAGTTTCTGTACAAAACCTTGCTTCCCCTGCGGCCCAGTATCTGAATTTCCCTGCAGGTATTCGTCTCTCATATCCAAGTCCTTTCTCATGCCTGTGTCAAGGTCAACCTCTTGACTTCTTCTGAATCTCGTCTTGAAAAGAATTTTGTACCCCACAAACATAATTACGAACACTGGTAGCATAATGTAGGCGTCGACGAATGTACCCGCATCGAACGGACTCAGTGTTGTCCAGCCCTGCACAAGCGCAAGGAAGACATTAGCGCATACTCCAAAGTAGGCGTTGGCTGGATAGGCGAACGACCTGAATGGTAACATGTCGGGAGTTCGGCCTTGTGCTTTCCAAGCTTTCCGGAAACGGATGTGTGTGAAAGAGATAGAGCCCCAAACAAGGAAGGTAGAGACACCGGACAGATTGACGATATAGGAGTACGCTTGACCTCCTCCAGTGCTGACGTTCATCATGGATATCGCGCCGAACAAGTTCGTGAAGACAATCGCATAAACCGGCACTCCACGGCTATTCGTCTTCCCCAAGAACTTGGGCGCCATCTTTTCTTGTGCCATGAAGAGTATTGTTCGAGACCCAATGTAGATTGAGGAGTTGGCAGCGCTCAGGACTGTAATGAAGATGAAAGCATTGATAAGATGCACACCTCCTTCCCACCCAGCGTTTTGCAGCGCTATAGTCATGGGGCTCTTGAGTGCGCGGCTGGCTCCGTTTGCTAGCCCGTCCGCGTTTGATGGACAAGTGAGACCAAAGAAGAAAGCAACTCCAATGTACACGAAAAGGATTCGCCAAATTACTTGTCGAATTGCCAGCGGTACGGCTACCGAAGGGTTTCTGGTCTCTGTAGCAGCCACAGCGACTGCTTCAACACCGGCATAAAAAGTCGAAGCGAATACGAACACCGTAGCTACTCCGCGGAAACCATCGACCCACGGACCAGGATCATGCCAATACCGGAACCCGAGTGCTTCGTTCTGCCCAATGAGGCCACCAGAAGCGTAGATGATGGCAAAGATGAAGTAGGCGCAAAGACCTGCAAGCTTGACGAGGGCAAGCCAGAACTCTGCCTCGCCAAAAGATTCCACGCCCAACATCTGAAAGCCTAGGAATGCGAACCAGAAGATCAGAAAATAGCCCCAGAGAGGTACTTGTGGGCCCCAGAAAACCAGAATCGAGGAGACGACATTGTACTCGTTGGCTAGCACGCATGCCCAGACCAGCCAGTACTGCCACCCCACTGCTACTCCGAAGGCCTTGTCGACGAACCGATCGGAGAGTGTAACGAAGGCACCGCCTGTTGGGTACAATGTTGTCATTTCTCCCAGGGATTGCGTGATGCTGAACGCTATGAATCCGATGACACAGAAAGCTATGAGCAGAGACGCTGGACCTCCCTCTCCTAATGCTCCACCGGTGCCGACAAGAATACCGGGTCCAATAATTCCAGCGAGCGCCATCATGGATAGATGCCGAGTTTTGAGACCTCGCTTGACTCCGCTAGGATCGATCCGGTTGAAATCATTGTCGTTGAAACTTGCCGTGGGTGACGGGTGCTCAGCGTGAGCTTTCGAGTCGAAGACGGCCATGTCGAACCGGAAGATGGTGGTCAGGAAGATAGACGCTCAAAACTAGGCATGTCATCATTATAAGCGAATTCCTAGTCTTTCACTTGGCGTGGGAACGGTTGATCTCTGACGAATAGTAATAGACTACGGCTTGGTGCATGTTGCGATTTTCATAGTGGATTGCGCGATAAGATGGTCTAAGTGTCTCTACGGCGGAATCGCGAAATTCGCATCTGAAAGTATCATCTTCGAGACTCTCAATCACCGTGTCTCGCCTCCGAATAACCTAGAAATTGTTGCTGTGTTTGGTGCTTGTACTGGAGCAGGATCGCAATCGGGTGGCGGGGGCGTACGGTAGAATAGCAGTTGAGATAAGCTTGGTCCACCTTGGGCTTAGCTTACCGGATTTTCGATCCTTCACGTAGGCGGCACTTCTCTCGGTAAAATACCTATCCCAAATCCACTAATCGTGACCAACGACAACGGTTACCACGACATGGGATTTCCTTAGTCGCTTAATCCTGCAATGGAAAGAATCGGTAAACCCTAGTGCGTCTCATTGCAGCATCATCAAGCAATCTATCTGTCCCGACTTGCAGCAAAATGAGCTGAACAAGGCTCAGTCACGATTGTGGGTTTGTTTGTCAAGGAAGCCGTTGTTATCATTCGTAATCCTCTACAGAATCTATTACCCATATGTACCCAGATTTCTTCATCTATCATCCATCGTTGACACTGAACCAGTCAGGCCTTTATTAACATTGAGGTAAAGTAGTATTCCTACCCAGCTCGTTGGAACAACCAGCTTAGTTCCTGCCACCAATCTCCATGCGCTTCTTGAGCCTGTAGGCGATGGCCCTCTTCCTGGCAGCGGCACCCTGTGTGAAAGCAACAGATCCACCAAAGGGTCCGGCAGCAGCACCGTTGCGAACGCGCATGACACAAACATTGTTGACACCAGCGACAGTCGCGTCGCATGTCATGCCTGCCGGCATCTGCACTTTCATCGCGAACTCGGTGTTGGTGGCGAGAGAGATACCTTGAACACCGAGGCCAGGAACGTCCTGAGTAACGGTAGCAGGCTGCATAGCGGCCTCGTCAGTACCTCCTGAGGTACCGTCGACATCGGCAGTGAATGGCCCAGCACCATCCTGGTTGATCTAAAACGACTTCGTTAGACAAAGTTGTACAAGAGTAGGACTCAAAAGCTTACCTGTCGAAGGGTCATCGTGACGGTGCCGTCATCAGCACATGTGGGTAGACCGCCCGATGCCCCCTGTCCTACTGCGGCCGCTACGCGTGCCTCTGGTGGGCCGTTGACCTTGTCACCACCCCCGCCAAGCAGTCCAGCGATACCAGTGGCACCAGCACCGCCACCAGCACCGCCAGCGCCTCCACCAAGAAGACCACCGAGGAACTGACGCTTCTGGCCGGGCTGCTGAATGTTGTCCTCGACACCAACACTTCCAGAGGCACCGTTGTTCGCAGGGGGTGCAGCACCCTGTCCCATGAAAGCACCAACCATAACGGCAGCATCGACTATGCCGTTACCCTGTGTACGACCAAGAGGACCTGCCTTGCCGCTCGCAATTTCCCTGTCCCTGATGATGGCAGTATCGGCTTGAGAACCGCAGCCGCTGGAAGTCTGGTTAGTTGTTTCTACTAAACATCATTGGTGTTCAAACCTACTTGCTAGAGCAGTCGCGAGGGGTGCCGTCTTGGATGGTCAAGCCTGGCATAGTGACACCATTGGCGCCCTTAACCTCGGTGACTACACCATGAGCAGAAACAGCAGCCGCAAGGGCGAGCATGAGTGCTGGTGAGAAATGCATTTTGTATGTGTGTATGTGAAGTTGAGATCAACTCGGTGGATTAGAAGGTTTTGCTTGGAAAGAGAAGACGAAGAGCGAGAAGCACCAGGCTAATCAAGAAGGAAGTATTAATAGGGAAGTTGAGAAATGGAAGCTGATGATGATTGTAGACTCGACTTCCATAGGTCGTCTTATACATTTGGTTCATCGTCCTTCGTTGACGATCTACTTCGCATCGTATTCTCCATTGGGATATTAGCCGCCCACCCCACCCCGCTCGTCATTGGCATCCCAAGGCCAGTATGGAGACATGCCAGCTCTTGTATCAAGATGCGTTTTCGAAGGTCTTCCGGCAAGGCCAACTGTGCTTGGCTGCGGTGAGGCGTTTCTCTCAGATGCTTGGCCATGGCGGAATGCCGAATTCCCAGGCGTCGAGAGGTGTCAACGTTCCAACCGCCAGTTTCGTCTGCGCCTGGGGATGAAGGCTAAAGGCGCCAAGGCGAAAATCCTCAATGCAAGAAGGGTAATTCGCGAAACGCTGTACTCGGAACTGCGGCATTCTACTAAACAAGCAAACACATCTGCGTTTCACACAATAACACATCAGATTATTGACCTATGGGAACTCTTGCGTCACGTAAATTTATCAACTCCCACTGAAGGCCATGATGATTAGTATTACATCTTTAGTGCATGAGAGCTTCACTACAGCGGCAATCGTACTTTGGTATCGTTCTTGGAACTTGTATAGAGGAGGGTTTCTCCACGCGGTATGCATGACATGTCAGACCAAAAACGATTGAATCCGAACATACAAAACAACCAACTCAAATCATAAGTTTCCAATTACTCGATTCTATCCTGTTCAGCATCAGCTTAGGCGAATTTTAGTGTCCGCGATCCACCCGTGGGTGCATGATGTTGCAGGGCTTGTCGCCACTAGTGTTTCACCAAACAATACAGTAGATCTTCAAACATGTACTGCCTGTTCCTAAAACCCAAGACCTAGTAACATATGCGACGGATCCTGCGATCCGAGGCTGAGGTGAAGAGGCTGATGGCGGCTGTGATGGTTGGTAAGTGGACGAGTCGAGGTGTCGATGGTAATGTGGAGCAATCAGAATGTGGCAGGTGGGGCGAATGTTGATCTCATAGGCTCACCCAAAGTGATAGCGGTCCATACGAAAATCGTAAGCTGCGGAATATGCTAGCTGACCAAAATAACTGGGCACTTTCAGTACATACCGAACAATAGGCTCAAAGGTCGCATAAGTTTGAAAGAGCAAATCAATACTTCGATCCAAATTCGCCATCACATTTGAAGCCGGCTTACGGCTCTCTCAAAGTACTCAAAATATACATAAGAAACCGAGGGCCAATTTAGGACCAACTTGTTCTTTAGTCAAATGTAGGCATCTTAGTGCAGTAAAAGTGAAGCAACGCATTTCGAATGCGAGTATTCGCTGCTTGGAGACGCTCCAATTGTTATCGACACCGACGCCATATACACAGCCTCGTATTGACGAGAACTCCGTTCAATGGTATATACCCAATAATCATCACCACATTAGTTTTTCCGTCCCGAACTTTCCAAGCCAGTCAGACGAAATAAGTATCCTTTTACTCCAAACCCGTCCCCCTTCTACCCAAAGTGGGTCGTCCCCCACTAACGCTCCCCCTATGCATCCTTGATGCTCCACCACCATGCATCATATCCAAATCCACTGGCGTCCCAGCACCAAGCGCAAAACCATACGCCTCTGCGCCCTGCCCTGCGAAAACCCCATCATCACCTAGACCGTGTTGTGGCGGCGGCTCCACATTGAATGGCACGAAGTAACTGCTCATCGGATCGAAGAAATTGTTGTTGTTGGCGCTGGCACCCAGACCCATGGCGTCGAGATTCCAGAAAGCATTATTGAAGTCGCTGGCTAGGTCGGGGAAGGGGGAGAGGTTTGTAGGATCCATTTGGTGTGCGTGCGAAGGGTGTATCATTGTAGGTGAGGTATTGATGAGTGGAAGAGAAGGATGGTGAGCATGTTGTTGATGCGCGTGGTGAGAACCGGCGAAATCAGCGAGAAATTGCTGGGGAGAGGTATGTTGCTGTTGTTGGGCAAAGAGAGCAGCAGGGTCGTAGCCAGCGGCGATGGCGGCGTCTATTGCATCTTGCGAGGCCATGTTCATTTGGTTCATTTGCTGTTGTGCTTGCAAGCGGGCAGTATGACTCTGTTGAGCTTGACTATTCTGCCGTTGTAGTCGTGGCATATCTTGGTTGTTCGACGAAGCAAGATCGGGTTTCGAGATGGATTTTGATTTGTTTTTGCGCGCCTGCTTGCGCTGTTGATCAGATTTTGATGGCGGAGATAAAGATGCGAAGAACTCTTCCACACTCTGTAGATCGCTTTTGTGTCCCAGGACGGCATCAGTACCTGGCTCATTTGGGTTTGACTCAGCCGCATCTTCATAGTCGGTTTTCGAGACACCGTGTGGGTATCTGTCGAACCAGTCACCATACTGAAAGATGCTACCTTTCTTCTTGTCGCCGGTCGCGTTCGGTCCCTTCAGCTGCGCATCGGCATGTTGACGATACAGCTCCTTGAGGTTTTCTGCAATGTAATGGAACATGCCCCAGTACTTCTTCATCTTTGTCAGGTACTTGACATTGTATGCCAGATACTTCTTCGATTGCGCTTCCAACTTTGGGTTCTTCGAGAACACGCCATGAACATGGACGGTCGAAGAGAAGAAGGCCGAGTAGCCTGCAAATGGTGCGACGACGTTGTGATCCATGGCTTCGTTGATGAGCATCGAGATTTGGTTCGCGGCGTCGAGCGCAGAGCGAGCAGACTCTGTGAGGAAGTCATGTGGCATATCCTTCGGTGGTCTGCTACCTGCCGTCGAAGGCAACGCGAATCTATGCATGAACAGCATGATCTGTTGCCATAAGATATGAAGATACAAAAACGAGTTCGCTGTCTTGCCAATAGCATGACTTTTGAGGTTCTCAGGATTGTAAACAAGCATCTCAGGCAATGCCGCTTTGAAATCCTTCGCCTCCTTCTTGATAGCATGGAAGGTCGAATCGGAAGACCACATAGGTTCTGCTTCGCGTTCTTTTCCTCCCAAGTTCATGTACTTAATAAGCTTACCCCAGATGCATACCAAACGTATGGTGTACGCTGAGACGCCCATATTGTCGCGCGGATTCGCCAATTGACCGCTGTCAGGTGGAACGGGATTCGGCACGGCGCCTTCCAGGTTCTCTGTTGGCGCATGTATTTCGTGTACGTACAGATGCTCTTTGACTGGTAGCTGTACTTCGATGTACTGCTCGTGTACAAAGAGTGGTCTATCGGTACCAGAGGAGTTGAATCGGTCCATCAGGAAGCAAGACCACATAGTCCGCCGCCGTATTTCTCGATCCGTAGCGCTTAAGGGTTTCCTGTCGGACTCGTTGACGAGCGGGTCGTATTCGTTCTCCTTGTGCAGTTGCAGTGCATATGCCATTCTTTGCGCCATACCACCAAACATCCAACTCCGTCCACCTTGACAAGTGCCAAACTCATGAAGTCCAAGTAATAAGTAGACTATCAAGATGGTAATGTTGGGTGCATCGTATCGCTTCAGCGCAATCTCGCGTGCCCGCTCAGCCCAGCTGTCGCCCCTTAAGAAACATGGCTCTGTGCGTAGCTGTGGGTGGTTTGAAAATCGTGCTGAGATGGCGCACATTGCTAGTATTAGTACTGGCGGAACCTTTCCAGTTGCGAGCCTTCGCATGAAGCTTGGCTTGTGGAGGAGGGGATAGCTTTGTCCATACACATAATCGAAATATACCTCAGCCAAATGTTCCTGTATCTCTTTTGACGGCAAGCTTTCCGCTCCTTCTGTTAAGAGTTTGCTCTCATCTGACTCCTTGCCACGAGACGTCGAACCAGCGGTATCTGGGTCTGCGACTTTTGCTTTTGACCATTCGTCCAACTCGTTACCGAAAGCTTCTTCCGCGGCACGCTTCTTCGTGGTGGGTGTCTTCGGTGGTGCGCCGGGGATAGCGGGCTTAACGACAGACCTGCCCACATTCGCAACAGAAGGTAAGCTTTCTTTCGGTATCAGCTTAATGACACGATCTTCCATGCGCTTCAGTCTCTTGTCCAACATGGCCATGTAGTCCGTTCTCGGGGCTGCCTTCCTGGTAGTAACCTTGTAAACACATGGTATCCGACTCCTCAGACAGTGTTTGCAGGCTGGCTTCTCGCCGGAGCAACGGATTTTCTTCCTGCGACATGCGATGCAAGCAAGTGGAAGCCTTTTCCTCTCCTTGCCAGCCTTTGTTTTCATCTCGCTCCAAAGCGGTGGATCTTGCGTATCATCCTTACTCCTGCGCGATGTCGTCGAATGGTCTGTGCCGTCGTTGCCACTGAGTTTCATGGCCAAGGCCGAAGCTTCGTTCATGGGATCAATGGCGAGCATGCCCATGGCAGGCGCGCTCTCCGGACTGGTATTGTTTCCGTCGCGGCCGGGGCTTCCTCCAATGCTCATCCGATTTGGATGCGCACTCCCGCCGCCACTCATACCTTCTTCACTCATATTGCCAACACTGCCTCTGTGATCCGCATATCCAGCCTCAATTTTTGGTTGTATCCCATCGAAATTGGAACCGAATCCTTGGCTCTGCGCAAATGTCATGTCGAAGTCGGAGAATGAGCCCATGACGTTGGTAGGACTGATTGCGGTCGCGTTTGGGGAAGCTCGAAGCTCAGGCAGGCCGTATTCGGCCAAAATCAGTGAATCGTCGTTGTCGAAGCGCGCGTGCGAGGGAGTGGCTAAAGAGGTTGCGGTCGCGCCGGAGTCGGCCATGTTCTCGACGACTGCCTGCCGTCTTTTGTGCTGTTGGGTAGCGCCGAGACAGTCAGTCTTACATCAGGTCCCAAACTTCAAGATTAGAACAAATGGTTCACATGCGCCTGCATCTCAAACCCCAAAACAACATTTCAAGCGTATCCAGGCGTCGAGACGTTCAAACGTCGTGTGCTTGGATCGGAACGCCGGCCGAAGAAAGGGAAATGGTAAGCTCCGACTTCTCCACAGGATAGTCACGGCCCTTGCTTGGAGACCAGTGGGGGCGCTAGTCTCTATATCAAAGCGCAGGCTGTGTATGTGGGGAGGAGGATAGCACGCGAGACGGGAGCGAAAAAGCAGCGAGCAACAGGCGGGCACAACTCGGGGCTGAAAGAGACAAGAAACGAGGTATGATGACGCTGGGTGATGTATCAACGCCTTGTAAAAGGTGGCTGCTGCGGCCTATCCCTCCGCCGATACTATGGCTGCATTCCCCATGTCGCCTGCACAAGGGACGGCACCAGAGCCATGTAATGGCGCCTTCACGATTCGCACGCTTGCAGCTTGCCTCCCGTCGAGGTCCGATTAAACCACGATCAAGCTTGTCGGCCCACTCAAGTCACTGGCCGCACGTTGGCCGATGCAAGCCACACAATCCTGCCCCTTCCCCACATGGCAATCCTTGCAGTTCGAGACCTATTGCTGATTATTCAGACATCACAAAGCAGTTTGCGATGCCTTCCAAGCCGCGAGCGGACAATGATCGTCGCCTGGGCTTCTGCGCTGCCTATCTTCATACAACGTTATGAGGCGCCTCATAAGCACATATATCTTGTATAACTCGATGCGGGCTTTTGCATATCACGCGGATGTCTCCGTGGAGACGAGCGCACTGTGGCTGGCAACTTTGACGGCGGGACCCGTCGTGTGCCAGGTGGTCGCTATTTTGCGGGGCGCCCGCCCTGTTCAACGTTACGACACGTTAGACGCACGCGAGGTATATGAGTTCTTCATTGCGCCTCTATATAAGCCATATGTCCTATTTTCCGATTCGACCACTTGTATCCAATCTCCGACGCCGCCTTCTCGCGCAAAACGGTGCGCCAGTCGCTTAGGCCTGATGCCACGATGCTGCCTGGACCTGTACGGTGGGTGCATCACGAGGGTTGTGCACAATGATTACTACGTAACTTGGGCGAGTGGACCGTTTGCAAAGTAGGCGACGCGACCACCACCACCACCGGAAGAATGCGTTTCAGTAATAGATGCGCTTACATATATGCTGGCGGTTGGGATCAGAGATGGGCGCCTGTCGACTTTTGGAGTGGGTACGTCATCGATTTGGAGACACCAACCCCCTGCACCCAGTTTTGATGTTACGGACTGAACCATGACAGGCCTTCTAGCTGGCTTCGGGGAGCACGGTCCTGGAATCGCTCGATGATTTGAGATAACCATCTTTCCTCGTTCGTAATTCCATTTGTCCTGGCTGGCCGCTCTTCTCCACTTAATCCTTGCATGTCATTCTTACAATATGAGTGGTCGATTTATCCATATTCCTTCAACATCTCGTGCTGTATACTTGACCACTCGTATATCACAGCGAACACATCAGATATAGACGCAAGGTCGTCCCCTCAGTTCACGACTGATCCGCTCGTCCGCTGCCGTTTGTCCCAAGTACGAGATATGATGTGTGCATGCAAACCCGTGAGAGTCGCATACAACATTACCCGAGGCTATGCACACCTCAGTAGCGAAAGAATGGGGCAACCGTCTGTACAATCATACGCGACGACCGGTCAACTGAATCAGGTCTATGAATCTTAGAGATGGCACGTATAGCGGTATCGTGGTACTGGGTGTTCTTCAAGTAACCACAAGCGCTAGCCTAACCACTGGTCACAACAATAACTACCCGCTCACAACCTCTCGCACAATCCTGAAAGAGGAACAAAGAGCGATCTGTTTTATTTCTTCCGTTGAAGAGCACCTAGAGTTCTAGCACAAAGAAAGGAGCGACAGCGACTATGCAAAAGCAAGTACTGCGAATGTGCATCTTTTCCCTCTTCCTCCTCGACCACCTATTACCTTCAATAGCCGATTTTGCGTAGGTGTCAGTCTATCCCGTCTTGGCGATTTCAGTCTCAGCAACGCCGTGGTAGGCGCCATAAGCTGAATAAGGGCTGTACGTAAGGCATGTCAGATTGTGTGCTCGCAAGCAATGGATGATGGCTGAAGCTTGACGGAGAGTGCGCACGGAAAGAAGTGAGAGTGGGGAGAGAGAAGCAGCAAGCTTACTTGTACGACCTGTACCAGGAATCACCAGCAGCCTGCACTTCCTTGGGCATGTCGCGTTTTACACTGCTGCTCGCGATATTATCCATCATATCTTTGGGCATGCTCAACATATGGCGCTTAGCCATGTTTGCATCCATCTTCCTGGCCTCGGTTTCCACCGCAGCAGAGTAGGGAGTGTATGTTTCGTAACAGGAATATCCACGCTTGGCCATGGACGCCTTTTCGGCTTCAGCCTCGACAGCGGCAGAGTAAGGAGTGTATGTCTCGTAGCAGGAATAACCTCGCTTTTCCATGTCATCTTTCGCTGCCGCAGCCTCCACTTCTGATGGATAGGGGTCGTAGGTAGTGTAGTAGACGCCATATTGGGCGTAGTTTTCCACTACGGGTTGTGTGTCGTCTCGCTTCATGTTTGCAGCCTCTGATCCTGTTAGGTGGTTAGAAGTGTCCTGATGTATGATGGGAACGAGTATGGGATGCACCTTGCTGCGTCTTGGCTGCTTCTGCTTCGGCTGCAGAGGAGTACGGCCCGTAAGAGTAGTATGGGTGGTATCCGGCATATTTGGTGTAGTCTTTATCCTGAGCCTGGTGCATCTCGGTATCGCTGATCTTTTCGAGTGGCGCAGCTACCGTCAGGGCGACGAGGCCCACGACGACGATGACGAGATGCATGACAGAAGATGGTCGGGTGGATAAGTACTGAATGTGTCAATGGATCTCTGAAAGGGGATCTCAAGGGGAGGTCAAAGATGACTGCCTGTCCTCAACACGGGAGTCACCCTTTTGTACATGTCGTTTGCGGTTGGCATTCAGCACAACCTCGATGCATGTGTCGACTGTAGCGCACATGGCGTAAGGTTCCATCCGCATGCGCGTAATATTGTGTTTGTTCACATCTATCGTAAGCATAGAGAAGTCGCACATACGGAGTAGCTTGCGCAGATGCAATGAAGGTGTTGCGTCGGGTTGCGCAGAGGTGAGTTTGGCACAGAGATGTTAGGCCCGAGTTCCGTGAAGCCATGGTTCAAATGCTCTCTATAGTGCTAGCTGCATCGATGCCCTGTAAACAAGACAAGTGATACCGGTGATGACAGCTATTCATTGGATAGTAGAATCCGGGAGATGAGGGTAGTTGTGTATCGTTGCTATGAAGTCAGCGTTGTATGCCTAGACTCAGTTGCAGCAGCTAGTTCAGAGTACAGGCTTGCTCATCGCAAACTCAACTCATGTCTAGCGCCGAACTTCTCTGGATGATGAGAGGGTGAAGTAAGTCATTCAGTCAAATTTTGCTAGTGTTGAGATACCTTTACGCAGGTTCTTCAATAGTGCCGTACCATCGTAACGAGTGAGGTAACAGATGCTCCAATGAAATAGACTGAGTTTTGCTAACGTCAATTATGAACATATAACAGGATCAGGTACTGCGAGAAAAGTGACGAATCGCTTTTCGCATCACACGACTAACGTGTTTGACATGTCTGACGGCCATCACAGTGTTACTACTTGTCATACACGGCTGAAATTGCTGTGCTGACGTCTAATTTGCACCGATTGTAGTACTTGGGAGATTGTAGGGGGAACGAAATTGAAGAGCCTTGCACCCCTCGCTGCAAGTACATATCTGTCTCGATCTTGTCTTCCAGTCTTATCGTTCTTGATCGATGCCCGGAACTAGGACGTGTGCATCTACTGTACAGTCTCGTCATGTTCGACATCCTTCGTAACCGTCCTCGGCACGAGCGTCTATTGCAGCGCGACTCGGAGAGCCACGATGACGACACTCTTTTGCCCGGCTCATCCTCGTCAACATCATTGACTCTCAAGTCCCAAGCAAACGAACGATCGAGTCGCGATGTACAAGTCGCAGTCAGAACTCTCATAGCGTGTACCATTGTGTATGTTGGCGCAGCGATGTGGATAGCCTTCACAGTGAACGGATCAAATTTGATAACCGACCCGGATGACTTTTGCATTCACCATGTTTCGCGATACTGTATGTAACAAACGAACGAAGACGGAATAGGACACTAATAGAGATAGCTCCGGTTGTCAGAGATGTGCAACCGAATTGGCATACGCAGTTGTTCAACGGGAGCTTCCTTCACCAGAACGCATTTCGACAGCCGGCAGGCCCGGAGGTTGACGCTGCATGGGACGCGTTGGGTGTGAATTATCGAAGCGTGGTGATAGCCGAAGACGAAGCTAAACGGACGGGGCTGCGCCACGATCAAGTCAAAGTCAGCCAAGAGTATGGTGGTGGCTTCCCAGCTAACGTCGAAGGCCTTCATCACCTACACTGTCTGGTAAGCAGCAGAAGCGGTCCGCTGGTAACATGTCACTGAAATTTGAAGAACCTCCTCCGCAAGACACTGCATTGGAATTTTGACTACTACAAGTCTCAAAAAAAGGGCCCTTTCATCAACAGCGAGTACATTGTGCGCTTACACACGACACACTGCCTGGATATCCTGAGGCAGGTTCTGCAGTGCAATCCAGAGTAAGTATCCCTATGCGAACTGCATGTGAGACATGTACTGACTTGGTACACCCACGTTCAGTGTCGGGGTGCTTGGTCAAGTGTGGTGGCAGGCTGACACTGAGCCAAACCCAACGCCGTTTGTCGACTTCAACACGAAGCATCGATGCCGAGATTTTGCGGCGGTTCGAGAGTGGGCGGAAGCGCACCAGCTTCCGCCAGAGACAGAGGTGAACATGAGCCGGTTCTACGAGATGCCGAAGCCGGGAGACTTCATCTTTCCTGAGATCCCATGAGGGAGCGCAGAGGCTGGGTGTGTCAGTGGACTGGGCGAGCAGTGCTTTGTCGTCTATAATAGTATGCTTCATCTCTTGCTCAGTTCTGGCGAGGCTTGACGACGCCATCGTGCACGATGTAGTAGACAACTGTACTGTCCGTATCTACCGATGCCAATAATACACGCTTGGTTGTCCTCCATGGATTGCTCGGGCGTTCCTCTACTGTGGTTGACGAGTCTGGAGTATGCGGTACCATAGTGAGGGCATCGAAGGTTTGGGCCAATCCACGCAGCGTCCATTTCTCATTCAGCCTTGTGGGTAGTATCCATTCGCGCTCAGGCTCTGCCTTGACCTCCAAACCACCTGCCTCCCCCTCGGCGCGCGCCTTCCTTTCGCGGTCGGCCTTCTTCAGTAGCTCGACTTGCTCATCGGGGTGGACGTAGAGGCGCTGCGGGGGAAGCCCAGAGACCAGCGGGCGGGGAAGAGGCTCGTGGGTAGTCGGTGAGTGCGTGTGTACGTGGAGGTCGGACCAATAGTGCTGGTACTGGAGGTTGTGCAGTATCTGGCGGGCGAGCGATATCTCATTCGGAAGGTGGCTTGACCCTGCGGCTGACTCGGCACCCGTTGATACGAAAGTCTGCAGCGGGGATGGCGCGATGGCATGTTTCATGTCTGGTCTTACGGAAAACGTCGTCATGATGGAGGCTGGGCGCGGAGTCGTGCTGGGGGTTTATTGGTGGTGCAAGGTTGCGCACGGCGTTGGGGGGGAGAGGAAGCTACTCGGTTGCGGAAGGAGCGAAGATCTTGAAAGACACCCCACCAGTCATATGAGGGCAGCCGAGCAACTATGGGAAGCGGCGACGCGGCCTAGGCAGCAGACAGCACACATTCTTATACCTTGCCCACGGTGGCTGCTTTCATGTCAAGACTCCTTCGAACTTGTTGAGGAACGTTCAACCCCGGTATCATCTTCAAGAAGCCGTCATCATGCTCGCAGCAATCTCCATCCCCACACTACTGCTTCTGGCTAGCGTTGCCGCAGCCCAAGAAGAGACGCCCTCGGTCGCGACCTCGCCATTCGTCAGTCCCACGCCCGAGTCGGAGGCAATCTTTACCATTCAGACCTCTGCTGATCCGGACCCATGGTCTTGCTATATGGACTGCGTGCAGCCTCCATGCCCGCCATGTAAGCAAATACCTTCTCTTCAACACAGTCTGGCACAAGCCTAATCTTGGTAGGCACCGGTAGCATGATGAGCATCCCACCCGTTACAGAAACAGAGTCTGTCGGCTCAATCAGCCCTGTCCCTATGCCTAGCGTGACAGACGTATCGATTCCACCCGTTACAGAGTCTGTCGTTACAACTCCCGTTCCTATGCCCAGTGCAACGGACGTGTCAATTCCCCCTCAAGAGTCTAGTGGTGTCATGTCGATTCCGGCGGGCGAGACACCTGAACCTAGCGCTTCTTCGAGCGGCAGTTCGGGCGCGAGTGCAACTAGCTCTGGTTTACCAGAGCAGACGACGAATGCTGCCGCGCCCTTGGCCATGGGTCACGAATTCCCAATTGTGGTCGCTATTGCTGGCGCGCTAGCTTTCCTGTAAGTATGGAGCTTGGGTAAGGGGTAGTCTGTAGGGCGTTGGGCTTGTCCAGACTAGCATTCAGTGCCATGATCGCGTTGGGTCGCGTCGGAGCCACTCCGTTCGGCAAAACTCAAAGTATGCGAACAGATGGGTTGTTGTGGGTGGAGCATCCGAGCAAAAACCTACTAGATACAAAATATAAACGAATAAACAGCATTGCACAAATTTCATGAGTTATCTCGCAAGTCTAACCTTGACGCGTTTACAGCGACGCCATGATGTGTGGCGAAGCACCTCTACGCGTATTCGTATACTAAAGAGCGATCTAGCGGGTGGCTTGACGCTGCACGTCAGTGGGTCTGGGGTTGGCAGGAGCCGCTTCGGCGACAATCTAGGCCACTTCCTTCCCATCACGCCGGTGTCAACAACTATAAGGAATCCCACATTCGCAACCATGTCGTTGATGATACAACTCCTGTTATTCTTCGAAGCAGGTTTCGTACCAATACGCATATACCATCCCAAGTGATATTAGACGGAAAGCAAGGATCCCGCCAAGGCACTGCATCATTGCCAACCATACCAGCGATCAACCACCTTGGCTGACACGTTGAGCCGCACACAAGCTTGAACGGGGCGACTCCCCTACAAAACAGGCGCAAACGCGCGACCTGCCTCTGGCAACCATGGCTTCTCAGAATAGTAGCGTACCAACGCCGGTGCCGTTCCCTCAGCCCGAAGGCCTTCGCAGCCCCAACGCATCGAGCCCTACTGTAGAGTCACCCTCTGCAACGACGCGCGAACGCACCTCGACCAATGCCTCGACCGTCTCGAATAGAATTCGTACTGCGACCGGAAAACTTATGGACGTGAACCCTCCGCCTGGCATGTGGGCAGCTACGGGAACTACAGCCGCCAAAGCCCCCTCGCTATCAGACATCCGAAAGGGCTCTTTTGGTTCTGATGGATGGAATGAGGATACACAACGGAAGAGAGCAAGCTCACGAGCAAGTCAAGCCGAACAGCGGTCGCGTACTTCCACCAATGCCGCGTCCCCCACCGAGCAATCTGAGCGCCCGTACTTCGGTGGTCAGCGCAAGGTCTCTTCGAGCAATGCGTTGAACACAGAGCCGTTTCCTGCCTTGACTGAAGAGGATACACGGCAAGCAGCGGGGTACGACGGACATGACGAGCATGTTGTGGCCGGCGTGCAATCGAAGCATAGTTCCGAAACTGGGACAGAACACCTCGACGATGACAGACCGCACCAGCCAAAAAGGACCTCTTCAGGCCATGTACGTCTTCTCCTGCTCTCTCATACATGTTCGTGCTAACAGTCAGACAGTACGCCAACGGCTACGTACCACCACCTAAGCTGCCATGGACCCAGTCGTTTATGATCGGTCTCAAAAGCTTCTGGAAGTGGTTCCTGACCCCCGCCGGATTTCTCATTACACTTTACAGCCTAAACGTTGTCGCTTGGGGCGGCATGCTCTTCCTCCTTCTTTGCAACGCCGCACCTGCCATGTGTACACCTACCTGTGACGACATCAACTCTCCGCGCCGGAAGTGGGTCGAGTACGACTCACAGATCTTGAATGCACTCTTCTGCGTTACAGGATTTGGTCTAGCACCTTGGCGGTTCCGTGATCTATACTATTGGGCATGTTGGAGGATTGGTGGATCGAAGCGCAAAGAGATGGGCATTCGACGCCTTGCTGGGATACATCGGGGATGGTTTCGACTTCCGGGCTCAGATCGGTTGCCTGACGGAGCAGATGCGACCGTTGTCGATCCCGAAGATCCAGCTGTACCAATACCCGTCAAGGCGATCCCAGACCCACCCCCCACGGCGATTCGCGCGCCGCCCACTAAGAGTTGGAAGATGGATTTCGTCATTTGGAACAATGTATGGAACACTTTTTTCCAGATCGTTCTGTGCTTCTACATGTGGCACTACAACCGCATTGAGAGGCCGTCATGGGCTACTGGCCTCTTCGTTGCGCTAGGCTGCATAGTGGCAGGTATTGCAGGCATCATGATGTGGCACGAAGGCAAGAACGTTAAGAAGGTCGAAGGCGTGCCCATGCGCAGGGATTATGGGCTCCAGCAAGACGATGCTGAAGCGCAGAACATTCCGCTTGTGACTACAGGCGTGACGACGAAGTCCTGAGAAATTTGCCCAGCTGCTTGCATTGCATAGGCAGAGTCTCGTTGAAAACGCTCATTGGAGCGGGAGTTTGCTCTTTCTTTCTTGGCGTTTGGTTAGTGTGGCGTTGCGTCAAGCACAATCTGGTAGACGCATTTTCATCATGATCAAGATACCCAGCCCACGGGCACTATATCTACCAATACCTTAGCGTAACCACAAATTCCTTCCGAGTCAAAGCTTTCCAATTGTTTTTGTATCACGTCAGCTGTCTATTGCGCAACCGAAACTCGTGGACGTTTCTCTCCGGATTTTGCCATAGGTCTGCCTCCTGTGAGCCTCGCGCCGACAAGCTTGCCGAGCTCCCCGGACAGGCCGAGCTGCATGCTAAGCAACCCAAAGTAGATCCGTTGATCAAATGACGTATGAACAGCGTACTCTGTATGGACTGGTGACAGATGCACGCGCTCTTGGTATTTATCTAGCCAAGGCCTTGTGATCTTATCATCTCTTACGGTTTGCAACATCTCCCAACACATACACCTAATACCATCTGTCGTACCGTTATTTTCGCCTCCCGACAGTGACAAACCTCTTTGCAAGAAATCTCCAAAGACCACAAGAGATGGCGGCCCAAGAATATTACCTCGGAACGCAGGCTGCGCAAGAACTGCCAGGCAGTCACCCACCACACCCATATTCATCTCAGCCACAGAAGCCGCCACAATATCAACAACCACCTGCGCAACATTACCCGCAACCAAACGTTCATAATCCTGCGTATGCGAATACGCCTCCTCCGTCCTATTCAGCATACTCTCAGCAACCGCAGCAACAACCACATGGTTATCCACCTCAACAACAATACCAGCCTTACCCTGAGAAGAATGCTCAAGCCATGACAGCGCCATACCCACAAACACCACCGGCAGGCTACTTCCCTCATCAGCAGCCGATGCCACAACCACAGCAAGCACCCCCTCAAAACAACGGTTACTTAGGCGCTCCCCTCCAACACCACAGAAGCCACTCGCAACCTGCACGTGTGCGCTTCGCAGACCAAGACTCAGATCGCAGCACAAGTCTAGGCTCCATGTCCGATTCCGACGAGTATTCGCCGCCCCGCCACAGCAACAGCAGACACCATGGTCGACACCGCAGCCACTCAACCCGCGACTACGATTCCGACCGCGACCGCAGCGACCGCGATCGCGACCACCGTAGACACAAGCCTAGGAAAACCCACTCATATGACAAAGCACATGAAGAGAAGCATAAGAACAGAGATACCTTCCTCGGCGCAGGTGCAGGCACCATCATCGGGGACGCGATTTTCCCTGGGTTGGGCACTGCAGCGGGGCTATTACTAGGTGGATACGGTGGTCGGAAGTACGCTGACACGAGGAGCAAGAGTGACTATGACGGAACAAGTAAGGAAAGGAGGAGCCATGGAGGTAGTAGGAGGTTGGGGGATGACGGATGGGATGAGAAGACCAGGACGTATCGCAAGGGTGCTGCAGTGCGATGATGACGACGATGACGATTATGATCCAACGTTTCCACTACGAGATTATGCCTTGCCTTCTTTTTGTTTAGTTTATAGATGATAGTGTAAGGCGCTTTATTTGGTTTGCTGGCTGCTGGTCAGCGACATCTTGACGACTAGTATAGTAATTTTCAACTTCCCTCTACACTTTGGACTATTCCTTATGAGACGTGTAATAAACATTATATAATTGGCATGTTCGTCTTCGATCGCTCGAGAGCGATAGCGCTACATGCTCCTCTACGTATCTTCAAGATTCCGGCGCACGTCTTCAATCGTCCTTGCGATAGCGTTGCAACCCTTTCCCTCCTACCCTTAAGCCTATGCGGATGTATGGCTTTGACCGACTGGGCGGTAGCATTCCATCCTCCTACCCAATACTTTACTCTTGCGTGAATGTATGTCTTCAACCGATCTCGCGGTAGCATTCCATCCCAAGTTTTCTTTTACAAATACATAACAAAAATGTAACGGATGCACGTCTTCAACCGCAGCGTACGGTAGCGTCACACCCACCCTTTCCATCCCCTTGAAAGTCCGAACAAGGACCTTCTAGTAGATACCGGGAACAATCCTCCACGGAACAAGCTCGACATAGCGGTCCCAGTCTTTGCCGTACTTTCTGCGGCACTTCTCCTCGTCGCGACGCTCGCGGTGAATGAGCAGGATGGCAAAGTACACCATGAAGAAATAGGTGAAGATCATACCCCAGCCCTTAGCCTCGCCGGGCACCGCGTACTTGCCGTAGCTGTCTTTGAAAAAGTACGCATCGGTTTGAGTGGCAGTGATGGGAGACTGTGCAGCGTTCTTGATGAGGTAACCAGACATCGCGGTAGGAAGGACGTAACTCCAGCTCATGAACCAATCACCGAGGTAGTTGATGTGACGCGCCATACCCCACCAGCCACTGACAAGAAGTCTCGAACCAGCAGCAGTCTCGATGTACTTGAGGTGCTTGACGCGCGAATCCTCGGGGTTGGTCCTGAAACGGTTCTTCTCGTTGTTGACTGAGCGGAAAATGTAGTAGCCAATACCCTGGACGGCCAGCACGCCAACAACTCCCATGGGGCCAAGATCAACTGGGTAGATGGATAGGTAGCGAGTCTGAATAGAGTATGTGAAAGGGACCCAAACAAGATCGCCAAAGGAAAGCATCATACCGAAGCCATCAGCGATAAGGTCGATGGTGGTAAGGATAGCGGGTTCCATGTACAGCGCATCGAAAGTGTAAACAGTGTGGGCGACGGTGACAATGATAATGCTGTCAGTAACGCGGCCAAAGTTGCGGTATTGCTGCATGATAAAAGCGAGGTCGAGGATGATCCAACCAAGCATACCCGGTCGAAGCTCGCACCAAGCCTTGATGTCTACCTCGCCAAAGATGGGCAGGTTGATACGGGGGTTCAGCTCACGTCCGATGAACCAGTCGTAGAGCATGTTACCGGTACGGCCACCAGCAGCAAGTTCGCGCATGTTGGGATCCTTGGGATGCTTGACACTAAAAGAAGCGACGTAGCAGTAAGTGGCCAAAAAGTAGGAGATGAGGATGTTGCTTGTCAGGATGCCGACGTAGTTGTCAGTGATGAAGGTCCAGACGGGGAACTCCGCACCGTGGGAGATGGTGCCAGCGGCAAGGAGAGTCATGATGAAGATAGCAGAGTTCCAGGCTGTATCTTATTAGCTTTGAGGAAAGAAGATTCCTATGGGATGAACATACCATTGAACCTGTACATGAGCCTACCACCACTCCTGAGCTCCGTTCCCTCGACTTCCTGGCCTGGAAGGAATCGATAAAGAGCCAGACTCAAGAAGTAGTAACCTAAGGTACCAAGAAAAGCTTGCGTGTTGATCAGACCAGCGAAGCCAGGCCATCCTACCTCCTTCTTCAGCTGTTCAAGGCTGAAGCTGTGCGGGTGCAGTAGAACAGGGGCTGGGCATCCAGAGATGTCATTGCACAGGAATGTGAAGACATAGACCAAAACCGGAAGACCGAAGGAGATGATGAAAGCTCCAGGGCTGAAATGTGGTCAGCGCTGTGGTCGTCAAGGCTCGCAGCATGCGTGGATAAACTTACGGTCCTAGAAATTCATAACCATGAGGTTCCTCGGCAATGGACTTGGTCGCCTTGTCAGTCTTTGCTTTCGACATGTTTTCGAATGCGCCTTGTCGCGTTCCTTGCGCGGTTAAAGTCGCAAAGTAAGCAAGGTCGACGAATAGGGGTCCGGTCGCGTCTTCACAACAAGGATTCCTTCTCTCAATTCTTGTCTTCACCGATGGTGATTGTCGCGCCGCCTGAACCAAAGACGACTACGGATGCAGTGTTCTATATAGCGATGATTGAGGCTGAGCACATCAGACGATGGGAAAGATCTCGGAATGCATTGCAGCCGTAATGACGCGCACACGCTGTCTTGGCCAGTCTAACCCCTTTCGGCCTTACCGCCCGAGGTTCCTGCCGCTGCAAGGCACCCAGACATGGGGGCGCGGCGCCGGAAGCCAACGTGTTGCGAACATGAACAATCGTATCATCTCCACCTCCACCGTCACCACGCCTCGACCCTCGCATTGCGTAGTGCGCCAATCATCAACTACGCGATGATATCCCTAATCCACTCTCTCCTGCTTCTGGCAGCGTCGGGCTCATTCGCAGCGGCCGCCTCGGACAAACAGCTCAAGCCATGTACCGTCATCTCGCCCACATCCGAGCGCTTCTTCGACCTAAACCCCATGCGGCGCCTTCCACCATCGGAATCAGATGGCAAGAAGAACAGCAAGAAGGAGGGCGACGAGGGCAGCTGGCATGCCAAGGGCTACGATTACAATGCCAACTTCACAATCAACTTCTGTGGACCGGTAGTTGAGGAGTTGGACAAGGTGGAGGATCTAGACAAGGGACTGTGGAAGAACGTCAGTGCATTTTACGAGAGAGGAGACAAGCAATGGGCGATAGGGTGAGTCTGCATTCTATACGGCGGGGAAAGATGGAGGGGTCTCAGTCGAGATGCTTGATTGCGACCAGGCAGGAACATTTACTGAGGCGCAATGCTAACAACTTACAACTTTCAGTCTCGAGAACTCAGAGCCCATCTTCCGCGGTCGCAAACTCATTCTCAATTACACCGGTGGCTCGCTCTGCCCCTCTCTGTCCTCCAAGTCCAAGCGCACGCTCGAGCCCACCTCTCTCGACACCCGCGAGATCATCGACGGCGACGACGACGACGATAAGGATGGCGGCGACAAGAAGAAACCCAAGAAAGATGCCGAGCGTCGCAAGACCACCATTATCTCTCTACTTTGTGACAACGACCCGCTTGCGAAAACTAGTGTATCCTTCGTCGCTGCAGTAGACGACTGCTCATACTTCTTCGAGGGCCGCTCACCCTTCGCATGCGGTGGTGTACATCAGGACACCCAAGCTCTAGGCCCTGGTGGTGTCTTTGGTGTCATTGTATTGATCGCCGTGCTCGTATACTTTGCTGGTGGTTGCGTCTACCAGCGCACAGTCATGCACCAGCGCGGATGGAGACAGCTGCCCAACTACGCCATGTGGGCAGGTATCTGGCGCTTCTTCTCTGTAAGTCTACTCCGATGTTGTCGTAGAAGGAGTAGTAATAGCGCACGGTGGTGATGACACATTTACAAATGTCTTGTTGGTGTTGCTGACATCGTGAAGGACATGTTCATCATTCTTACTTCCTCGTGTGCGCGCTTTATGCCTTCCCGCCGGGGCTACAGCCGTGTCTCGCTTGGCCAGGACAGTGGGCGAAGAGGACGCAGGAACGAAGATGAGGATAGGTTGATAGACAACCTGGATGAGGAGTGGGACGATTAAATGGGGCAGTACGTTGGTAAACGGCATAACGACGCGGCGTTTTGGGGTTTGGTAATGGACAATTAGTCGCTCAGGAGCGCACAAACGATAGACTACTAGCATACTTGGTCTGAAAGTACAGCATGCAGCATACACTGCTTGGGATCACATTCACAAGTGCACAAGCCGTCAGAAAGATTAGTCAAGAGATGCATCAGTAAGATACTACTACAAGATGGGCATGTCTCTGGCCGGCCAACGAACGAGAGCTCGCCAGTGGCCAAAGCCGACACTAAACATACTGGAGAAGCACCGATTGAAATGGCAGGGAAGATTTCTAGTCTGCTCCCTGAACGCTCATCGAAAGAGCATACTTTCCAGCACTCTCCGCATGAGGCCGCAACTCGTAAAAGTGAAACCCATCGGATCAACTCGCCGATATGTGAACTCATATCCATGTTGAACGCCCGCTCAAGAAATCGACACACGCCAGGGGTATAATGCAGCGGATTGAAAGCAGTAAGGTCACTGATAGCTAACACGCCGCTACGTTGCCATAGCTGCGAGACGATCTACATCGCCTCATCAATGTCGTCCTCAACTGTGGCACGTAGATTAGCATGTTTCGTGACCGTGTCGTCCTTCTGCTTCTTAACAGATGGCTGGATGTTCGTTGAATCTGCTCCATCGACAGCATCCTCAACAATTTCATGAGTAGAATCGAAGATACTCCGGGTTTCTTGCGCATTGACGTTGCTGCGCTCTTCTCCTTCACTGCACGCGTCGTTCGTCTTCGCAGCCTCATCTCGTGCAATATCCGCATTGGCGATGGGCTCAAACTGCGCACTGACGCCCTCCAAGATCTCTCTGACCTCTGATCTGAGCTCACTAGCTTCCTTCGACTGCAAATAAACGGGCTGGCTACCATCCACACCACCCAGCACCCGAGTGTAGTCCCTGTTCATAAGAACAAGGATCTCATCGGCTTTGGCCTCCATGGACTCTTGCAGTGCTTTGCACAAGTCGTCGAGATGCTTGACGACAGTTTCGAGCACTTCACGAAACATATTGTCTCGCTCTTGATCAACATAGTTTGCCATATGCTCTTTCATGCGCTTGTATTGTCCTGAGCCAGACTCATCGGTGCACGCGCTGTAGGCGGTATGCATAACTTTTGCGATACAGGGTGTGAAATCGCGGTTTGCTTCACGCTGGAGCTCAGTCATTTGGATAAGAAGGGCACCTCCAAGATCTTTGAAGAGCTGTTCAAAGTTGCCGATCTGTGTCTCTAAGATTGGGAGGTTGGCCAAAGTGACACCCTTGGTTTTCGTGTACTCTTTGATAGCTTCGTGGAACCCATGTAGAAGCGTGCTTGAGTTTTTGATGTACGTATCAACGGCTTTCGGGAGACGCACCTGGAAGGCTCGTTCCCAACCTGTTGCTAACTTTATCTTGATAGGACTCACAAGATCAGCGTTGAAATCACGATGACCGGCGGCTGCAGACTGGAAAACGCCGTCGCGTCGAACAACAGCCTTGTATGATGCCCACATCAGACCGCCTTGGTCCTTGTCACCCCAAGCATACGCCGTTGCTGGCGCAGTATGTATAGCCTCATTGATGAGCTCTGGAAGCTTGTCAAAGATTTGAGACTGCAACTCTGATCGCATCTCTCTGACGCAAGTACGAATTGCTGCCTCCAATCCGTTTGTCAACTCATTGAGCCTCTGCTGTAAGTGAATGACCTGCTTTTGGGTCTCTTCTTTTGTCATCTGCAGGCCTGTTCCGTCATCCGAAGTCCAGAGGCTGAATGTGTTCAGCATCTGGCATACGGTCGTCAAGAACGCGCGACTGGTCTGAATGCGCCCACCTTCAGTAAGCTTTCTACAGTGAGCTTGGAGCTGCGGAACTTCCGTATCTTGCGGATCGACGAACCCTGGCACTCCGTCATCCTTTTGCATGCGACCGCACATCTTCTGGTACGCTCTGCTGCTGACACAGAAGACTGGAAGCGACCTAGCAACCTCGTCGTAATCGCGCATTTCTACTTCAGGGTTAAAATTGTCCTCGTCTTCCTCGGCTGCGTTTTCTTGGTCGATTTCCTTGATGCCTGTGGCGAAGTCTCGCTGAATAGCAGACTTGGAGTAATGGTTTCTGCCCGCAATACAGATACGACTAATGCTTGCTTTGATCTCAGCCTTTTTCGCTTTCAGTTCGCGAATTCGAGGCTTCAACTCGTCGATAGAGCGCTTGATCTGCCTCTCTTCACGTCTAGCGTTCTTCTCCGTTTCCCTTAACTCTTTGAGCTTTTCCTTGATGTCACCCTTGGATAGACGTGTTCTCTCGGCCTGGAATATCACTTCATCGTCACTCTCAGACTCATTGTGATCGGTATCTTGAATACCGTCGTCTGTGTCGTCATATGTATCGTCATCGAGAAACTGTTTCTTCTTGCGTGGTTGCTTGCTTGAGCCAGCCCTCTTGCGTTTGTGGGTCTTCGGCAGCGGTGTGAACACTGGGTTCCCCTCCTCCAATTCTTCTAGTAGTGTTTCCCAGAGCTCAATTTCCTCGCTTGCACCTGTGATTGCAATCTTGTAGACCTCTCGCGACTCAATGTAATCTGCAGTCTTGCTCTGGATCTTCTTAATCTGCTCGTTGTATTGGTCCTGTTGTTCCTCAAACTCTGTGACTTGTTCTCCGAGTCCGAGACTGTCAATTGCCTCAGTAACAGAGATGTCGTCAGTTTTCGAACATATGAATGTAACGCTCGAGATGCCGCCATCATATTTAAGCTGTCGTTTGAATGAGTCCCCGAGAAGGGTCTTGGCAGCCTTGTCGTCGACGGCCCGATTGATAGGGGCAACAATCCATAGGCCAGTGCATTGCTTCATATATCCCTGAGCAACAGCAGCTCTTGCAGCGTTGCTGTCATGGACACCTGGTAGATCCACAATTACGGCGCCTGTTGATAGGGCACCGCTCTTCGTATAGATCTTCACGACCTTGATCAACGGCCAATACTCCATCTGAACAGCTGACTTGGATGCCTTTTCCTTGCTCTTGTCTTTCTTGGATACCTTTTCTTTGCTCCTGTCTTTCTTGGAAATCTTCTCTTTGCTGTCAACATAACCCTGGAGTTTCTGGTAGAAGTTTTGCGGTTCGGCTGCGTGAATCCTTTTCGTCGTCCCGAGCACCTCGACAACAGCTCGTTCGGACATCAGCGAAGGGACATCGCACGCGCCCAAAGCATCCTTGGGAATCGTAGGATAGACAGAATGAAACTTCGCCCATGCCTAGAAGGTACGTGTACGGAGTCAGTGTATGTCTCACATGCAGTTTTCACGAGGATGTTCCTTACTATGCCAGCATCGGAATTGGGATCTTGCGCTTCGCGCGAAAGTGTACCATTCTCGGAGAGAAAATCGCGCAAGAGAACCGTAAGTTCCTTCTCCCATTCTGCCGGGCTGATGAACTCGATCTCGGCTCGGTATCTGGATGATGGGTCGGTGCTGTTGTTCCACGACATTTCAGTTACCACCGCGGTGCAAGCGCGCATGCAATTGGTCGGGACAAGACGCTCTTCGTCAAGCATAGCGTTGATGACACTGCTTTTCCCAGCTCCTGTGTTACCTACCACACCGACCACAGTGCGCTTTCGCTCCGACTGAGGAAGAACCTTCTCAATAGCTTGTACCCACGAAGCAGCCTCTGCGCTAGAGGTTGAGTATTGAGAGAATTTCTCATTTAGTTGCGCCAGGATCTTGAGGGATGTGGAGACACCAGTCTCCAAGGCGTCAGGATCCTGGAGCTCGATGACTGAGCGAATGTAACGATCAATAGAACCTAACTCTTCTCTCCTACTCAGTTCTGGGGAGATCGCCCGCTTGAATATTTTGATAGGTTCAAAGCTGTTCTCCGGCTCAACATTACCATTTTGGAGAACTGATGTATTCTGAAAAGGAGCAGAAGATTGTCTTTCTTCCTGAATGTGAACGTTGTCACTCATTGCCGTTAGATGCTCAATCTTGACAGTAGGTGTTCCGCTGTCCATGCCTGCAGCAATAGTTTTCAGCGAGTTTGTCTCGCGGAACGCATTTGCTGAAAGATGCGGTGTGTTTGATACGCTGTTACATCGCTGTGATGACAAAGGCAACTCTTCCTGTACAGGTTGCAGAGTAGAAATTCGTGATTGGTACCATGACGGGTGCCTGGCCAGGTCTCCCACAGGCGGGACGTTACTCAATGCACTGGCATAATTTGGTGTCAATGATGGAGAAAGAACTGGTCTAGAAAGCGATGTCGAACGGCCTAATGCGCCTTGGGACGGGCTGAGGGAAGTCGTGGCAGTCTCAGGTAGTAGGTCTCTTCCCGTTGTTCCGAGACCGGCATGACCGTTTGTCGTTTGTGTGATGTGACCACTAGTCGCAGTGTCGTGTATTGTGACACCGGATTGTGTTAGTTGTTCCTCGAGCAATGTTGGTTCGCAGTTCTGATGCTGCACCGTTGCGTTTGTCGGGTCTATAGCAACGAAGACTACCAGGTCGTCACCCGGCAGCAAGAGAGATTTGATAACGTCGTTTTGATCGACTACGCGACCTTTGAAACTGAGCTGAACGGCTGTGAATCCTTGTCTCTCTTCGTATGTTTCCCGTATCTTTTGCATCGAAATTTTCTAAGATCATGTAAGTGGGTTGGTGGACACATGCGCGGGAAATGGACCTCGCCGCCTTCCAATTTTGTTTTGCGTGCATCACTACATAAAGCATACGCGCAGATCTGAAACTTACACTATGACCGATCATCCATATGAAATCAGCTTCCTCAAAGCTGTCGTTGGTGGACTTGCGATGATCGAGTACAGCAATCCAGCACCGACGTGCTTTGAGCTCCTGTTCAGGAACCACTTTCCTAGCCCGGCGCTGGAATTCGTCCCAGTCCATGTCTAGAGAGCGACCATGAGCGAAGTGCTGTGGATGTGTATTGATGTACAGTAGAAGCGAAGTTGACGCTTCAAGCAGTAGCTCCCTGCAGGTACATGCAGCTTGTGGAACAGTGGTAGCGGGGCTGTTGAGAGAGCAATCACAAAAATAAAAGCATGGATTACAATGACAGGGAGATGCAGTGTAAACAAATGGCGGCACTGAAGGACAGAGTGGGGTAATCGCGTCGAGAACACGGTAGAGTCGCGCTAGCACATGACGCGTCCGTCTTGCTCTGTCTGACTTCTCACTTTCACCATCATTTGAAGCCAGAACGTTGGTTGCTGCACGAAGCGGGCTCGCACTCTATCGGCACAACCCCTCCTCTGTGACCTGTTGTATCGGTTACTGCACGATTTTGATGCGATCTCTTCGTTGCCCATTGCTTATCGGAGGCGCGACCCACCAACACTATCAAACCGACACGAAGTGATCTCAAGCTACTCGCAGCATCATAGCTACCTGAAATGTCGTCTAGATTGGTTGCTAAGGTATCTTCACCTATCCTGTAGCCTCTCAAATTTAGAACGAACAAGTCTACTGAGCAATTTATCAGCTCCGTCGCACATTTTAACATCGTGTATGCTAAACAGGATAGCGACTAGTTCGGCTGCTCACCTCTCAGCGTGCATGCGGAACGATTTCCGTTCCATCTATCATCCTAGCTTTGCGACTATACTGCGTGTGGGGGCTTTGATTGAGAAGCGCCAATCAATATCGCGACTCTGCATGTCAACATCCAAGGACTTCACAACGATCAGGCTCCTTTGACGATCAGCCACTGAAGCTCTTCGCGCTTCTTCTCGAACAATTTGGCACAATGTGCTGTTTTGGCATTGTTCTAGTCTACATCTTTCCCAGTCACCAGTTGTCTCGCTTATGTGTATCGTGGCTTTGTGTCATTGTGTTATAGTTGACTCTCCCAGATAGGTCTACCTCTGAGACGTATACGACGCTGAACCTCCTCGAATACAAGTAGCCGGACGCTGGTCCTGTATTCGCAAACCATGACGGAACACGCTCCACTACAGCAGAAACGCTTCGCCCCAGAGACCAGTGCCGGAATAAATGGGCTCATTGCAGCATGTAACAGAAACGATCGCTTCAAGCTTCTAGATGACGATAGTGTTTTGCCTGGAAACTTAGATAATTCTGTTCATCCCGCGTTCCATTGGTTTGATAGTGAAGGGCCTATGCGGCAAATGCTGCAGCTAGCCTCGCATTTAATCAGCCACGATACTCTCCTTACCTTTTTCATACCGCTGTTGTACGGACGCGAACTAACAGTCGCTGTCGGCCACGCACACAAGAACCATCTTTCAGATCCCTTGGCGAAAGCGTCCAAAGGGAAATGCGGTCAATACCTGGCCGGAGTGCGTGAAGCATTGCATTGCATCGGACACAGCGTTTCGTTCCAATTTCAACCGCCTGCGAAGCGAGTATATGCCCGCACGATGCGTGATACTGCAAAACCGAGTCATGCCACCTCATGTTGTCCGGCGTTCCAGCGGCAATATTCTTGCAGGATCGAATTGGCGGAGTGCTTTCGTGATTACTATTCCACTGGTGAGTACCAAACGGCATCGCGGTGTGCGCAATTTCGGCACGATTTTCTCTTCGCCACGACACTTGTGCACGAAATAGTCCATGCTATAGGTGTATTGCGACGAGGCAACTTGAACGAGCCACATATCCAAATCGATTGTCCAGAAACAGAATGGGGCTACGGCTGGGAACATTTCATGTTTGGTAGCATTATGAACCCTCAGGATAAGACGAAACCAGGCACACACCTCCTAATGCGCAAAATCTGGGCAGACCAAACCTTGGCCGACAATGCTGGAGGTAAGGAGTATTGCGATGTCCCCATGTCTTACATAGCGCAATGGTTTCGCAGAAAGACTTGGAGCGTTGTTGCGGAGCAAGGGCCAACTGCCATCGCAGCCCCAGCAATACACTTTAAGATCCAATCATCGAACCAATATGGAGCCTGGATAGTGGCAAGTGACCACCCAGAAATTAAGAAAGATTTGGAAACTCTCCACTCGCAGTGGAAGCGGCATGCTAGAAGGTTAGACTCACATTCCGTATCGGCACCACCACAGGCCGCTCGTTTGCGATATCCGAAGATTCTTTGGAAGCCTGTAAACAAGACACAACTGCAGGTAGATAACGTGCCAGTCCCACGACGTCGACCGTCAAGATTACAGCCTAGCTCGACTTATGTGCAGAGCCTCACTCAGACCGTGCCAGTGTGCTCCAAGCCAACAAAGACACTGCTGGAAACCAAATCAGAATCGCTTAAAGCATGCCATTCAACTATCTCTAGCAGTTTCTGTATGTCTCGAAAGCGGCGCATAGATCTAAGGCAGGAGTGCGGTCGTGTTAACAAAGCCATCAAGCGATAAGTAACGATATAATCCTGAGGACCAGAGACATGTTTCAACAGGCACGGTAACCTTTTGATATTCCGAGTGTATACCACATATTTTGTAGGGTTGTAAGCTCAATGAAACCTACAAAGATGGATCGAACGTTTATTAACCTACATATACTCAGACATGTCGCTCAAACGAACCACACCGCGAACTGTGTAGCATGTTGCGAACCCTCACCCAGCGCGACACCACATACCAATTTGCAGAAGTCACGAGCGCTGTCTAACGAGTGTTTCTCACACCCCGTGGGCGTTTCTGCAACATTTGATGTAAGATCCTTCGCCCTGTTCCGTGCTGTACATCCCACCTAGCAAAGTCCCCATCTAGAACTGCGATCGTAGACAAGTCAAATGCCCGCAAATCAACTACGTCCCCCTCGCGAGTTATGCATAGAGAAGTTGGTACGCGTCATGATATGCTCAGCAGCGTGTCCTTGTCCTATATGCCGAGGAGACTATATAGGAAGACACCATGCGCCCGTACTACTCCGTCCTTGCGATCATTTCTTTGGCAAGCCACGTATCTTAGAACGGTTCGAAGGAGACAAAGATACGTGTCCGTTTGATATGCGTACACTCTTCACATTAGCAACAGACTTGTACAAGGTTGAGAGATGGTCCCTCGGTCCAATCAGCGATCTATCAAATCGAACAGGTGAAATTTCGGGCGAAAGCGGTGGACCAGGCGAGACAACACAGCGAATAAATCAGATTTCAGACCGCTTGATGTCCTTGGGTAGCGGGATTGTCATTGCCAACGGCCGATTAAGCCAGGAGAGTTGTTTCGGATCACCTGCGGTGTATGGCATCATAACAAGCGCCTTTACCTCCAACTTCATGATCATGCTGATGAGCTCGACGCGCTTTCAGTCAGTGATGAAACACATAAAAGTCTTGTACATGATGGAATACCTTGTGGCATTAATTAGAGGACAGGGCTTGGCCGCTGCTCTTCAGTGTACCAAAAACTATGCTCTTCTTGAAGTAATTCACCCAGGAATAAGGCTAGGAGGCAAAGATTTCAGAGAACCACATGGGACACTGGGGGGAAGAGCTTGGGAATACATAAATTGGTGTTCGTAACGGATATTGAACATGAATGTACATATTCAGATGCTAGACGTCATGGTCATCGCAGTCTGGCAGAGTGTTTGGTACGCCTGAAGGTGAGATGCAAAGTGAGCTGCTCGGATATTCTTCATCTTGCTTAACCTGCAGCATCGTATGAGGATGTTTACTGTCACATTACCGATCGTTCGCGTCGCAAGCTCTCAATGCTGTGTTCCAAGGTTTGACAGTGGCGGAAAATGTTCCGAGCGATCGCCAGCACCTTCTGCACACCCATCGACCTCCAGGCTTGAACACCAATGGGTTGCATTTAGGATAAACTAGAAGTAAAGAAAACGTGAAAAACATTCAACATTAATTGAAGTCTTGCCGCATGGTGTGCTATTTGTGGCGAGTCTTTTATCACATGATGGGGCTGGTGCCATGCTGAAGTTTCCATCGAAGCTACGGGATTTCTGGAACACCAGCATCGGGCACGGGCTCCTTACCTTTGCCGTCACCATCTTACTCCCTACTTCTTGCATGAAACCTACCCAGCTGCCCAACTCTTCAAGAAGTCTGCTGCGAGGTGCTATACAGTAGGCATTCTTGGTTCATTTAAAAGCTTTCACTCGTGTTGCTTGCGCTGCGCAGGCGCCACAAGTGCTATCCGACTCCGGCCACAGCCCGGTCAAAATCCTCACCGCTGGTGTTGCTTGGTTGCGCGACAATAACAAAATTTGGATGATTACACCAACTTTTTGAACAGCACCAATTCCACGTTCACTTCGGCTGTCAACGTCCGCAAAATTCTGGGCAGTGTTACGCCTTACAGTCAACGCTCCTCCCAGTATCGTCAACTCATCTCACAACAGCTTTACAACCATGGCACCCAACCCCGATATCCTGTACAATCCCTCCGATCATGGCGAGCCAAACTCAATGCTTCCTGAGGAAGTAATCGGTCATATCGATCTAGGAACATTAACGGATATTCACCGGTACCTTTGCGAAAGCGAGTTGCAGGAAGACATTGAGCTGGCTGCATGGATGTGGGAAAACTACCTCGATGGCCTCCAGAATGGTTCCTCAACAGCAGAGATCCGTACAGCCCAAGCATTCGGCAAATTGGACAGGGCTTATCGCAGGGTTCGATCTCTTACCAACAAAGCCCAGGACAAGTGGCCATTCTTCGACAGAAACTTCAAGGAGATGTCATCAGCTACGGTTCGAAACAATGCGCGCGGCGAAGCCGCTCCTGGTATTATATATCCAATTGACGGACTGCAGAGGAAATCACACCTGACTGGACTGTCGTCCAACGGGTCTACCAAGTCTAATGGTGAGTTGAAGTGAAATTCGCAGATATCTGTTTACATGTGGTAATGTCCAACACTCCAGTGTCCTCGAGACCAGAGCTACAAGCTCCTTTTGACTTTACCACACCTGCCCGCTATCAGTCACAGTTCCAGGATCATCTCCACTCGACTTCTGTTCCTCTTCCATCCAATCTTTCTGCAAGGTCTTCTGATCCACCGAACTCAGAAACGCAACATGTAGCGCTGGAGCATCCTTCATCTTCAGTAGCTCCTTTCCAGAATACTCAAGAGTCCAGAGGTACGTTTACTATTTCATTACCGCCAGGCTTGCCGAACTTTACTTGACTACCTTGACTTACCCATCACCTCTTTGTCTCGCTCCCGCTTTCTTCCATTGTACTTTACTGACAACAAAGCGCAAGGTTCTTTCCCCGCCTCAGACGGCCAGGCAAAGCCCCAGTCAGAATCGCTCCGGCCTGACGTACCTCAAATCGAAGAAGCGTTTGATCACGATATGCCACAAGACAAACTTGGCGCTTCTTTGTCAGCACCTGTTGGTGACGCCATGTTACGCCACTCCGATTCCCAGCCCACCGGAGACCTTGAACCAGAGGCACCAGTACGAGATGCGGGCGCCGGCAAGGTCCGCGGCCCAAACGGACGCTACATGCCCAGAGACGATATTACCCCCGGATCAAAGAAGACAAAGAAGCCAAAAAAAGGAGGGAAAATCCAATCGAGCATAAGCAATCTAAACAAAAGGGAATCTTCAGTGCCCAAGGTTATCTCCCAAGAACCCGAAGCTGCACCAGCCGAAGGTGAAGGACCATTTGCAGATACCCAATCATCTTCACCTGCAGTGCTTAGCCAGGAAGCTGAGGGGCAGCATGAAGTTCAGGAAGAGGCCAGCGTATCTCTAGCTAGTCATGCCCTAGTACCTCCCACAGCCGTCGATGAGCCAGAAGCCAAGGAAGAGAAAGCGGCACCGCATCACGGACCTATCTCTGCGTACCTACTTGCTGCTGAAGCTGAAGCCGTCCCCTCAAATCTAGATAGGCTACCTCCAAATTCGAGGAAGTCCAACAAGAGAAAGAGCGAGCCAACTGTTCAATCGGGAGACCGTAAGCGGGGGAAACACGGTGGCATAGTCGGCCGCCCAAGGAAGTCTGAGCAGCGCAAAGGTCAGGAATCCCAACATGATACAGCTTCACCACAGGGAGAGACCGCCATCGACGCTGAAGACCCACCTCAAATGACTACACGTCGAGCCACTCGACAAACGGCTGCCGCAAATCTGGGTACCTTGACATCCAGCAAGCCGACAGCAAATATCCAACCCGACGTACCAGTTGAACGGTTCACTCATTCCTCGAAAAAGTCGCAAAAGCTACCACAGAATCAAGAGAAGCTATCCACAAGTAATGGCGATACGGAGATGGGTGAAGTTCAAGAAAATGCGCCTGCTACCCAAGAAAAGATGTCAGAGATGCCTTCATTGCCTCCGAGAACCTCAGATAACCATCTATTGAGTTTCGGTATGGGCAGGATTATCTCTTCTGTACTTCCTCAGCCATCCTCACGCCCACAAGCATACCAGTCGCCCTATCAACCTATACCATCGCCGCCGCCATCTGCATCGGTCGCTGATGAGACGATGAACAAGAGCGCAAAATCCGTAAACCTGCCTGGTCAAGTAGAGTATTTCGCCCGTATAACTACAGGTAACGGCGATAGCATGGACTTACCTATTGAAGAAGACCGACTGGAGAGCGATGAGGTGAAGATGATTAAGAGATACGCCAAATATAACGCTGGACCTGGTGTGGGGCAAGTCTCGTATACACAGTTCCGACAGATATATGCTTTCGCGAAACAGGACTAAGTGAAAACGAGAGCACGGGAAGGCTCTCCAGGGTAGGTTGGTAGTAGTGATTGTATGGATAGACTAAACAACAGACTCTGTCCAGGAGACGAACACTGATCAATTCTCACCATTTCATCATACGTTATCCTTGTGATGTTTACATCAGCCATCTCTTCATTCCCACCATCCTCGTCTCAACCTTCGGGGTCCCCTCCTGTCGTAGGGCTCAAATCTTCCATATATTCCATTGTCAGTATAACTCCAGTTTCTTGAACTTGTCCCGAAGACATGATTGTAGCGACTTTCGCCTCTCAATGCGCCAGGAGTGTGCGCTGTGAGTAGAGTAGGTCAGCTTATGTCTCATTGTCTTATGCAACTCGTAACTTACAGTACATGCGATCAGGGTAAAACCCGCCGCCATTGTCAGGGTCCTGGAGGGAGTTTTGATACGGGTAGCGTGAGCGTCCACCAGGAAACATGTTGATCTGGGAATGTTGGTAAAGTCTTTTCTTGCTTGATGCTCTAGAAAGTTCGGGCTAGGAATGCTTGCTTGATTTGGTAATTGGAAGTCAACAGGTAGTGCTGGTTCTCTTTTCGAATTCGAAGCTTTGTATACAAGTATGTAGGCGAAAGCAAGTGTAAAACGTAAAGGTTTATATACAACGATTTTATATTGACGAATTCGCTATCACGATGACCAGGCGTGGCCTCGACGTGTGCTTGAGTTTGAAGATTTGGTGATTACCTAGAGAACGTAGACCTTCTTACCTAACCGTCATGTGAGGTGGCATAATAACCATGGACAGCTTTTCTAATCTTGCACGATATGTGCCAGCAGGGTGGAAAGTGCAGGCCACAATCGCTGCCCTGGTGACATTGAATTTGGCAGTGCCCGTAGTGCCACTTCTTACATGGCGCGTGGCTCATCGATAATGCATTGTTTTGATGCGAAATCACAGTGCCGTGTTTCTCTCTTCAAAACTCCTGCTACATCTTAGTCACAATGTGTTCTTTGAAGCGGTCTATCTTTGGAGTCGCAATTGGTGAAGTTAGCATGCTTCCAAGCTTGCTCCTGTGAAAAATTTCTTTTCCTCCACTTCCTATCCTGCTAACCAAGAAATACTACAAGGGTATAAACTACTAACTTTCTACAAAAGCTGAGATGTAAAGATGTGCGTATACCTTTGGGGTAAGTTTTAATGTTTAGGAAGAGAAATAAAAGAACAAGAGTTTCTTCTTAGAGACCGCCATGTTTGTTTAGCAATAGGTATCAATATGCTAAATATGACGCTGAACAGAGCGAGAGTTAATGGTTGTGTAGCCATTTGATACAGAGTCATCAAGGTCCATAGTCCGACACCCGCGCGGCGCCTATGGTTACTTACCTAGGTAGGTATCAAACCCATCGACCCAATGTCGTTCCAGTGCAGACAACAGCAACTTGATGCATGTTTTGCGTGTCTCCTTGAAGATAGCTCTTGGTATTGACGCAGAATTCTCCAGAATTCCGAATGCCCTCTTAAGCTGGTAGCAACTGTGATGCTAAACTGTCAGCTACGTCATGACTGAGAGAACTAGTCGCGTTCAACTCGACAACCCGGAGACAACCAGCCACCACAATTTTTTTCAAAACATACTAAGCACCGGGCAAAGCACCACGTTGTATGCGTGCATCTCATACTTCAGGTCTTTGATTGCGCCATTGAGAACACCATTGTGCTCATGTGAGCATGCCTGAGTACTTAGGTAGGTTGCAGTTGCATGGCGTTACTAGCTAATGACTATTATTTTTGATGTTCTGATCACCCGCGAGGCTAACCGAATATAGACGGAAAAGGTCTTTTGGAAAAAACTCATATTTCCTGTTAGCGTATTCTTTGTAACTCTATTCGTAGGCAGCTTGCATTGCAGGATATCCTAATGGTATACCTCTCTGTTATTTCCTATTAGCATAGGCGGCAGCCTTGGAAGATCGGAGTATCTTTGTCTGTACGTTCTTGGCCACGATATATCCTCTATCACAACCTATCGATGCTAGTCCAGCAAGCAACAGCGCAGCCTGGCGTGCAAGATGGGTATGAACTTCGGAACGTTGGAAAGTGCATTAAACTACACAATTCCATCGTCTCGCATGCTAGTTCCAAGCTTCCACTCCACCAACAGCCAAAAGTAGAACGTAGCTGGTTCGCCGCCCACTCTTTGGATCCAGGCTCGCCGGGCCTCGACATTGAACTCGACGAGGACCTTGTAGCTTTTCTATCCGGCATCGACATCGTTATTGGAGAAGAATATCAGCACCTAGCTTTTACCCCGTTTCTCATTGGTATCTCGGCTCCCAATGAACTGCGGCCGGACATGTGGGAAGGTATTGATGAGTATGAGGACTTTATTCTGCTGTACAAGGGTATAGGGCATGACCCCGGTGGTCTTGTTTACAGTCGGACTACCCATCAAGTCTGCTTTGTGCGCGACCCGTTTGACGAGCCCCGCGAACGCATGTGGGGTGATCTTCATGCGGTTTTGGAGCTTTACCTACGGTCGATCGAGTCGGGGAAGTTCGTTGTTGATGCAGAGCATCCTGGGTTCGGCAATAGGGATGGGCTTGTTACGCAGGGCTGGAGAATTGCGGAGTGGACGGAAAAAGAGTTGCGGCAGGTACTTGATATTTGGGAGAGTTTGGTGGATGCGGTTACTGCGCGGTTACCGGAGTCTGTTGGAGTGTCTGATGCAAAAGAAGATCATGGCGATGAGGAACCGCCACCAAAGAAGAGGAGGAAAACGGAAGACTTTGGGTTAATTCCTGCTGAAGTCTCGAACAAGTATCCCGCCATACCGCCGTTTGCGCGCGTCTTCCTGTCTCGGGCAAAAAAACCGCGGTTTACTTCCATTGCACCGCAGTTGGATGTACCAAATGAAGCTTTCATCCACCGTGTAGGCGCTGAACTGCAGGCAAGGTATCCCGATGCTTCTCTTGCTACTCACCAGCATGAACTTGCTGACTGCCCACCCTTTCTACTGTTCCCATGGCGCGCACCAGGTGTGCAATTTTCCTCACAAGATGAACGGAACCGGTGGCAATCTCCGCGAAAACAAAGTATACTAGACGATCGTGTCGGCCTCTATCTTGTACCTGATGTTCTCCACGCTCACGCCAGCACTCTGCTTCTACCTTTCCAACTCGGTGAGAAACGTCATGTAGTGATGGGTGATGGGTCAACGGTAGATAGACCGGCGCAGGACGCGTTGTATCGACATGGTGTGTGTAATCCTTTCATGCCTGACCATGGAACACCGCTTGCTGCGATACTGGTGAATTGGTGGGAACAGGTTGAGAATGATTCTTGGAGCGTCAACGTAAGTGGTGTGGATGGTGGGGAGGAGCTATGGAAGAAGGCAGACACAGAGGAAGACGCCGAAGATTTTCAGACAGATTGGTCGTGCTAGAAGGGATATGTTTTCAGAGTGTATGCGCAAAAAACTGCTTGAGGGAAATCCCATGCCGCGCTGGCCCTTGGCGGACCTTACCTAAGGTAAACATGCCTGTCGCGATACACAGATGGCATGAAAAACACAAGAAATCGGTAACCCGTTCGGACGTTAAAATCGAGTCTAAAGTGACTGCCTCGCCGCTCAGTAGCTAGTTGATTACACCCTGGCTAGTTAGGGGGCTTTTGCAGCGGGCGGGAGACGGCAAACGCACCGAAACGGAGGATGTCCGTACGAGCACGCCAATCAACTCCGTCAGGCACTCACGGAGCCATGCTCAAACAGAGCTTCTTCGCTTTTCGTCAGGCTACGCGATATACTCACGGGAAGTGCACGTCTCTAGCGTTGGCCAACCGTTGGCTGCCTGCCACACTCTCGGGTCAGCATTTTGAGCATTCCAAGGTTAGGTACCTACCTAGGTATGCAACACAAGCTGCAGCAACTTCCCTGGCTTCCCAATCTCGTCCGCATTCCTCCTCAAAGCACTTGTGGAAACAGACGGAATGCGTGTCAAAGGAGTCGGATTGGTAATTGCGCTTGTTGTGGGGTCTAGCGCCGAGCCGATACAGCGGGCTGTGAAAGCCCCGAAGATCGATCTAGGCTACGCTGTCTACGAGGGGACTCATGATGCTAACACCAGCATCAATATCTTCAAAGGGTAGGTCGTTTCTCACAGAGTTCTCGAGACTCCAAGAACTAATTGTTTTTATAGGATTCGGTATGCCGCTCCTCCACTAGGCAAGCTCAGGTTTGCTGCTCCTCAGGCCCCAACGCCCAATCGAACGACAACATTAGCTCTCAGCGACCCCCCATTTTGCCCACAGACCGGTGCCTCCTCAGAAACGCCATCTGAATATGGCTTCACTTCTGCAATTGGAGATGAAGATTGCCTGTTTCTGAACGTATATGCGCCAGCTAACGCAAAGAAACTGCCTGTGTTCCTTTGGATTCGTAAGTGAACATGTTTGCGACGCGCAAATCACCATCAACACACCACTAACAGCATCAAGATGGTGGAGGCTACGGACTATTTAGCGCCTCTGGATTAGACCCGAGCGATTTTATGACCACGAACCATAATGGCTTCATAAGCGTTATAATTCAATACCGTCTAGGCGCTTTTGGCTTCCTTTCAAGCTCCGAGGTGAAGGACCACGGTGCGCTCAACGCTGGACTCCTCGACATGAATTTCGCACTGGGTTGGGTACAAGCAAACATACGAAAGTTTGGGGGCGATCCTCGTAAGGTTACGATGGCAGGTGAGAGCGCAGGAGCAGGCGCTGTTTTGTACCAAGCCCAAGCCTACGGTGGAAAGCAGAGGGAGAGCCTCTTCCGTAACGTCATCACCGCGAGCCCATGGGTACCGTATCAGCACGATTACAATGACGAAGTACCGAGAACAGCATATACAAAGTTCGTCGAAGCTTCCGGGTGCTCGTTGGAAAAGGATACCATTGAGTGCCTTCGCACAGCCGATACCATCATTCTCCAGAATGCCAGCGCGAAGGTTTCCGAGGCTGGAGCTTTCGGTACATTTGCCTTCCTGCCCGTAACGGATGGCACATTTGTTCAAGATCGCCTTTCTAAATCCCTGCTTTCCAAATCGCTTAAGGGAAAACGTGTCTTATCCGGTAACATGGCGAACGAAGGCGTGCCACTCGCGCCACCAACGACACGTACACTACAAGATTTTCGTGACTATGTGGATAAGACATTTCCCGGTTTTTCTACTTCCGAAAAGCGTCGCTTGGAGGAAATATACTCGTTCCCTGGTGATACTAGTGACGTGCAACCCAACACTACGCGCTTCGCCACTTCTGGTACGGGCGTGCCTACGGCGCTCAACATAAGTGAGTTTGGAACAGGAAACCAGCAACGCGTTTTCAACGTCTTCGCAGAGTATGCTTTTGTCTGCCCTAGTTACTGGGCTGCTGCCGCCTTTCCGGAAGGTTGGAAGTATCAGTTCAGCGCGCCCCCAAGTTACCATGGGTATGATCTGCAAGCGCTATGGAGTGGAAACCCGACGCCCGGCCAGAGTTTCAAGCACGCTTTTCGTAAGATATGGGGGAATTTTATCACTAAGAACTCGCCGATCGTAAGTGTGGAAGATGCGAAGGGTGGCGTCGCAAACTCCACAATCACGCCTGCAGTTGGATATAGTGAGAAAAACGTCCCGTGGCCAAAGTGGAACGAGAAGGAGCCGAAATTGCTGAACCTGAATGCTACAGGAGGTGTTCCATCCTTTGTGCAAGCAACAGAAGATTTGTACTATTACACATATAGCGATCCGGGCGTCAGCAACCAGATCAGTCTGGCCGATGCGACTGCTTGGGAGGGCGGGAGAGGTGAGCGATGTGAATACTGGAAAGTCATGGCAGCCAAGGTGCCGTACTGATGGCAAAGAGGTGCATTGAAGCTTTGAGATGTGCCTGCATCGTGGACGCTATAGAATACACTCATTTGCGACGCTATCTATATACGAGCCGTTTGCCTAGCTCGATCAAGCTCATGATGAATATACATGACTAACAGGTCTACACACCATCATTGAACTCATAGTCCTTGTCCCACCGCTATGCTAGTCAGTACAATACGTATGATGAGTATATTCTGCTTACCGTGTCCCAAGGCTTGCTGCCGTCGACGAACCTCAGGTCAGTACCGACTCGGATCACGTTGTCCGGGTCATAGTTCAACGTGGATGCATGTATCTGGATGCTATCAGCTATCGTTCAAGTATGGTCATCCCTTGGTAAGCTTACTGTGTATGGAGTGTGCAGTACCACATCCCCCGCTTCGTAGTTTGTCACCAACCATCGCCTGTCAAAGCTATCAGAATACTCCCGTGGTCCATCGGCGAGCAATCCCGTTGACAGCATATTCTGATTGAATGCGTTTTTTGTTTCCTCCTCACTCAAACCACTTTCTTCTGCCTTACGGTTGAAGTCTGCTTCCACTTCGCGACCTAATGTATGGCCTACAATAATCATCAACATTGCCTGGACTGTGATTGGAAAGTAAATGGCCTACCATTCTCCAGGTAGATAAGACCGCCTCCAGTCAAGCTCACATCTCCCATTGGTACCCAGGCGGTGACACTGGTAGGCTCACCGTGACGGAGGAATATCTGATCATAATGTACGCCGATAGCTTTGTTTCCTGGTGTGTTGTTGCGCAGCAAACTCCTGCGAACACCTAGAGTATTATCGCCCCACCCTGTCATGCGGGCGATGAAGTCCTTCAGCACAGGATGCTTGCAGAATGTCTCTTTGTACCAATCTGCATAGTGCGCCTCGAGCGCGAGGCCGACGAATTTCTCTGCGGTTGCTTCTCCAGGCTTCCCGTTTCCTGGAGCCGCACCAGCTCCAATGCCAGGGAAGTCTGAAGCATCTTTTTCGGAATCAAAAACGCCTTGTACTGGCTGGGTACCAGGCTTTAAGACGCCACTTGGCGCGAGCATCTTGAAGTACTCTTCGCGGGCTTTCAGGACATTGTCCCTTGGCAGTAGGCCCTTTAGGTACACATACCCATCTTCATTGTAGCGCCGGCGCAGCTCTTCCATGGGCAGATCTGGAGATGACTCTTTCAGCTTTCCCACTTGACTCGGTCGGAGCAAACCATCGTTCACAAAGAGCTTCTTGCCGTCGAAACTCGGCACGTCTTGCTCTAGGGTCAATGCATGAGGCATGATGGAGGGTTGTACAAGATAGCAGCACCTGAGCAACCTTTCAAGTGTCTTTAAGTATGTAGAGCGAGCGACAATAGATCCGCAAGGTCTGTCGAACAACGCATGTATTATGTAGACTCGTACTATTGCCTACTCCCGTGGGCTGTTAGGACATGACAGGTGGACAAGGAGAAACTTGCCCCTTTCGGCGCAGCTAAACTGTGGGGTAAGGAGCGGGGCCAGGCGGCGCTGAGACGCGTTTTCCGGATTTTCTGCTGCTGCGCGGAAGCGATCATCAACGTCCGCCCTTAGTAACAGGCCAGACGTGGTTGGACACCACATTGCGCATCTCGGCGGGCATTTCTTGTCCTGGACTCCATCGTGCAGCATTATCGCGCGCGTCCCAGCTTCGTAAATCAGCCCGCACGGGAATCCTCCGCTACCCCATAACCACGTTGAGGTCTATCGCAAATGCCATGGTACGAGATTTCGCGTCCTTTGCGCGCCAGAACGACATCGCTTAACCATTTATAGCAACCGATGCCGCACGCGTCATTATCGATGTAAGCCTCAATTAGTCTACTATGGAGACTGTCGCACTGACGATTGCGCAACAGGTGATGGCAAGCAGCCGGCGTGCGGAAGGTGTGAGCATGCTAAGAAAGAATGCGTGTATGAGAGCGGAAGACGATTCCGGCGTTCGTCGATCTCAGATTCCTTCAGTGTTGAACAACCTTGGGTTTCATTCCCTCCACGAAGTAGGGATATGCTGATGTTTGCTGCGGCTCTCGCTGACACCACTTGGCAGTTCAATTCTTGGACGAATCAAGCGAAATTCGCTCTCAATATGTCCAAGATGGCTACTCTCCATTTGGCAGCCCTTCGGTACACGTGCCGTCTCCCAGCGGTACTCCCGGAAGTGCGCAGGGCACCGCTTTGACGCCAAGCTCAACTCTATTTACTCCAACGGAAAACCTTACAGTCCTGTCGTTACTGAATTCAGAATCTCCGGTGCAACAACAAACAACAGCGCCCCCAGTCTTGCATGATCACCGAGCAAACACGAGTGCGTACCATCCGCACCATGATGAAGGTGTTAGTACTTTTGTCTATCAGCAACCTCCTGGTGAGCCTGTGCTATGGCCGCTGGAACATGAACAGGAAGCAATGCTTCTCCAGCATTACATTGAGAATGTCGCCTTATTCGTAAGTTTTCAAATCAAATTAGAAAATTTCTACTGACCATTGCCAGTTTGACATGGTCGATACCAGAGATCATTTTGGGGTTCACATCGTCCAGATGGCCAAACAAAACAGCACGCTGATGTATGTAATACACGTATCACAGAGATACATTGATTTTCGGCTGACCAATGCTGTCATTCAGGAATGCCATCCTAGCGTTGTCTGCTCGTCAGCTTAGTCGAACCACCGACTTTGATCCTTATATTGCAGATGCGTACTATCAACGATGCTTCGACACACTCATCCCAGCGCTCAACGACAACGTCACTATCAAAGAAGAGCCACTCCTTGCGGCGACTGTCATACTACGGCTTCTGGAGGAGATGAACATCTCGATTATCGGATCCGATCCTCAGGGCCATCTTTTCGGTACCCAAGCTATCATCCGCGCTGCCGAACAGTCATACGCTGCAACCTCCGGGCCTGATCGACGACAGGCCATTTACTGGGCTGCCTTCCGTCAAGAGCTTTGGATATCGTTGATGACGCAACGAGCGTTTAAGCTGCATATCTTCCCCGCTGATCGTTCGCTCGAGCCGGCCAACGATTCTATCTGGGCTACACGAACCATCGCTCACCTCGGTGATGTGAGCAACTTCGTGTTTGGAGAAGGTAGAAATAGCATTGCTCGCTACAATCAACTAATGGACGAAAATAGATCTTGGACACAGTGTAGGCCTGACAGCTTTGATCCGTACTATTTTCGGCAGGATCGGGATGGCAGCGGAAGGAACTTCCCAGATATCCGGTTCCATCAAAAAACCCATGTCATGGGCACTCAGTACAACCTCTTGGCTCACATGCTCCTCATCGTGCATGATCCGACGATCCCCCAACTTGGCCCAGCACACAAGGCATCACGCGCTGTTGTCGATAGAACGGTACAAGATAACGTCCGGACACTATGCGGTGTGGCGCAATCGAATTCCAAGTGGTTTCCTTGCAAATTTGTTGCTTGTTTCGCAATTGCACTTGGTAAGTTCAGTTCGATTCACACCATAACTTGGGCGTTTACTATCAAGTATACCATTTGCTCAGCAGTACATCTAACAAGTTTAGTTGGTGATCGTTTTACGCTTCGTGAAGATCAAGAGCAGCTTCGCGATTTGTGGTACGCCTGCGAACGGTCGCATGGCTTTCCTCCGACAGCTACCATTGCCCAACTTGAAGAATCCTGGGGCTGGCATAACTCTTAACGCCTATCACGTTCTCAACCTGGATTTCTGTAGTGGTTTTAATGCTTGTCTGTGCTCCGAGAGAACCCTAGCGACGTCGAGAACGCACGCATTTGAAGTACCAAGCATTTCCGGATCAGTTCATCCTCCTCTCCCTTACCACCCGTTGCCATCGCCATGATATCCCGCTCCATAGAAGGGCATCATACCACCGGGTACACGCAACTGTGGTCCGGGATAGTTGCCTCCATACGCGGGGTTCACAGCGCCTTCCAATCCTGTGTAATGGTGTCTCGGCCGGCGATGTTCCGGTGGTGACACCGCCTTGCCGTGATCCTCAGACCTATCGAAAACCATCGCCGGCCATCTATCGATAGGGAGCTTGTTCCTGATCGTTTGGTAGCAACTATTGATGAAAACCAACAATGGATATGCTTGCACACGCCGTGCATAGTGTTCCTCCAGGCACATTTTGATCACGCCACTTAATTCAACAGAGTACCTGGCGCCTGCCGGTCGTCCTTTATTCCACATTTGACCATTAGGATTCTCTTTGCTTCGTGGTGATTTGATACCGGTACATGCACAGATCATACTGAGTCCTAGTTGCCAGATATCGGAAGCACCGCTGAAGAATGGAAACTCCGGAGCGAAGAATCCAGGTGTTCCTCCTGGTTGCACTATTGCTTCTTCTCGGTTAGGGCAGGCTGCTAAGCTATCTTCAGTGACTGCGTAGCCAAAGTCGGCAAGTTTTGCTACTACCTGGCCGTTCGCGATTGTTAGCAGGATATTGCCAGGCTTGATGTCTCTATGGTAGATTCTGCTCCAACCGGATTGGAAGATCTGTTCGTCATTCATCTCCGGCTGTGGGCCACGGTGGCAATACGTAAGCGCGCTAGCTAGTTCGTCGAACCAATGCCAAATCTTGCGTTCGTTAACATAAGCCCCTTTGGCAACCCCTTGTGCCACGTCTGCCATGCTTCCCACGTCGCAATACTCCATGTATACAGCCCCCTCTAGAATAGATTTATCGCGGAAATGGTCTACCATCTTCGTAATATAGTCATGGTCCTGAATCTGATGAAGAATCTGGATTTCTTTAGAAGGTATGCCGTATTCGAATAATCTTTTGTCGAATCGCTTTTCAATGAAAACCATGCCCTTGGCGCTTGGGTTGTCGCATCGGACTTTGCTTATGCCACCATTAAGACCTCCGTCCATAGTTCCGAGGCGCTGAATCACTGTCCACTTTTCCCTTGCTTGTCGACGATACTGTACGGAAAGCTTCTTGCAGATTTTTGTCATCGAATTTACAACTACCTTCGTTAGAACAAGTTACTAGCAGTCTTAGTGGGTGCTAGCTTCGAGAAAAACTAGAGGGTTGTGTTGCATTTGGCAGCTATACAGGTCTCGAAAAAGGCGCTAGATTTGATCTATGTATTTTATAACTGGGGGGTTTTCATGATTAAGGGACAGTGAATTAACGCTGTTGCATTATATATAACGCCAACAGTGATAACAACGTTCTAGTTGTCGTTTCGATTTCACCTTCAAGGGACAGAATGTGCGACGCAAATCATATATAATGCCATTCATGCAAAATGTTTGAAATCCCCTAGACATGTCTGTGTTGTTTCAACGACATGATCTTGTGAATCTGATCAGTGAATAACTTATGTCTCTTAGCCCACGTGCGTCTACCGAGAGTCTTCATGTGACGCAGAACTGTCTAGCATAGCAAACCTTTTAGATTCAAATAGTGTGGGGGTTCACGACCTTCCAGTCGCTGAAACCACAAAGAACCCCTTACTCAGCAATTAGTTCACTATAACAAGTTATTGAATGGCGCCAAAGCTGAAATCTCGAAAGAGTGAGGACGGAAAGGAGACTACCAGTGAGGATTTAATGTTTATCGATCCATCTCCAACTGACATGGAGATGCAGGATGCGTCACAAGAGGCTGCCTCACCTCTTACTCAAGTGACTGTACCACTGGCTGGTTTCCAGAAAAGTTCTCAGTCTTCCGATACGCTCAGCCATCCATCTTCGCATACCTTAAGTCATGGATTACCACCTGCTCAGATACGCATTTCACGTAGACCATCTGTACCAAGTCGCTCTTCCTCTCCCTCGTCCTCGGTAGTGGACATTACAAAGCGTCCGTCAGACTATAGCTCCGACGATGAACACGTTAGCTCACCGCCCGGCTACATTCGCCATCCAGGTCCTACTCGACGTCAGTCCGATACTAATGATTGGCCGCATGGAGTGCTCAGTGGTGGCGTACTGATTCGTTTTTTGGAGGACTTGTCGCGTAGCTCTCGACGCGACCACTGGCAGGTCTGTACCTGGCTGGAAAATTTTGCTGCGCGCTTCGGTCGCTTCCACAACCTCGATGGCCTCGTCGTGACGAACGCACAAGACATGCACATGCTTATGCTAGCACACAAGGTGTGGCTCGAAACAAAAAGCATACCAGCCGAGGGAGACATCTTCTGGGTGCCGGGATTAGAGCCAGCAGGAGATGTCGATCCGGACTGGGAAGCCAAGGCAAAGAATAATCTTCCCAAACTATCTAGCACACACAGCCAGAAGCATTGGATGGCAGGAGAAGCACAATATCTGCACGGTACTTCAACAGAGCGGCCTAGAAAGGGAAATATGGTTTGCGAGAGATGGATTGACGGCATGGGGTGGGAGAGGGAGATTTGGCAAGCATGAAGAACGTCAGATTTCACTCTATGTCTAGGTCCTGCTCTCACACGACTGGTTCAGTGATCTGCATGCTGAGAGCCATAGCATATCAAGCGTGTTTACAATGAACAAGACATATTGTCAGAATGAACGAGGTTTTGGTGCAAACGAAAAGTGATGTCGAGGAATAGTGGGCAGCATGCTAGGGAGGTGCGATAATATGACGTCATCACCACGAGCTACCAGCCATTTTTAGAAGGGTGCGACCACAGGAGTAGACTGCATGGACAAAGACCAAGGCCATTGCGAAAGCACTACATGATGCAGACAATCTATCAGTCATCTTTGCAAAGTCAAGACTGCTGCCGATGGCTAGGTAGTATGCGACCTTGACCCAGCTGCACATGTACGCTCATTGTTCTCTAGACCCATGACCAGCCTTCCCATTCATCTTTGTTCTACAACGCATTGTGATCTTCACTGCAGATTCCATGATACTCTTCACTACCTGTTCCTTTCTTTCCTTCAATATGCACCATCTTCTATTTTCAAACATACGACGATCGTTCCGGCCCGCATGTGCATCTCACTTGCGTTTTGCACAGCCTCACTACCGGGTTGGCGGATATGATCATCCTCCGTGAATCTTGATAACGGTAGGAGCAACCGTCCCTTTGCCCCACGTAACGTTGCGCCCAGGCTGGCGCATCCTGATCACCTGAAGTCACAGTTGGGCGAAGGAGCGGGTGTGTTACCTAGGAAGGTTGTTGTAGGTGAATCGTGGTGGTTCTCGCGTCAAGCCTTACATGCAGCTAGGTCTGGTGTATAGCATTGCCACTTGGGCTCTTTACATACCACACCGCATGTTTGGGAAAGTAAACTTTCATGTGATACACGTTGGGAAACCAGGTGTTCTGTTGCAATCAATACATCCGATGCATTCGAAACCCTGGATTGGTGTATTGGACAGCCCGTTGTAGCACAACGTCCGCGAAATAAGCTTTTCCGCCCCCAAACTCCCCGCGTCCAGTGTGTTCTTCGTTTAGGCCTTACGTGGATTCTAGTGCGTCTCTGGATACTTCAATGCTACCACTGGTATAGGTAGATCAAGTATGAGCTCGTCAGTTGGCAGTATGAAAAGTGGCAGTTGGCCGTAGGATGACGGTCACGCCGTCCTCTCTGATCTGCTCAGGTGATGAAGCAAATGCTAATGAGGTAAAGCAGACGATGGAGTATCAGAAACTCGCGCCCAGATTCTAGACTACATGCCAGAGCTCATAGATGCGTATTGCCGAACGTGATCATTTCAAACCCTTGTCGCATGGATTAACCACTGGCCGGGTACCTAGGTACGTTGCGTAGTTTCAAATTTCCGCTCCGTATAAGGCTTTCCACAAGGCATACTTGCGTCGTTTAATCTACTCACGTGGAGATGAAAACTTCTCTGCCTGACAACTTCTCCTTCGCTAGCAGCAGACTGATCAAGTGATGCAAAGCTAGTCATGAGAGTTCATCTGGTGTGTGACCATCCGCTAGATGTTGGGGCGGAAAGGCTGTTCTAGGCTATTGAGTGCATTACAATATCTGCTTCGGAAACAATACCTATGTACACTGAACGCGTTACCGGCTCCAACTCCTACAATGACAACTGCAGCTGCATTGGGAAATGCACAAATGTAAACAGCCGTTTGGCGCATGTCATCATACTCTATGCAGGGGCCACTTCCCCCTTTCCGGCTGTCATTCATCTTGTACAACTCGCTTGGGTATAACATCAAAGCGGCCGGTTTATACACACCTTGTCTCGGTAGTTGAGTTGTGGGGGCGGTGCCGCAATGAGTCAATGCGCTTGTACTACTGCAGGGCATACGCAGTACGTACCCGCTTCACTTCGCTATATACATGCATGCAGACACTTAGTCCTTTATCGTGATTGTGGCATTAACAGGTGGTTGGAACGGTGGTTTGGGGCCAAAAGGCCGAAGTATTGCTTCATAAACCGGTATGCTTTGGGCTATCCCAATACCGTACGAGTTCCAGATGCGAACCCTGGCCTCCAAGAGCGCAATCCGCATGCTCTGGTTTAGGCTAGTGGGAATTATCCAGAATGGAATACAATTCTGCTTTCGTGTTTTTCCAGATAGCTCTCAATACTCAGAACCATGATCATCTGCGTGTACCTCGCCATCTTGCCTCTAGTTCCCGAGCTCTTGCTGATGCTTCTTGTCTCTTCTTCGCCGCCATCTCCGCTTGGCTCTGTTGGTAGTCTGGAAGTTCATCGTCTGAACCCTGAGGATCTTCCAGCCCCAGCAGCTCTAATTCCGCTGTGATAGCACCCATATGTGATGGTGGTTGCCATTGTTCATATGCGTGGAGAGGCGGATTTTGAACAGGGAGAGGATGATTTTGTGCGGACCCTGCTTGTAACGAGATATGCGGTGGTGGCTCAAAATTCTGCCAATCATCTCTCTGCTCTCTATGAGGCCGTCGTGTCGGTTGTGTTCTTGACAAATACTGGGGATTTTGCAGAGGTATCGGAATGGTGTCATTAGCACTTCTTCGAGCGAAAAGTGAGCCCTGAAGCTGTGGTGGACCGGTTGGTGAAAAAGGCTCGGCATCATTTGGCAGTCCGGTCATCGCTTCAGCAAATAGATGGAATTGAGAAACATCTGTAAATGGCTCTGTGGGTGACACCCATGTTGTGTGTGGCCGTGGCCGACTGTTAAAATTGTCGCGTGTCGTAACGCCAAGTGTAGCTTCGGGAAAGGTACGTGATCGTGGAGGCGATGTGGTCTCAAAGTAGGGGTTCATTGACACCGCGCGCTGCTGTTGAGGACGAGTGTATTGGTGTTGTGGTAGTGGAGAGTACGGCTGATACTGCACCACGTCTGAGTAGTCCGACGCAGAGGAATGTGCTCGAGGAAGGGTTGCTGGATCCTGATGAGAGGACTGGCTGAACTCGTAGGGAGAATTTGGCATGCTTCGTGAGTAGTTGTGTCTATGATGACCATTCGTATCCACATTTAGGTTAGTGGAGTATCGGTTTTGATGGGATGATCCGGGTCGGAGATGGGTTGACTCTGTCTGACTTGAAGATTCGCGTCGGAGAAACCCGCGCAAGGAAGGTGGTTTGCGAGATCGTTTATCTTGGCCGGACGGTGATGGTGGGAGTGGTTTGTTAAGGTCCGAACTGGTTGTGATAGCAGGTATCATCGACGTGTTGATTCCACTGCTGGAGCATACACTAATCCGCTGCGAGGTTGTTTGATACGCCGATCGTTCTGGCCGACAGTCGTGCTCTTGTTGTCGCCTTGTGGAAGCTGGCATGTTTAGCCACAGCTCGTTCTCGGTCTGCACTCGACTGGAACGGTGATTGTGGTGTGCCATATGTTCTGTATCTTCCACGTATGTTGAGCTAGCGTTGATGTGTAGGAAGAATGGACTAGAAGCTGCGACTAGCTTGTTGGTTGACGGTAAATCCGCAAGCTTATAGTTGAAAGATGTTGGTGGGATCGTCAGCAGCTGGGCGTCGGGTAGCATGCTAAAGAGAGCTGCTTCGTATGCAAATGTATCCAAGGCTGAAAGCAGGGGTGTGCAGGCCAGGCCTAAGAGCTTGGTGTTGAATGTGGAGGTTAAGTGCGGCTTGATGGCGTTGCGCTACTGCACGACTGTAGTATTCGAGCGAGTTTAAACGATGCTGATAGCCGATTCGCAGATCTGACAGCTCCAATTATTCTATGCTTCCGACATCCCGGGCGGGTGGTATCACCAGTGGAACAAGAGCGATGTATATGGTCGGAAAGGTTAGTGCGGCGTGGTAAAGGGTGGCGGTGGTTAACGGGCGCAGGGGTAAGGCGTCCGTTGCTAGATTACCGTGTGTAGATGTCGGAAGGGAGTGTCCTTACAGAAGGATTTGCAGACTGCTTGAAGTGTGCATGTCCCAATCGTCTCAACGGGGCGAATATACAAGAGTATTCCAATTCAAGGTCAGGTCTCGACGGAAATGGATGTGAATTTGACAGTCCATATCTGGGATCATCTGAAAGGATTTTTAGACGATTGCTGGCCTAACTCTTCAGGCCAAACGCCAAAGCTTCGGAGAGGCTCGTCATGCTCAGTACGGGTACGGCACATCAGGACCCCTTTCAGCGCCCGGAGCATGGGTAACATAATGTTACCGAATTGCAAGCGGTGAGGCTCAAGACGGTACGTGATCACTTGACCTCTGTACAGCCAGCCGCTCGCCTCAGCGTTCAGCGCATGGGATATCATAGTGCCGAGGGAACGCGCCCAGCGGCAATAATCCTACTCTGGGTATGCAATGAGTTGGATGTGTGGCAATGGATAACGGGAGAAGCGATCATCAAGGACCAGGTAAAGGACGGAACGCGTGCACTGCCTCCCCTAATTTTAGATGTAGGAAACGCTAAACTCTAACGTGGCAAGCAACCGAGGCTGCCACACAACCCTGTCTTTGCCCACCGTTGTCTATCCCCAACCATCAGGATCGCCTTCGACAACACTGCACCTTGTCAATGGTCATGGTGAGTATCCTCCGATTTTGAATTTCTTTTCTCTAGTAAGTTTGTTCCTAGAATTAGCTTTTCGCTAGGGTCGGTGAATACTGAGCCACAGAAACGCACAGGTGCTGATGCGCATCGATTAAAACAACCCATGACATCAGCCCGTCATTCCATCGTTTCGTGCTGTTTTCAGCTGCAGTGACAACAATGCAGCATCGATACCCCCTTTGTTGTCACTATTAGGTTGTCATATGCCAGAAGCGTCACAAAAGCCTGTTGTTGTCGATTGAGAAATGACTCTTTGGCCATGGTTCTCAGTGACATTCAGCGGTAAGGCAGACTTCTCTTATCGCTTTCTACTTTGGAACCATGGCCCTGAGATTGTCATCTGCGATGTAAAACACCTGGAAACGCCCACTCAGGGCGTCACGGTGCTCGCCTGATCGCTTCCTTCGCTTCCGTGGCGGGCCTGCATCCGCAAACACCGAGATTACGATAAATCTGACACAGGCACTGCACACTTCTACCACTCTTTATAGCATACTTCTGCCCGATCGTGTATCACCGTTTCGGTTGACCACAAGAGCTGTTTATTTGGAAACATATTCACTCCATCATGTGTGCAGTCAGTATGGAGGTAGTAGCGAACACATCTTCCGTACATACCTGAGTACGTACAGTAGATCAGATGTAGGCGGTCACAGGTCGCAGCATCAAGGCGTAGTAGCCCACCATGTAGTTCAGCGACTGCAAGTCTAGCGCAACGATATCATGAATAATGTCTGAACAACAAAGCCACGGTGAGTACACACGGTCCTAGGACTGCCTTCAGCACCGTCTCGGCGATGTGCATGCGAGTAGCCGCAATGGCCGCTGGCTCAGTCGCATGCGACACGTTGTTGTATTGATCTCTGTCTCACTCTCTTCCATCAGATCAAGATTTAAGGTTGGAAGATCATAATGTGGACGGCCTAAGGGTATATCACTCTCCATCAGCCCCTCATCGTTGGGCCTTAGGCCGCCTGCTTCCACATTGGATTCCCTGTCACTCTATGTCTTCTGTTTGATCTTTCATAGCTGCAGCATTGCTTCTGCGCACCAGTATTTGAGAACCTCCCTCCACATGGCATACCCTTCTAATTAGTGAAGCTACAGTGCGCTACACCAGTCGGAGCATACACATCTGTACGGTCTTGAGCCGGGTGATGGTACCAATTAATTGCTAGACAGTTATTGGATGCGCCAAACAAAGGTGTGCAATGTAACAGAAAAGTAAGCTTGTGACGGCCTGGTGACATCGCATCAATGCGAATTTATTTTGGGCCGAGGATACACTATTACGCGAAACGCTATCACGAATTGACGAAACATGTTGTAATTAGACTTGGATTTTAGTTCAACTCCCTTTTCTTAGACTTCCGAAACAATTGCCTCTGGCTTCTTTTGCACGCGCATAGGCGTCGGCTTGACCACCCCGACCTTCGCCGACCAAGTGTCAGACCGATCATCGAGCTGGATTCCTTTCTCACCATACTCAGTATCATCTTGGTCTTGTAGTCTCTGTGCGAGCATATTCCTCGCAACCATTGCGTATCTTGCTAGCAAAAACAGTGCAATCATTCCACCGGCATATCCCAAGACATGAAGAATGATGCTAACGTTGCCGTGAGCTGGGTTCATCCATTCATACACATAGAACCCTTGCGCATATCGAGTGAGGTACGCAAGGCCGAGGTATACCGACAGGACCCCAAGGACAACGGATAGATGGTGCCACGGCAATGGTTCGGTAGCCGATAGCACGATCTCAGTCGCAGCAAAGACGCTGTTGAGGCCATGGACAGATATGTTGATCCACTGTTCAAACCGTCCGGCTGGCCATCCAGAGTTCATGGTACCCCAGAAGACAATCGTGACTAGAAACGGAAACGAAGTCATGGTGGAGTAGTACATGCTATGCAACAGCTGCAGGTATTTAGGCCAGTCGTGTAGCCATGTCCTCTGCCGGAACGCGTACATGAAGGTATGCACGCTCGATACGAGGAAGTAAAAGCCAAGTGACCAGAAAGTAAGGTATGTGAAGAAACTGAATGATTGTCCGATAGCTGCGTCGCCTTGCTGGATGGTGTAGGATCCAATGTTGACATCTTTGAGCTTAATTGTGGCTGTCTCGTGCGCCAGCCAGGAATAGCATGTTATAATTGTCGTGAAGCAGTATAAGCTTAGTAGGGCGCGGATACATGCGAGAGTGATTGGTGAGATGAAGTGAGATCGAACGAATGAGTGTGATGTGTCGAAGCCGGCCCTGGGTACACCCCAGGCTTCGTAGGTGAACAGTTTCATGGTAGTGAAAGTTGGGCAGGGAGTTGTCGAAAAGAGAGAGTGGAGTGCCGATGGCCTGCTATGAACGTTTGCTTCCAACTCCGTGTTAGGAGATCGTCCAGTCGCCAGGAGGTTTCGGCAAAAGAAATGGGTGCATGATATACCTAGGGATCAAGCGCCCAAAACGTTGCCAGCGGCACCTCTACCGCACCGATATTTTGGAGAATTGGTACAGCTAGCCATAGCAAGGCTCTCAGGTCAACAATTGCATCTTCCAGCGACGCCACAACAGTCTTGTTGTGGACCAACATCAACGTCTAGGCGCTATCATCATGCAAAGGTCAGCAGCTACCAACCAGATCGTCTTTGGACTAACATTGATTGAACCCTCACGCCAGCCCTACGCCCCACACCATGTGTCCCAGGCGTTGTGATTCATTAGCCTTCTTTGATGACGGCACGTTGTTAATCGTCCGGTGCCTGCGGGGCTTCCGATGGCGTTCACAGCAATACACCTGTCTCCGACGCATTATTCGTTGTGATGCCGGAATTGGTTGTTGCTCAGGTGGGCCAATGGTGTTGGCGAAGGGGTAGCGCGCTTGAAAGAGTGTGGTGTGGCTGGTTTGGTGCTAGCTCGTGCCAAGCACGCAGCCTTGCTTCTCAGCCGCATACTACATGCGCCCAGATCTGTCGGGATGCGCGCAGGGCGTAATGGAATCGGACGATGTTACGCATAGAGGAATTCGTTGTTCGCTTCCAAAGAAACACTCGAAGATGCAGGTTGTGAGATTATTGACGAAACCTTAACAATACCTAGGTACATAGGTACCTAGGTAGTCATGCTAGCGGCAGTCTCTCGACGTTCGACCAAAAAGCTCTCTGGGCCCGGCTTTGGGCCACATGCCGCAATAACCGCCGGAATGCTACCTTCGCTCGAAGTATACTATGGATACATCTCCACATTAACTATCGTGCGATAGTCACCGAATAACTTGCATCAACAGTGGGAGAAGATAACACTTTACTAAACAGTAGTGAGATGGCGTGCTATGCGTTATCTGTGTCTTCAGACCTCCTAGCTCAACCGAGTGTCGACACTTTTGCTCTGCACGTTGTGAAAACTCCAAAACAAAACATCAAGTTCCTAGATCCATGCCATTCCAACAAGCTTACTTTTCCCTTGAACACCAGATGAATGGCAGTTCCCGCTTTCATTCTCTAAAAAGCGTTGCGCGTCAAAAAAGATGTTCTTGCTCTTCATGCTGTCTGCCATTGTGTCCAGATCGCCATAACTAAAGAACGCAACATTCCCTGCACACCCCTTAGTATTTGCTTTTGTATGTCCACTTGCAATGATGAGCCATGACGTCGGCGTCCGTAACCTTGTTCGTTAATGGAATTCTTGACCGGGTTTTGCTTCTCCAAAGGATATGGTAGGCCAACCTTGTAACATTGTCACAAAACACACCCGGTCCATTCTACGTGACAAGTGAAAAATGTGGTACTGAATAGCCTCAGGACCATGAGATGATGCCAAATTACTACTACCTACCACAAGAATGCCCATTACCGGCGATGTTGGTCGCAACAGTGGACGCGAAGTCGCATAAACAGATAAAATTACCCCAGAACTTGCCTGATTACCGTCAAGACTTACATCCCTCGCTTACCTAAGACAATCGCACGCTTAGTTCTCAATCCCGTGAAAAGATTGTGGCGAAGGCGACACGTCGTTCTCTCATGCCTAAAGAGCAACTCCACTAAGGGGCTCAAATCTCATCAGTTACAAGACGACTTCCTTGCAGGCCACCAACTTTAGTTCTCTTTAACATGGACACCGATACCTCAGTCTTCACTGCTCTTGACAAGTTCACTCATTTCCGAGCGAAGGCGATAGAGCTTCCTCTTACGTGGGAGGTAAGTCAGTTGTAGAGTACCCATCTTAGGCCAGCATTGGCCTTTTGCAGCCAACTTTAGAACCATAAGCGCCATTGTACAAGTAAAACCATGGAGTTTCAGTGTCTTGAGAGACTTCAGGAAGTGTTCCAGCAGCGCTTTGTGATCCTTGCGGTTCTGTCCGATGCCCCGAATCTTGGAGGGAAACACAAAGCACTGCTTGGCCTCCAAGTACACAAAGTGTCGGAACTCGCCCAGGTTCCTAAGGAATGTGGCATCTTCTTCAGTGAAGCTTGTAGAATCAAGGAAGATCATGCGCTTCAAAGGAGCCCTTTGTTGGAGCAGTGCAGTCCGGATAGTGTGTGATCAATAATCATTGAATCTAAAGAGCAGCGCGTCGTTGACCGGGTATTCGAAAGCCCCTGGAGCATTGTAATGGCCAAAAAAGTATAACAAAGCCCTTGTAGAAACGTAATAGTCAACCAAGCGGATGGTTCCGACGCAGACTTGATTGGAAGGGTGAAAGTTACGGAACGTTACATTCAATAAGGGACAGGAAGAAACCTACTGGCATCAAGATACACTATTCCAAGTATCACGACTTCTTCAGCGGAGAACAGAGTAAATGAGGCATCCTACAAAGATCCATGAAGAGTGGCTGGCAACTGCAGAGTAAGTGAATAATCGTGGCAGGTTTCATAACTCAGAGAAGAGTTCGGAGACCTTAAACAGCATAATAGCTGGAGTTGGGATGCGAGCCAGAGGATCAAAGTTGGAGGTTTCTTGGGTTGTCAGATTGGTGAGGTTTCCAATGGAAAGAAGAAGCGTCGGCGCGTGGTCGCGAAGCTGTCACGCTGTCCTCGGCCCGCGCACGAGCACCGCCCCACCAGATTTTGAGTATCTCTTTTGTTCTTGACAAACTTACTAAGTGCGTTCAGTCTCTTGGCCGTAATGCCATTCGACTCTCCAGGTGAGCACACATACTCGGCAACCTCGTGAGGCGTGCATTGTGCATCATGTATTCCCAGTACGAAGTATCCAAGCCGTCCATCCGCGACCTTCGCTGAATTCACTCGGACAGCCCCTTTTCTCTTTCTGTCCTTAGCTTGCATCTCCGGCAAACAAGTAGAAGAGGCCAAGACTGAGGCAGGGATTCCACTGTATCACTGCTTATCGTTCACTTGGACGTCCTGTCCAAAGACAAGCCGAAAACCTTTGAAGTCGCCGGAATTGAACCTCAACTTGAGCAGTCGAGCCAGCGTCAAGTCACGCGGGAGCCGCGTACAGCACCTCGAGGGGTCGCAGTGTTCATGCCCTTGCATCTCGGTGACAACATCGATTCGCGAACGTTGGTTCGTGATGGAGGAGACGCGACAAAGCGCCCGGCCGTGAGCTAAGGAGCTGTTGAGGAAGCTAATGTAAGCATTGCAGCTCTTTTTGAGATATTCGTAAGTGATCTGATAGATCGGCTACGATGCGTGCAGTGAAAAACGTTATGCTCGGCAGTCTGGAGTCGCTCTGATCAAGTCGCTTCTTGTGGAGAGGCGCCTTGGCTCGCGATGACGAAGGCAGGAACTGTATTTCGACAGGCGGATCATCCGGCCACATCGGGCTTTCTTAGCGATCTTGTGCGTCGTCTGTAGACAGGAACCCTAGGTCGCTAACAGCTAAGATCAGACAATAATGTGCTGCATACAGCGCATTGGTCATGTAGCCTTCTCTAGCGACAAGAGAGCATCACGGGCCTCTTCATGTTGTCTAGAAGGCTCAGGTAGGCTACAGTGTTGAGGGCGGATTGGGGCAACCAATTCCAGAGACCGTGCACCAGCGATTCTGGTTCGGTTCCAAGCAATAGAATCATGACTGAATCTGGGCTGACGATGAATTGACCGGTACCTTGTCATCACTTTTGAGGATTGCTACAAAAGCATAACGCTTGGTTTAGAGTCCAGGACTGACAACTCTGTTCGATGCTCCCTTGGAGCATTTTTCGGACTACTTAAAGCCACATAAAAGTTAATTGGAGTCCTTGGTCAAGAAAGTCTTTTGTATATTCGCTGAAGCCCATTAGAGAAGTCTCTACCCGGAGGAAGGACGATTACAGCAGAAGTCAAGGACTGGTTTCGCCTGACACGCATACATTGCAGCGGGTAACATGTCTCCACGGCATAGGCGGAGCTGTCCCTGGGACATGACTTGGGCTACGCTTTCTTGAATGACTAGATATTTGACACATGAACGGAACTTGACATGCATTCAGATAGCACGAAGGCTATATTGACTTTGCCTCCATACAAACCATAGCATTCTTCAACCAGAGTCTGTTTAAACGGGACAGCAACTGGCCGAGAAGCCAATCTCCATTGCGATGCGTCGAGAGAAGAGGATGCTGTCGCATCACTCAGCATTGTCATCGCGCGCATTGAGCTGCGCCCTTTGGTGGGGACTGTTCAAACACCCGGAAATATCAAAATCAATGATCAGAGTTTTGCAAGTTATCTGTGGGTGCGTAGTGATTTCCGCAAACGTGACGTAAAGAAGTTCATCCCCGGGAATGGTCAATTTGGTGACGCGAAGTGACCAGGCTAGCCATGAGTTTAAAAAACAACCGCGGGAAACCTCTCGCGAAGGACCAGAACCACTACCAAGATAGAACATCACAGATGCCGCCTACACGGTGAGGGCAGTACAGACTGAGGTTCCCAGGCGATGCAGTTTTGGCCTGATGAGAGTTGTCTAAACAAACGTAATGTGGATACGTGCAGATGGCAGATTGCGAAGCCAAATGCGCTAACCCAAGGGGTTGGGCTAATCTTACGGATGCTCACCTGGGCAGCTCGCCCGGCCGCAGCTCCCATCCCACAAACTTGGCCACTTTATCTTGGCAACTGGTTCTCGACGTGACCATGACCCTTAACTTCTAAATAGGCTAGACTGATCATGCGCGTCCTTGTGGCCTCATCACGACCGTGGGGTTCGCACAACACTCTGGAGTCGTCCCAACCCATATCGGCCGTTTTCACAGGCACTCTCGGCGGCAACAGTTACGTTGCGCCATCGCGACTGTGCTTCCCAGCGCGATAACGTGTCGTAGCCAGGTCCAGAGTCGTTTCTGCGCGCTTTGAAGTCCTCGCCTGCGCAACGATGCCTCGGAGTTCCTTCTACAGATGAACGCGCATTGGCCATTTACACCACTATTCAACAGTATCGTCAGATGCACTTGCAGTATAGGTTCATGCATCTTGTGCCAGGCCGGGACCTCTTGTTAGCATTCTTTGTACCACTTCATATTAGCAAACCACGCACAACGTATAACATTGCTAGCGACTAGCTCGACATTCAATATGTCCGAAGTAAGTTGGCTGCCAGCCTCATGACTAGCTTGCCACGCCGCACATCCACATCAGAACTGACCAAGGACAGTCACCGACCGGTACATCCCCGGATCGCGACGGCATCTATCCATCAAATGGCCGGACGTACGACAAGTATCATTTTCAGGAAAAGAATATCCACATGCAAGGCATCGAGTTGGATGATGAAGAAGAAGACGAGGATATAGATCAACTTATCGAAGACCTTGAGTCACAAGATGGCGAAAATGCCGACTACGAAGAGGAGGAAGCGCAACAACCAGGCGGTGCGCGTTTGATTCCGGAGGAACTCTTGCAGACCGACACACGCACTGGCTTGACGTCGGCTGAAGTACTGATACGGCGCAAGAAGTTCGGCGAGAACAAGATGAAAGGTACCAACTATCTTATCCCTTGATTCGCGTTTGCTCACTATGTGCAGAGGAGTCAACAAATAACTGGGTAAAGTTTCTGATGTTTTTCGTTGGTCCAATTCAGTTCGTCATGGAAGCTGCTGCAATCCTTGCTGCAGGGCTCCAAGACTGGGTTGACTTTGGCGTCATCTGTGGTTTGCTCCTCCTGAACGCAAGTGTTGGCTTCATCCAAGAGTATCAAGCCGGCTCCATCGTCGAAGAGTTGAAGAAAACATTAGCTTTGAAGGCTACCGTATTGCGCGACGGCACTTTGGTTGAGATCGAAGCACCAGACGTAGTGCCCGGCGATATCCTGCAAGTAGAGGAGGGTGTAATTGTTCCAGCTGATGGACGCATCGTTACGGAGAATGCCTTTGTGCAGGTTGACCAGTCCTCCATCACTGGAGAATCACTGGCTGTCGACAAACACCGTGGAGATACCTGTTACGCGTCTTCTGCGGTGAAACGCGGCGAGGCTTTTGTCGTGATCACAGCTACAGGCGACTCGACGTTTGTTGGACGTGCGGCATCACTTGTTGCCAGCGCCTCCAGCGGACCCGGTCACTTCACACAAGTATTGCACGGCATTGGGACGATTCTTCTGGTTCTGGTCATTGTATCATTGCTGGTCGTTTGGATAAGCTCTTTCTATCGATCCAACGACATCGTCACTATCCTCCGGTTCACACTCGCGATCACGATAGTCGGAGTCCCGGTCGGCCTTCCTGCTGTTGTCACTACAACTATGGCAGTGGGAGCGGCGTATCTGGCGAAGAAACAAGCCATTGTGCAGAAGCTCTCCGCCATCGAATCGCTTGCGGGTGTCGAGATCCTGTGCTCTGACAAAACTGGAACATTGACAAAGAACAAGCTCTCGCTGGCTGAGCCATATACCGTTCAAGGTGTCGATCCAGAGGACCTTATGCTTACTGCCTGCTTAGCAGCGTCAAGAAAGAAGAAGGGCATCGATGCTATCGACAAAGCTTTTCTCAAGTCTCTACGCCACTATCCGCGTGCCAAGTATGTGCTGAGCAAGTACAAATGCATCCGTTTCCATCCGTTCGATCCAGTGTCCAAGAAAGTCCAGGCTGTCGTTGAGTCGCCTCAAGGCGAACGCATAACATGCGTCAAAGGCGCTCCTCTTTTTGTGCTTCGGACTGTCGAAGAAGATGGTTCCGTCCCACACGAGGTCGAATTGGCCTACAAGAACAAGGTTGCAGAGTTCGCTACGCGCGGCTTTCGATCACTCGGTGTTGCTCGCAAACGGGAAGATGAACGTTGGGAAATCTTGGGCATCATGCCATGCTCAGATCCTCCACGCCATGACACATATCGTACGATTAACGAGGCGAAGTCTTTGGGCCTTTCAATCAAGATGTTGACTGGGGACGCCGTTGGTATTGCGCGAGAAACTTCACGCCAGCTTGGTCTAGGTAAGAACAAACACTTGTCACGCGTAGCCCATTACTAACTTTGGATGCAGGTACCAACATATTCGATGCTGAAAAACTCGGATTGAGTGGAGGTGGCGAGATGCCTGGCTCGGAGTTCTACGACTTCGTCGAAGGTGCAGATGGTTTTGCAGAAGTGTTCCCACAGCACAAGTACAACGTTGTAGAAATTCTACAACAGAGAGGATACCTTGTCGCGATGACCGGTGATGGTGTGAACGACGCGCCGTCGTTGAAAAAAGCAGATACTGGTATCGCTGTGCAAGGCGCTTCCGACGCTGCTTGCTCCGCTGCCGACATCGTTTTTCTTGCCCCTGGCCTCTCTGCTATCATTGACGCCCTCAAAACGTCACGCCAGATTTTCCATCGCATGTACGCTTACGTTGTCTACCGCATCGCTCTGTCACTGCACCTCGAGATATTCTTAGGTCTTTGGATCGCTATCCTCAACGAGAGTCTAAACCTACAGTTGGTAGTGTTCATTGCTATCTTCGCTGATATTGGTAAGACTTGCTTCCTGGGTTCTAGTATGCATGTACTGACTGAATTGCAGCGACCTTGGCTATCGCTTACGATAATGCACCGTACAGCAGAACTCCGGTCAAATGGAACCTGCCAAAACTTTGGGGAATGTCAATCCTCCTTGGCGTCATTCTGGCTGTAGGCACTTGGATCACAATGACAACCATGCTGCCTTACCTTACTGGCGAGCAGCAGCGTGTCGAAGGTGGCATTGTTCAGAACCATGGCCAGCGCGACCCAATCCTGTTCCTCGAGATTACATTGACTGAGAACTGGCTGATTTTCATCACCCGCGCCAATGGCCCGTTCTGGTCATCGATTCCTTCATGGCAACTCGCCGGGGCGATCCTGGTTGTCGACATCCTTGCTACGTGTTTTACCATTTTCGGGTGGTTTGTGGGTGGAAGAACAAACATTGTTGCCGTGGTCCGTGTCTGGGCCTTTTCCTTCGGTATCTTTTGTATTATGGCAGGAGTGTATTACATTTTGCAAGGCAGTCAAGGCTTCGACAACCTCATGCACGGAAAGCTTCTCAAGAGAAAGCAAAAGCAGAGGAACCTTGAAGACTTTGGTAAGCATGATGGTTCTCTGTATCCGAGACAGGACAGTCGCTAACCACATCTAGTTGTTTCGCTGCAAAGGGTGTCAACACAGCACGAGAAGATTCAGCATGAGAAGATGACATAGCATCTTCACCATACCGGGCCTTCACTACCACGTTAGCGATCCAACATTACGCCATCGTGAGCGTGGTTTGGTCCTTCTCTGCAACACTGCGGGGGTCAGTAGAGGGCGTTTGGCGGCACTCCTGATTCCTAGTCACTGTTCATGGTTGGGTTCTGGAAGTATATTTGTATTCATACCTGTTTAGGATAGATGCGAACATCAGGGGATTGTAGAACATCTAGGAAGTCCACCTGTATGCCAGGGGCGACGTGTTGATTATGACAAGCAACTTTATCTCAATTTAACACATCCAACACGACGTGGGCATTGCACGGTCAAGTGCAACACTGGTAGAGTTGCACTGCATTCCGTTTCCCTTTGAAGCCTGTAGAAAACTCTCCTTAGGTTTGTTGCTGCTCTGCTGTGGCTAGTGCGATGTGGCTTAAACGCGTCTGACATGCATGAGTATCACCTAGGAAGCGATTAGCTACAAGGTTACGGAAATACTCGGCTATACGCAATTGACAATCGTTCTACAACAACGATGCAAATCCCGAGTTCAGAGGTGGGCTAACAACATGCACAACAAACATCGGGCTCCGGGGCACGGCGAACGTGGTGACGTCGCTTGCCAGCATCGTAACCCCACCTTCGGCATTGAAACACGCGCAGCTATCAAGGATCACGTAACACAACTTAACTTGATCAATATCACACTATAGCCTACTTGATGCTCAAATACTCAAGAAGCATCAACTCTTACCTTCGACGTCAGCTCAGCCTCAATCACACTTCGTCACACTGCCCAAGATTACCCCTCCTACCATTAACACAGGCATTCGCAACAATGGCCAACCTCAACATCACCATTCCTAAGTTGAAACTCAACGACGGAACCTCAATGCCAATGCTCGGCTATGGTACCGGCACCGCCTGGTTCAAGACTGGAGAGGAAAGCAAGATAGATCAGGCTATCATTGATTCAGTCAAGATCGCAACCAAGTTGGGGTACACTCATCTTGACGGTGCAGAGGGTGATTACAGCGCCATTCTTAAATCTGAGGGCTTTACTGATGCTAGAAAGTCTACAAGACCGAGACTGAACTCGGCACAGCCATCAAAGAAAGTGGTGTCCCGCGTGAGAAGTTGTACGTTACTACCAAGGTGAACAATGACAACATCAACAACATTGCTGGAGCTATCAAGACCAGCTTGGAGAAGTTGCAACTAGATTACGTCGATCTGTAAGTTATGTAAAACCAATGGATAGGTAGACTCAATGCTAACAAGCATAGGTACCTCATTCACCAGCCCTGGTTCGCAGGCTCAGACGAAGACCTCCAGAGAGCATGGGCAGACATGGAAGCCGTGCAAGCGTCTGGTCTCGCGAAATCCATTGGCGTCTCCAACTACCTTCCCAGCCATCTTGCCGCAACTCTCAAGACTGCCAAAGTCAAACCCGTGTGCAATCAGATCGAGCTCCACCCTTATTTGCAACGCCCGGAGCTTCTGGAATTCCACAAGCAGAACGGCATCGCCACGACCGCCTACGCGCCTCTAACTCCTGCTACCAAGGCCAAGCCTGGCCCACTGGACGATTACGTGGAGAAGCTGACGAAGAAATATGCGGTAAGCGAGAATGAAATCTACCTCAGGTGGTGCATGGATCAGGACATTGTGCCGATCACGACAAGCGGGAAGGAGCAGAGACTGAGTGATTATCTGAGGGCAACTACGTTCAAGTTGACACCAAGGGAGGTCAAGGACATCAACGAGATCGGACAGAACAAGCACTTCCGCGGATTCTGGAACCATGTCTTCAAGGGTGACGATCGGTCGTAGTAGAGTCTCTATTGAGCAGCACGTAGATTTGGCCGACGCAGAGCTCTGAGCCTATATTAGTATACAAAGCAGTGGTTAACCAGGGTATCTCATATCGCTGTACATGTCCATGTGAGCAGTATGTAATGTTATGAGCACAGGTCTTGGTGTGCGTGATTCGAGACTGCTGCCCGTTGGCTCGGTCGGGGTGAACACTTGGGGCGCCAAGACAGTCGCTCAATCTTTCCGCGCGAGCTCAGCAACTTCAACCTCCACCTCCACTCGTCGCGCATCCACCCTTGACGCCCACCGACATCGCGCGATTGGCATCTACGCATAAGATCGCGCATACCGTCACATCTAACACAAGTCCAAGCGTCGCGCTGCGCAATCACCGCCGCCATGTCAGGCGCAACTGCAAAGGGCAAGAAGCAGGCGAACAAGAACGCCTATCGCCGGGCAAAGAAGAAGCAACAGCGCTCTGTAAGCAGCACACATACATCGCTTCGCGTCTCCCAAGCCATCGTACTGATCAGCCACAGGAGACCCCATCGGAAGCCGGTGACTCTGCGCGTGAGAGCGAATCTCCCGCACCACAAAGCGACAGCAATAACGAAGCACAGGCGGTCAAGCCCGCGAACCTTCTCACCGTTGACGACATCGCAAACCAATACGACCTTGACGACCCCGTGTTTGAGGAATACAAGAGCGTATTCGAAAAGTTCAGGGAGCCGACAGAGGAGGAGGCGGCGACCAAGGACGAGGAGAAGCCAGAAATCTATCTCTCCGACGACGACATCCCTGACGAGGACGAGGACGATGGGAAGCCCAAGCTTTCCAAGAAGCAGAGGAAGCAGATGAACAAGTTGTCGGTCGCGCAACTCAAGTCGTTGGTTCCCAGGCCTGAGTTGGTCGAGTGGACGGATGTGTCATCTTCCAATCCCCAGTTGCTAATCTCGATCAAGGGAGCGAAGAATGTCATACCAGTTCCGACCCACTGGTCGCTCAAACGCGAATATCTCTCGTCGAAACGTGGTATCGAGAAGCCTCCGTTTGCCCTGCCCAAGTTTATCCAGGAGACAGGCATTGCAGAGATGCGAGATGCGGTTTTAGAGAAGCAAGCAGACATGACGATGAGGCAAAAGCAGCGAGAACGCGTGCAAGGAAAGCTCGGCAAGCTCGATATCGACTACGCGAAACTATACGATGCCTTCTTCAGGCGACAAACGAAGCCAGAGTTGACGCGATATGGCGAGGTCTACTACGAGGGCAAGGAGTTCGAGACCAATCTGGTGAACCTCAAGCCTGGTGAGCTGAGTGAGGAGCTCCGGGAGGCACTCGGAATGGCTCCAGGCCATCCGCCACCTTGGCTCATCAACATGCAGCGCTTCGGCCCTCCGCCATCCTACCCCAACATGCGCGTCCCTGGTGTAAACGCACCTATCCCACCTGGCTCTTCTTGGGGGTTCCAGCCTGGCCAGTGGGGCAAACCCCCTATCGACGATGCTGGTAAGCCACAGTTTGGAGGCGATCTTTACGGGACAGCCATATTGGAAGAGCAGCAGCAACCAACACACGTCGGTGAGCCTGTAGAGCGCGGTATCTGGGGAGCACTACGAGCCGAGGGCGAGAGCGAAGACGAGGAAAGTGACGAAGAAGAGGAGGATGAGGACGAGGACGAGGAGGGGGGTGACGAAGACGCGTCTGGTATTCAGACATCCATGACAACAGCATCCGCCATGCCATCAGAGATTGGAGGTGCAGAGAGCATTGGTGGAGAATTCCAGCTCCGAAAGCAGCGGAAAGGAATTGAGACGGAAGAGCCGGGCATCCCACGCAGCGCAGGTACAGTGCTTCCCGAAAAGAATATTTCGGCGACTGGGTTCTTCGGCGGCGAGCACGCTTATGATCTTGACGCAGCTAGGCGCGATGCGCTCGGCAACGCACAGAGGAAGCGTAAGGCTGGGGACATTGACGTCTCTGTCGACGTTGATCAGTTGGCAGATAGCGATAAGCTTGACAAGGACGCGCTAAAGAAAGAGTATGAGTCAAGGCAAAGAGCCGAAGCACAAGGGCAATGGCAGAGTATCGATCAAGATGACTTGGCGGACATGATCAATCAGGAGAGCAGGAAGCGTGCGAAGAGGGAGGATGAGCGAAAGACCAAGCGCTAGGTCTGTTGATTAAGAGTCCGTAGAGGACATGTGTTTTGTACAAAAGATTACGGGTTGCATTCTCAAGAGCTCTATGAGCGAGCGGGCGTCACGGATGTCAAGGGTCAGTAGGGCTTCGGCATATTCAGCATTGGGATACGGCGTTACATGCGGCAGCCAAGGCTGACCGCAGTTGAACATAATCAAGATGAAGAGTTTTCCAATTTCAAGGACAAGACTGATGGAAGAATTGCATACTGACTGCGAAGGCGGTAGTACGCCTCGCTGTAACAAAAGTCCCCAAGGATGCGACACACAAAGCAAGGGATGTGAAAGACACGAGCTGAAAGCGTGAGTTGGGGATGGCATACCCTCAGGTTTGAAAGATAGACACGGAAAGACTACGTCCGTACTGAGGAGCTGGATGTGGGCTTCCATGTCAATACCTAGCCGGCCATGGAAAGACGACGAAGCGATGGTGGGATACGCAAGGGAAAGAAGACATCAAATCTTCTTTGAAGTACCACTTACACAACGCTGGATTTACCGCACACCCGCACTCGCTACCCTCGTCTTCGATCTTATGTCCGGCGAGCAACTAGGGTAAGACACACTTTCGCTGTTTGCATACTGTGAATGAGCAGCGGCTGAAGCGTGGACGCTTTCCGGCACGTGACAAAGGAACGCGTCCAGTCGCAGGGCTTGGCTCTGAACTTCACTTTTTGCGACCTAACACACGAGCAGCCACCACCACGCAGCAACCGTAGCTATTAGCTGTCCACCCCGACTAATCTCTACCAGCGCATCTCTTGGTATTACTTAGCTGCGATCGGCCAAACATATCGCCTCGATTGCAGAGATGGACAGGGATCGTGAGCGAGACAGAGACCGAGGAGACCGAAGGTTTGTCGACTCCAAACCAGTTGTCGCCTAGGCTGCGACGAGCAAATACCCTACCAGACACGCGGGATCTAATACGAGCGCATCTACTAACACCCACATAGAGATGATAGGTACTCCAACACATACCGTCCTCGTTCCCCTGGCCCACGTCCACGCTCTCCACGCGGCGACAGCTATCGAGCACGCTCACCTCCTCCCCGTCGCAGTTCGCCTCCTCGCCGTGTCTCACCCATTCGCCGCGGTATAGCATCGGCTGATACATATGTTCCTGGTGGCCGCTCGTCGCGTCCTCGCAGTCGGTCGCCAGCTTTCCGAAGAAGATCTCGAAGCCCACGTCGCGATGACAACTGGAGGGCACGTCCTCGATCACCACCTCGCCGAGCATTCTCACCGCGACGGGACGAACCTAGAAGGGACGAACCTAGACGGGATGACTACAGGGCAAGGTCGCCGCCACCGCGACGAGATCGCGATCAGTACGACTCGTACACTCGCTCTCCACGCCCACGCGAGAGGTCTCCACCGCCCAGAGAGCGCGATGTTTCTCCAGCCAGGAGCCGTGGCGTGCGTTCGCCTGTCCGTTCGAGCCGGTACGAAGAGCCGCGCTCTCGAGTAAACAGGTTTGTCCTGAGCCCAGCGCAATGCCATTTCACTTGCTAATCTGTTTGAAGCCCCCCTCCTCGCCGCTACTCCCCTCTCCGCGACACTCGGGACACACGCGACTACCGACGCCGCTCGCCCTCTCCAAGGCGCGACCGTCCTGACCCTTACACTGCGGATACCTGGAGAAGTCGTAGGTCCCCTTCGCCTGCGCGACCGACTTACGCTTCAAATGATGCATCGGGTAGGGATTCTGCGGCAACGTCTCGTCGCTCTTCCCCGCCACCTATCCATCCTAGCCGGGCTGCACTGGTAGAAGACCGACCAGCTCGAGAGCCCGTCTCAGCACCGCGATCGCCGTTCCGTGAGCGCCTCCCCGACAGAGGACGGGACTACAGTCGCGAGCGAGAGCGTTCGCCTCCACGCCGTCGGGAAAGCCCTCCTACGGGACCGCGCGGAGATAGGGACTTTGCGCCGCCTACTGGACCATCTTCCTCTTCATACCGCAATGGTGACAGTAACTTTGCCAGAGCTCCACCAACAGGGCCTTCCAGCCGGAGCTATCCCTCCCCTGCGATTTCGCCTCCCGCTGGCCCGTCAAGCCTGGCATCACAACCTCCTGCCTTTCCTCGGGGCAACAACCCTGTGCTAGCAGCGCCAACACGACCGCGAGGTGGTGGTCGTGGTGGGTTTGGAGGATACGAAGGACGAGGAGACTTTTCTGGTCCATCCTCACGACGAGGGTCTTGGGGTGCAGGTCCGCGAGGAGGAGGCTACTACGGCGGTGCGCCATCTGGCCCACGCGGTTCCAGCAGCGGCCCTGGTGGAGCGGCACCTTTTGCTCCTTCGTTCCGCGGGTCTAACAACTCGACTGCTACGACCTACCCTCGTACAATGCGGTTCCGAGACCATCTTTCCGACCTCCCCAAGGAGATTCCCGGGGGTCAGAGAGCCCCTGAACTGTACGACAAGAGCAAGATCTTGAAGCTCGAGGCAGAGGCTCAAAAGTTGAGGGAGATGATTGATAAGAAAGAGGACGCGAAGAGACAGAAACTCAGGGAATGGGACAGTCTTGAACGTGAGGCAGAAACGGCCCAGCTGAGGGTTGATCTTGCTGAGGGTTCATTGCGAAACATAAATGGAGAGGCGGATGTTAGTGATGCCTTCTAGGAGGGGCTGTGCCTACTAATTCATGACCTTGAGGAATATACATGGTAGTTTCGAAGCTGACTGACAGCTCAGGGCGGTTTTGATCTTGGGAAGTACGAATGGTAGTTTTCGGCTTGGAAGTAAGGTCTTGGGAGGTATAGCGGTTGTTGAGTGGAACACGTTGGTAGCAATCAGGTGCCGATCAATTGAACGTCTTACTGTTATTCGCAACTTGTAATATGTTGTCCTATCATTGTGTTCGTTGAGTCGGCTTTATTCGTATTAGTGCAGTGTTGGTGAGTATCATGAAATGGTTGATAGGATACGACTCGAAGGAACGAACTTTCACATAAAAGAGGCTTGTTATTCTCTGGAGTTGGCGGTCTACCCACATCGCACATTTAAGGTGTGCATAGTGCATATTGTGTTAGAGATCTCTAGAGAAAGTACTAGAGTATGTCTTTAAGGTGTTTGATGGTCACTCACCCGGCGCAGAGGGCTGGATGTACTGCGGATTACCGATTGGCTAGTATTGATTCTCCACCCACCTGCAGTTCTGACTCGCCGAACGCCAAATTGTTGCAGCAGCTGTTCTAACTAACGCATCCGTCGCCTCAACTTCCGCAGACTGCCTTGCTGTTCCAGAAAAATGGTAGGCAAGAAGGTATGGAGCTCTATGCTTAACGGCGACCAAGGATTAACGTGAGTTTAGGAAGTCGCGAAGCCCAAAGCTGCCCCGCGCGGGGCCGTGAAGGCGAATGCTGCGACTGCTGCGCCTGCGGTAAAGAAAGTTGACGGCGATATGGATGTAGATACTGGGGGTGCCAACCCTCAGCCAACAGCGGGCGATGATGCGACCGACCTCAATCCTGATGCTTCAACATCGGCCGGAGCGACACGAAAGCGACAGGCGCCGCTTACTCATGCCAAAGACGAGTTCGCCGCCCTCCTCGAGCCGTTCTACTACGGAAAGAGCCTGACCGACCCGATCAATACTGCGCGCGACAAATGGAACCTACTGCCGGCGTTCCTGAAGACCAAGGGTCTCGTCAAGCAGCACGTCGATTCGTACAACCACTTTGTCGATGTGGAACTCAAGAAAATCATCAAGGCCAACCGCTTTGTCCGCAGCGATTTCGACCCCAAGTTCCTCCTCGAGTACACAGACATTCGCGTCCTTTCTCCGAACCGACAGGAAGAAGATGACCTCGAACACCACCGCAGTACCATTACACCCAACGAATGTCGGTTGCGCGACATGACATATGCTGCGCCGATAGTGGTGGACATTATATACACCCGCGGAAATGCCAAGGTCAAGCGGACGGGCATCAAAATTGGGCGAATGCCCATCATGTTGAAGAGCAACAAGTGTGTGCTCGCAGGAAAGAACGATCGCGAGATGGCAGTCATGGAGGAGTGCCCGCTAGACCCAGGAGGCTACTTCATTACTCGAGGGCAAGAGAAGGTCATCTTGGTTCAAGAGCAGCTGAACAAGAATCGAGTCATTGTTGAGAGCGCAAAGGGTATCATGCAAGCCAGCGTAACGAGTTCTACGCACGAAAGGCGAACCAAGACATACGTGATTCAGAAGAAGGGCCTCATGTACCTCCGACACAACACGCTCTCCGAAGAGATTCCGATCGTATTCGTAATGAAGGCACTGGGCGTACACTCCGACAAGGAAATCCTGCTGATGATAGCCGGCGAGGACAGCGCGTATCAGGACAACTTTGCTATCAACTTCGAGGCATGCGCAAGGGAACAGATCCACACCCAGGAACGAGCGCTTGAGTACATCGGCCATCGCGTACGACTAGTGAAGAAGCCGCTTGGTACGTCTCGCAGCCGGAACTATCACTTGGAGGCTATTGAGTGTTTGTCCAACGTCGTACTTCCCCACGTCCCAGTCGAAGGCACAAACTACCGACCAAAGGCCCTCTACGTCGCCCTCATGGCGCGTAGAGTTCTGATGGCCATGCAAGACCCAAAGCTAGTGGATGACCGTGATTATGTCGGAAACAAGCGTCTCGAGTTGTCTGGTCAGATGTTGTCGCTTCTCTTCGAGGACCACTTCAAGCGTTTCAACCACGACTTCAAGCTGAGTATCGACAAGGTCCTGAAGAAGCCGGTCCGAGCGCAAGAGTTTGACGCCTTTTCCCACTTCAGTGTACACAAGAATCACATCACCATGGGTGTCGAACGTGCCATTGCGACTGGAAACTGGAGTTTGAAGCGTTTCAAGATGGAGAGAGCTGGTGTTACACACGTCTTGAGCAGACTGAGTTATATCGCTGCGCTAGGTATGATGACGAGAATCAGTTCACAATTCGAAAAGACGCGTAAGGTTTCCGGTCCTCGTGCGCTGCAGCCATCGCAATTTGGTATGCTTTGCACATCAGATACCCCAGAAGGAGAAGCCTGCGGTCTTGTCAAGAACTTGGCGTTGATGACACATATCACAACCGAAGATGATGACGATCCAGTGCGCAAGATTGTGTTCATGCTAGGCGCTGAAGATATCTGTTCGCAAACAGGAGAAGAGATCCATTCGGAGGGTGTGTACAGTGTGTGTCTCAACGGTACACCTATCGCTGTCACCGATACACCAAAGCGATTCCTCAACAGCTTCCGGAAACTCAGGCGGATGGGTCGCATCTCTGAGTTCACCAGCATTCACATTGACCACGACCACTGCGAAGTCCACATCGCTACGGACGAAGGGCGAATTTGCCGTCCAATGATTATTGTTGAGAACCAACGCTCTAAAGTTACGTCGAGGTACCTGAAAGCCCTTCGCAAGGGAACAATGGAGTTTGAAGACTTCTTGCACAGAGGTCTAGTTGAGTATCTCGATACAAATGAAGAGAACGACACGAACATCGCTTTGAAAGAGACCGAAATCAACCAGCACACCACACATCTCGAGATTGAACCCTTCACCATCCTGGGTGCTGTCGCTGGTCTTATCCCATACCCTCACCACAATCAATCCCCTCGTAACACTTACCAATGCGCTATGGGTAAGCAAGCTATTGGCGCCATCGCCTACAACCAGTTCAACAGAATAGATACACTGCTATATCTCATGGTCTACCCCCAACAGCCTATGGTCAAGACACGGACTATCGAGCTCACTAAGTACGACAAACTGCCTGCCGGTCAAAACGCAACTGTCGCAGTCATGTCCTACTCCGGCTACGATATTGAGGATGCGCTCATTCTGAACAAAGCCTCCTGCGACCGCGGCTTCGGTCGCTGCCAGGTGTTCAAGAAGCACGTCACGCCTCTCAAGACGTATGCCAACGGTACCTCTGATCGCATCAATGCTGGCGCTCTAGACGTAGACAACTCCAGCCACCAAGCCATCGGTCAAGACGGTATCGCTCAAGTCGGTGCCCGCATTGAAGCTGGCGATGCTTACCTCCTAAAGTCCATCCCCCAGGACACCGCAGGACCCGCAACAAACGTTTACAAAGACAAGCCCGACAAGTACAAGTTGCCCGACTGCAGCTACATCGACAAAGCATGCATCACCGAGAATGAAGCAGGAACCACACTAATCAAGCTCCTCATGCGACAAACCCGCCGCCCAGAACTCGGCGACAAGTTTTCTTCGCGCCACGGCCAAAAAGGTACGACAGGTCTCATCGTCCAACAAGAAGACATGCCCTTCAACGACCAAGGTATCTGCCCCGACATTATCATGAACCCCCACGGTTTCCCCTCGCGTATGACAGTCGGCAAGATGATGGAACTGCTCTCCGGAAAAGCTGGTGTTCTCAACGGCACCCTCGAATATGGAACTGCGTTTGGTGGGTCCACGGTTGAAGACATGTCACAAATTCTTGTGGAGAAGGGCTTCTCGTACACTGGCAAAGACTACCTGACGAGTGGTATCACGGGAGAAGCACATCAGTTCTACACCTTCTTTGGCCCGATCTACTACCAGAAGCTCAAGCATATGGTGCAGGATAAGATGCACTCGCGTGCTCGAGGTCCGCGTGCTATCTTGACGAGGCAGCCTACCGAAGGTCGTGCGAGGGACGGTGGACTGCGTCTGGGTGAGATGGAACGTGATTGTTTGATTGCATACGGTGCTTCTCAGCTGCTGCTTGAGCGATTGATGATCAGTTCGGATGCGCACAATGTTGATGTTTGCGAGAAGTGTAAGTCTTGTCCATGTTTGGATGCTCAATATTTTACTAACAATGCAACAGGCGGCCAAATGGGCTACAGCGGCTACTGTAAACTCTGCGAAAGTGAAAAGGCAGTCCGCAAGATCACTATGCCATATGCTGCTAAGCTTCTGATTCAGGAACTGGGTAGCATGAATGTCAAGGTGACGATTGGATTGGAGGATGAATTCCCTAGGGATGCGTAGACGGAGAAGACGTCGATGCATGTTTGGCGCTGGACTGGACTGGGCTTGGGTGCATAGCGTGGCGTTTGTCATGATCGTCTTTATTCCAATGTACATAATTATGGAAACTTCTCGTATCATAAGTATGCTATTCGTCAGGCTATACTGTCCCGTTCCAAAGCTAGACCACCCAAAGCCATGTAGCCGGCAAAAGCGACATGTGTACCGTGAAGTCCATGTCACCATACACTACCATGTCCTCGTCAATCATAATCACGATGCATCCTTTCTCTTTGACCTACGGCACCATGATCTCATGCGCGTTGCCGTCTCTGGGGTCATCGACTCTCGCGGGTATCTGCCGAGAGCCACCATCATTGATAGAATAGCGATTGGTTCTAGATCCCGAGCTACAACGAGCCAAATCTCCATGGGTATCCTATCCAAAGGTGGTGGTAAGACTAGTGATCGTCTCGCCGCCGTCGCACCCTGTGCCCCGCGTACTATGCTAAGGTACGTGCTGGCTGTAAGCTGTGGTACAATTCTGTGCTGCTCCAGGGTAGGGTAGATGGCCAGAGCGAGGTTCATGAGATTACCACTACCCACATACTCGTAGATTATAAGCAACAATTCGGCGGGGAGAAGATCGAACAGATTGTCGCAGAGGTTGCCGTTGAAGGATGGCTTGCGCGGCGGAGGTGGAGGCGGTGGAGGCGGTCCGGCAGCCGAAGACATGTTTGCGTGCAGAAGTGTAGATGACTAAGGTGGAAATAGCCGCTGTGGTTTCAAGGGCGGACACCGTTTGCTCAATCGGTGTGCGGTTTGCTAGGTGCGTCGGCAGCGACTGACAATAACCAACGGTAGATGTAACTAGAGAGAAACCAGGCTCCTACAGCGACTGCGGTAATGTATATGGCGACGGGAGCGAGTGACTGGGGGAAGACGTTCAGTATAAAGGGATCAAGTACTGCGACTGTTAGGTTTCATGCGACTTGTACATGCGAGGAGACGTACTGAGATCCGCATCGACTGGAGGCGGGTAGTCCATCAATGTGCGATTGGTCGAGTAGTAAGATGCTGCAGCCTGGAGGCGCAGAAATAGCATCGACTTTGGGGCTGCAGACGGTGTTTCCTTGGTGGTGATGTCGTCGTCGACTAGGTAGCGTCGAAACTCCGAGTTGAATTGTACCAGCGAAGATGTCAATTCAGGCGTGTCGAGTATTTGGGTGACAGAATAAGTGTCGAGCCAGAAGTCGGTAGGTTGCTGGGCATGTCAGTACAAGCAAACGCGTATGTATGCACGCGACATGCAACGGGAAGGCGCATTGGACTCACAGTTGCCGGCCAGCAGATGCGCAATTCGTACCTCCGCCCGTCTTCCAGGCCGCGAAGCAGATACCAGGACTCGAGACCGCGGGGCACCGACTCGGTGGGAAACCGTACGGGCACACGGATCGGGAGGATGGTAAAGTCAGGCGACAAGTAGTTCAGACCGAAGTCATACGAGCTGGAGCGGACATTGGGGAGAGTCACAGGCTTGGGACCGAGGAATATCGTCTTCTCGACGTTGGCATTCACCGTCCAGAGCTGTGAGACGATGCAGAGCAGCGCGGCGGAGAGGCGCATCTTTGGCGGATAGCACGTGAGGATGGGGAGGAGCTGGGTGGGAAGCAGTTCATGGTCCCTCACGTGGGCCAGAGCAGTAGCATTGGAACAGCAATGTTAGCCGTCCAAATGGCAGAGTCGTCTGGAGTCGTGTATGTCTACGCAGTGGCCAGGCAGCGGCATTGGACGTGTTGCTTAGCGCCGTTGTCCGCGCTAGGCCGCGCCTGCACAGCCTAAAAGTTCGATTCCACAGACAACACCAGCACCTCTCCCCCACTGCTCCACTCCCACCGACAGCAGCTCCTCAACCTCGCCCAGCCATCCCCGAGACCGCATTCCGATACCCAAATTACTACTCTGCTTCTAATCCAACATGAGAGAAGTCATCAGTCTGAACGGTATGTCGCCTTATACGCTGATACGCGCCTTGACCGCCTGGGCGGGACATCCCTGACTATTTGTTGATACTGACTTTCACGCGTCTAGTCGGCCAGGCCGGTTGCCAGATCGCAAACTCTTGCTGGGAGGTGAGTACAAGACGAGGACACGCCCGGCTTCTCCTTCTTCTGTACTGCATTGCACTGCACGGCAAAACAAGGGGCTGCGGGTACCTCACCGCCAGTGCGCGATTATACTGACTTGCCTTCACAGCTCTACTGCCTCGAGCACGGTATCCAGCCTGATGGTTTCCTCACCGAGGAGCGCAAGGCCCTGAACGACGACCACGGCTTCAGCACCTTCTTCTCCGAGACTGGTACGCACAATCCGTCCCGAGGCGCCGTTTCCGAAGACTAACTCTGCGCAGGTCAGGGCAAGTATGTCCCCCGTACCATCTACGCCGATCTTGAGCCCAACGTCGTCGACGAGGTCCGCACCGGCCCTTACCGCTCCCTCTTCCACCCCGAGCAGATGATCACAGGCAAGGAGGATGCCTCAAACAACTACGCCCGTGGTCACTACACCGTCGGAAAGGAGCTCATCGACCAGGTCCTCGACAAGGTCCGCCGCGTTGCCGACAACTGCTCCGGTCTGCAAGGTTTCCTCGTCTTCCACTCCTTCGGTGGAGGAACTGGTTCCGGTTTCGGTGCCCTGTTGATGGAGCGTCTGTCTGTCGACTACGGCAAGAAGTGCAAGCTCGAGTTCTGTGTCTACCCAGCTCCCCAGGTTGCCACATCCGTTGTTGAGCCATACAACTCCATCCTCACCACCCACACTACCCTTGAGCACTCCGACTGCTCCTTCATGGTCGACAACGAGGCCATCTACGACATCTGCCGCAGGAACCTCGGAATTGAGCGCCCCAACTACGAGAACCTCAACCGTCTCATTGCTCAGGGTAAGCTCTCAGAACTTTTTGCTTAGAAATGCAGCCTGCTAACATGACTCAGTCGTCTCATCCATCACCGCCTCGCTCCGATTCGACGGTTCCCTCAACGTCGACCTGAACGAGTTCCAGACCAACTTGGTCCCTTACCCCCGTATTCACTTCCCTCTCGTCGCCTATGCTCCCGTCATCTCCGCTGCCAAGGCCGCCCACGAGGCCAACTCGGTCATGGAGATCACCAACGCCTGCTTCGAGCCCAACAACCAGATGGTCAAGTGCGACCCTCGCAACGGAAAGTACATGGCTACCTGCCTGTTGTACCGTGGCGACGTTGTCCCCAAGGACACCCACGCTGCCATCGCCCAGGTCAAGACCAAGCGTACCGTTCAGTTCGTCGACTGGTGCCCGACTGGTTTCAAGGTTGGTATCTGCTACCAGCCTCCTCAGATGGTCCCCAACGGCGACCTCGCCGCCGTCAACCGCGCCGTCTGCATGTTGTCCAACACCACGGCCATCAGCGAGGCCTGGTCTGCTCTCTCGCACAAGTTCGACCTCATGTACAGCAAGCGCGCTTTCGTCCACTGGTACGTTGGTGAGGGTATGGAGGAGGGTGAATTCTCTGAAGCCCGCGAAGATCTCGCAGCTTTGGAGCGGGACTACGATTTAAGTACCCCCAATTACCTTTTTATTTTCATCTTTGAAAACGTTGAACTAACATCTTTACAGGAGGTTGCTGCGGATAGCCTTGGTGACGAAGAAGTCGAGGCAGAGTACTAAGGTACATTTCACATGCACAAGGACACAAGGAGTAAGTTCACGAGTAATAGAGAGCGGATAGTGAGTAGTTAATTACTGAGTTTAATACTTTGCGCTTTTCTTTTAAAATTGATGTTCATTACCGTACCGTGTATGGCGGGGTACAAGGATAGAGTGTTATGAGACTTGTGACTATGCTGAAATTGGACACGCTGGTATCGACTAACGCCGTGTTGAATGATGATTGAGCGACACCTACGTGTTTGATGAACAGCATTTGTGTATGAAAGCGTGATCATAGGCTGTTTGTACAAAAGGATGTCCGTGAGAAATGCTGTCGACCGAGCATCATGACAGACATAGCGCTGCATTGTTCTGGTCTTCGGGTCAAGCGCTGTACGATCGATGTGATGTTGAGCAACTGCAATGTTTAGCTGATTGGATGTTTGCATGACACGGTGTTGTTGTTTTTTTAGAAGAAAAAAACATCACTTGCAAAACAGTGTTGACGCACACGTAGTGTTGCAAGACTATGGATTCTCCTCAATTGCGATTTCCATTGATTCTGCAGTGTTCACAAATCATGTTCTTGACATAAAGCTCGCTGCAACGTGCAGTTCAGCGGATGTTTGCGTGCGTAACGGTCTTTAAATGAATAGAGCTTTGGTCTCGTGTCGAAATTAACACGCTGTTTATGCCGTGACAAAACAATAGCGTGTTTATACAATATGTTCTTCAGCACTACAGATTGCGCAACATGGTATTTAGTCGTTACTTATCTTAGCATAGAAAGCATGTTGGTAGAATAGTGCATTGATTTATCATCGCGACGCCAGACTTAGTCCGAGGCCCACTACTTCCTACTGCAATATAAAACTACCTATTCCACTTTGAACCTCTTGACACACTTTATTCTGACTTGAACTCCGATGTCTAACTACGCTATTAAATCTAACCTCCTCAATTCCCGCGCTAGTCTTTGTGCCACGACATGTTATGCACAAAGACGCGATAAGCACGTCGCGTCGCGTTGGTTAAGCAGTAATGCTGACATGCTTGTCGCGTTTCTGGACGATTCTTGCGCACGCCAGACTTTGGTATAAACGCTCAGCAGATGTAACAATGACAGCATTGCCCAGCGTAGTGTGCCGAAAAGAGTTTGGGACATTGGTCGGTTGGCTGGCGATAGAGCGTGTGATAACTGAGCGTGTCGTAGTCGTCCCGCCCGCATTGAAAAGTTTAGATTAGCAAGCTTCTTGCATTTAGTTCGTCAGCGAAGGAAGAGTTGGGCTAAGGATAGCTAGGAGTTATGCAGATTGTGCACTACCTAGGGCGGTTTAGCACATACTTAGACAGACTATCCTTGGCCGCTTAAGCAGAAGCAGGAATCCAAAGCTGTGTAGCGCAGCATCGGGATCTTCTCAACAAATCGCTGCCTCCAGTGTTAGCACCTATCCAGGACAAAGTGCTCGGAGACAAGGGGAATCTCACCCTAGTGCTATGCGCAGAAACTTCCTATATTTAGCGAGTGCTAGTCTTCGCGCCGTAATGTGGCTGCCGTGTATCAAGGCTAGCACCGCGAGGCTTCTGCAGCTGGCTAGCACGAATTCTATTAGTAATCTTAGACTTGCGCTGAGTGTTACCGGTGTTTATGTGGCTGAGTTGGAACATCAGCGGTTAGTTGTTATGGTCTGGCATCATGACAATGCATCGCGTCACCGTGGCACATTAGTTGAGGGGCGTCTCCATAGTTACATCGCCTTCCAGAGTTCTCGTCCTTATCGTTGCCATCCCTCTCTCACCACACACACCCCAAGATAGTCGCCACTTCTATCCACACAGCGACTCATCGTCGAAGGACATACCCGCTCTCACACCAACCAAGTGGTCATGTAAGAGATGAGGTTCCTCTTTTGACCAAACTCCATGGTTGCCGACTCGAACATCAACTCCTCAAGCTTGCTAACCTCCTCCATCATCACCATTAATTTGGCTTGGAGCTTGTTGCGTAACGGAGCCCATCTCTTTCTTGCCTTCTCGGCTGTGACCATGTTGGGCGAGGGAAGAACGTCGCCTCTTGCATACGATATCTGGCGATGCGACCCAGGCACAACTCCTCAAGCTTGCTAACCTCTCCCATCATCACCATTAGTTTTGCTTGGTCACAACCGAGAAGGCAAGAAAGAGATGGGCTCCGTTACGCCGCCAGATCTTGCCTTGTCCCTGCAGGTTGTCAGTACCTATCATATCGTCATCTCGGCTCAACTGGCGCAGTCACAGTAAACTGTAGCGCATACGGCGATTACCCCACCAGCTCCTTGTCCTCACCGTGGACTTAGCCGCTTGCAAGCCCAATTCACCTTCACCTCACAGCGCTCCAGGCAGCCAAGTTGAGCTCGGACCCAGAGACGTAAAACCTCTTCTTGCCGCCGCCTCCATCTCTTTTACTCCAACAAAAAATTACCCAAACCGTTGCCTGTCTGCGCAGCCAGCCTTTCGAAAGAACGACAACAGACCAAGCAAAGTCACAACGACAACTCCCACTGCGCCAGCACCGAAGTCTTCTGGTGTCAATAGCCTCAGGCTATAGATGTATCAGATACTGAGAGCGAGGATGAGATCCCGGCAAGCGCACCAACCCCCAAGAAGTCATCAGGCCGCCCTTCGATGATCCCTACACGAGGCTCCAGTTCTGGAAAGCGTAGACGTGGCACTGATCCAAATCCTCAGTTTGGAAGAGAGGGTTGCAAGACCCAAGTCTCAACCGGCCCCACAACCATACCATTCCGCTATCGAGAAGGCCCGAGTCATCAAAACATGAACTACAACATGCTCGACCAAGGCTTCTCCAATACGACGATGCTCCCCAAGCATTCGACCGCTCCTGGTCTGGTCACCAAGCCCGGAAGTCTCCACCTACAAGCAAGAAATCACCAAGAACTGATGGCGACGATGCTCCCCAAGCATTCGACGCCAGCCGTCTGCCTCGTCCAGGCGCCTATCGCAGTCGCCTTCGTCGGTCCCCAAGGTGCTGGCAAGAGCTTATTGTTGTGCCTGGGTGGCTGTTGTGCGCCATACCGCCGTTGCTGGTCCCCAGAGCCATCATGTTCGGTGAGCTTGTCTTGGTTGTTAGCAACAGCAAAAACTTCGCGCACAGTACTGACCTTCTCAAGCTTCCAGACATTATCCACGTCGTCCCTCTCCTCCCTCCCTTCGTATACCGGTAACTAACACGCTTCCGCATTCGCATCGTAAACATTGAACGTCGGTCACACATACTGGTACTATGTTAGCAGAGCCTTGTCTGGTTGAGGGTCATACTTGGTTGGGTACATATGAGGTATGACCATCCCAAGTTATCATGGCGCGGCCAGGGATGTTGTATGATGTTTACCTGGACATTCCCAAAGTCATACCGGCGGCCAAGGATGTCGTGGGATGTTTACCTTGACACCCCAGGGTCATACCGGCGGCCGGGGATGTTGTGGGATGTTTACCTAGCTCCCCTAAGAATTATATTGGCGGCCAAGGATGTTGTAGGGTGTAGCCAGGGAAGGAAGAGGAGGTAGAGGGTTTAGTATAGGCGGGATCTTGAGCAGACCTGGGGGTGGCTAGGAAGCTAGAGCATTATTAGGACATCATGATTTTACCAGATTTGGGGGTAGCTGTCTGTACCTGTCTTCCCACTGGACATCCTGACATCCTGCTGGAATCTGGACTTCGATGTTTGGCTTGGATCTCTACTTGTAGGACTTGTGATTTTCGTCATCTCAACTACTGCTGCGCTTTGTTGGACTTAGCCGGATTTGTACTTTGTACTATAGTGACTGGTCAGCAGCGAACGGATGTTCTATAGATCCTGGAGTGAAAGCGGCTTGTCGAGCTCGACTTTGTACTATACTATCCAAATTCATTTCGCATACTTAGGCCATTTCTCCATATCATTCGACCAAGTCCACGATGATAGCCCACCAGATGGTACATCTCTGAGATAAGGATGAGGAGGGGTGGACCGGACTGGGCTAGATGATTGTGATATGGGAAGGACGCGGCGGACAGCACAGAATGCGCTATCAGTATGTCGGCGGAATGTTCGGGATCAGATCTGCAAGCTTGTTCAGTTCAGGCGCGACTCCCCCATGTCTGCATCCTGTGTTGATAGGGTTAGGAATGGGTGTTGATGATGAGTGGTTGCGATTGATGAAGGTTGCATTCTTATGCTGTGGTTCGGAAGTTGTACGTCTAGCATTTTGCAGTGGCTCAGACCGTTTGAGATGTTCTACATGGTGCTTTGGCGATGCAGGAGGCATTTTTTCCCCTCCCAACTCACTTGTCGCAACTCCCCAGGCGCACGCTTGCCCCACTTATTATCCCTGCAGGTGTGACGCGCGCGTCACCTTCGCGAACGCGTCGCGCGACCTTCACTGCACCCCGCGTCTTTTACCTGGGGGTACTAAATCCAGAGATAAAATGTTATAATGTTTTATTTGCTCTATATGTGATTTAAAGTTTCGCTTTCGATGTCTTGGGATGTTTTCTATGCTTGCGCTGGGTAACAATAACGTATGAATGTGGCGCCATTTCTGGATGGCAGTTGTGGTGTGTCTATCCCCGCCTTCTTAATTCTAAGCCTTGTTTCATGGTGCGAGGATGCACAGCGACCACACATCATCGTTGAACATGCGTCCAGAAAGTAATTCGTATAATCACAATAATTAATACAAGCTTCCCAGATTACCCTGGGTTAACATGTGTGCAGTCTAAGAACATACACGAAGTCTTGTTACTTAGGACATGTCTAGAGTAGAGAGGGGAAACACACAAAGAAGAAACAGATAGCGCGATTAGGCTGCTGCTATGCACGTCACATATAATGCAGTATAGAAGATAGAAGACAAAGGACTCAACAGACCTAAGGAACTTTATCTTGTGACATGTTCGAAATGGAAACAAGTAAACAAGATAACAAAAAACAAAAGCTTTTAGAATAGAAGAGATGTCCAACTAGACACAAGAGCTCAAATTTAGGTATCTTGCCGCTAGAGCGCCATCGCTAAGAGAAACAAGACATTAGAACATCAAACAAACATATCTTCAGGAAGAAAATATCCAAATCGATCTACTAGAACTCACCGTTACTTAAACTGTGATCAACCTAGAGTTAGGCGCCGTCCACGGCAGGAAGACCGACAATGGTTCGACTGCCAATTATTGTAAAGACAGTAGAATGCGGTATAGGATCGCGAGCTATGTTCTAGTTAAGCCTTAGTTCCGTGATGCCTTGTAGTGGAAATCTCTATTTGCTAATTCAACTACAGCAAAGAGTCGCCGGGTCTTGATGTGAACATCTATAGATGTGTAAAGATACCAACAATCTTTCTAAGCTTGTTCTCTTAGACCCTTATGAAATTTACAAGACTAAAAGACACTGTCTTGTTTGTTGTCCTACGAATTGTTAGTATGTCAGGGTTGACGTGGGACATTTAGATACACAGCAAATCAAACTTCATGCGCTTGGCCTACTGAACCTGACATTTTTCTATGCTCTGAAGGGTCGACATTCTATAATCTATTCGGTATGCCTGTAGGGGAGATGCACAAAATACGTAATCTACTGGCAATGAACCAGGACGAATGACGGAGAGTAGGTTATCCTGCATTGTGGATCCTTTTGGCTTTATGCGACCTTGTACGGCGGCGTTGCGATGTTTGTCGTCCGCTTCTATCGTTTGGTAATCGACATCGATGTCGGGAATCTCGTTGATCTGTGCACCAGTCTTCAAACGCTGGAAGAGAGTCGGACATTTATCGTCGACGCTGCGGAGGACATTAGAAAAGGCTCTTATCCTTATCCTTATTCTTGTCTTTGTTCTGATCTTTGTTCTGATCTTCTGATTTTTGTTCTGATCTTTGTTCTTGTTCTTGTTCTTGTTCTTGTTCTTGTTCCTGTTCCTGTTCTTGTTCCTGTTCTCGTCTCTGTTCTTGTTCCTGTTCTTGTTCCTGTTCTTGTTCCTGTTCTTGTTCCTGTTCTTGTTCCTGTTCTTGTTCCTGTTCTTGTTCTTGTTCCTATTCTCGTCTCTGTTCCTGTTCCTGTTCTTGTTCCTGTTTTTATTCTTGTTTCTGTTTCTGTTCTCTTGCGGTTTTACTTAAATACTCTACTGCAGAACCCTTGGAAAAAGAAAAAATAATTCTCTAGAATAATATAGTAGAGAAACATCAGAATAAAAACGTAACAAGAGCTTAGAGTACATGTCCCTCTAAAGAGTAGAGTACGCGCTAAACCTGTTTATAAGGTGCGCCTTGCTTTATAGAAAGAGGTAAGAATTATTCTCTTTACTACCTACGCCTGTAGTCTAAATATACAAGACATCTCCTACTATCCTTAGTAACGTAAAGCAAGCACTATTGCTTACAGTTACGCCTTCACAAAAAAATAAACTAAAGGGTAATCAGCTATTGTACAAAGAACATTTAAAAAGGATAGAGAGTTTACAAGGAGTAAAAAAGTCTTTAGTAAAGAAGATTAGAAAATCAGCGAACTATATTAGAATGGTAAGCAGGTACAAAAGAATATTTATTAAGATTATAAGAAGATGAGAGAAGGAAACTATTAAAGATCGTACGTTTTAACTTTTTGGAGTGCTCTTTTTAGAAAACACTAGTTAGGTTAGCTATTCTAAGAAATTAGTAACATCTCTTTTGTGAGTCATACAAGATGACTTCCCTGGCATATCGGAATGTATCAGAAGATAGACGAAAGAGTGATGAGAAGCACATCGTCTCCACGAAGAGCGTAGAGAGGGGCCCCAGCCAGAGCAGTGCAGCCAGCGCGGACAGGCCTTCCAACTGGCCGTTACATCAAGGCATAACAAAGAAGATGGACGTCCGTGTCGACTCTCATTACCTGTCGTCTATTGATCCTGAGCATTAAGGTGTAAAGGGCTCGGTGAGGGTGATGTTGTGCTTCCTCTTGGCAGTGAAGAGGGCATTGCTCCACTTTCATCGTGTAAATACCCATGATGAAACAAATACCACGGCCACATGTGACAGCCGTTTTCAAAATCCCGAAGTTTTAAAGACCGGTTTCCAGCACAGGTTCTTCTCGAGTGCACCGAATATGATCACCGCCCACAACGGCAATTTGGCCACAGGTAGAAATTGTCTAAATCTGCCCTGTGGCATGCTAGTTTGCGCTAAGATTAAGGTTGCGAGTTCCAGGAACGATCAGAGGGGCCCGATACTGCGTATGAACGGGCTTTAGGGGCGATCCTCCGCTCTTTATCTTCCGTGATCCACTTCCCGGTGTGTGAATGGTGGAGTGGGGTTGACATGTGAAAGTCACCGACTACACAGGTCGTGTCGGTGCAGCGTAACCACGTTTTTCGGAAGAAAATGAACAGAAAACAACAAATTCTTCCGATCAATTGAAGTACCAGAGAAGAGAAACGTTTGAGAGGAGACTGGAATGCTAATTGTTCTCGGTTCGACAGAAGTGAGACGTCTTCATGTAACGGGCCGAAAAAAAGTAAGAGTCAAAAGAGGTCAGCAAATGTCATTAAAGCATACACAGTACCATGGATTCCAAATGTAAAGATTGAGCGTAGTCGAAGTTACGCTCTAGCCGCCAAGCCAACGGCCACTTGGAACCGTTGTGGTATGGCTTGCGAGTGTGTGGTAGCAGCGATAAGATAGACTAGCGTTACCAAAAGCGCCAAGCGATCTATCGATGGCAGTAGCCAGACGTGCGATGACGGTGGAAAGTTTGTTGGGACAGCGATGGACAAGGTATGTAAGCCGACGGTTGGACAGATGCTGCAGACGAGCGTGTAACGGCTGTAATGGCTTCACATGCCACAGAAAGCGTTTGGTAGCGATAGCAATGGGGATGCGAGGCTCGTGGCGTGGCCCAGAGGGCCCCTCACGTGTGGAGAGGGTTCACGAGATGAGGGAAGAACCTCGGCGTCGTCTTCGGCGAATCAATCTGGTTGAATGGTGCCTGGCACGCTAAGCCAGACCCTGCAGCAGAGGGGTGCACCACCCTTGAGAGACATTCCGACTTTTTGCGACGCTGCACCCACAACGTTTTCGAGCCATTGCGGGTCTCTGTGAAGTGCGCGTTTCTTTTGCTGGTGGCGGGGGAGAGTGCTCGCTGTGCAGAATGCCATGTCGGGTTTGATTCGGCGCCATGTCACGCTATCGCCCCTCGTTCAAGCCCGGCAGGTGGCTACATGGTACCTGCGGGTTCCAACTCTAGGCGAGGTGCTGGAATGCGGGTGATGATGGGCACAAACAAGCGGTCTGGTTGCCGTACTTGTGCCTAGCGAAGCGCCAAGCCAGCGGGTGAGAGGGATCTACTGAAAATTAGGATCCTGGACGGCATCGATGCAATTGTGGACAGGCGTGCTGGTGGATATGGAAGCGTGTTCCACGTCGCAAGGACAGTGCTGGCTGTGTCCAGTGCGGTGGCAAGCGATTGCAATA